ATCCGCCTGCCAAACATGGCAATTACTGGCAAATTCCCCCTAGGAGGGAGGCTTATGTTCAGCATAGGACAGTCAAAACCTGATGATAATGATGAACTGCTAACCATATGTGTCTGTTTGTAATTTCTTTTTTGCATAAAAAATATTTCTTACTATCGGATAATGTAAACTTATCTAACAATTATTACATAAGCATTTATGTAAGAAAATATATCTATATTGGCAAATAAAAATATTTTAAATTATTTTAACAAATGTATTGACATTTATCAATATTAAGCAAGGCATTAAAATACCATATGAAATCTGACAGGTACACGGTCCGACACCTGGATTCCTATATTTTTTGTTACTTGCGCGACATTTAGTGACATTTAATGACATAATCTAAAAATAAGCAAACGCTGCTAATGTGCGCGTGCGCAGCCCGTTGTCAAGGCCGTACGTATCTTGACCTAGACGCCTACAACCATCACGTACTGTCAACGCCCGTAAATAAAGGGTTCGGTACAAGTGACGAAAGGCAGCGAGAAGTTCTGTTACTGAAGTTTGTTGGCATTTAGTGGAGTTTGGATTTCATATTTATGAGAGATTATAAAGCAGTAGAAAATGTTTGTCGTCTTAGTGTATTTTTTATTTCCTTTGTTTTGTCAACAACTATTATATTGTTGATGAGTGAATTTGTACCTTAAAACGATTTGATAATATTCATATTAAATTTTGAGGGGAAAATCTATTTAAACGTATATAAAAGTAGAAACAGATTGATTGATCAATACAGTCTTTCAATGTAATAACTAATAATAATAATTACTAGTTTCGAGAGCATTCGGGGCCCTTAGTATTGAGCGTCAGTAACGTGAACGCAAGTCTGACAAATTACATGTAAGTTAAATGAGTAATTTTTACATTAAAATATAATGTGTACTTAGGAAACTGTTGGCAATGCATAGTCTTATTCACAGTTTTATCAGCAGTGAAAAAAAAAAGATTTTTAAAATTCACCTAAGAACAATAAAGGGTTCCGCTGGCGAACTGCGAGAGACAGATATTACCTATTACTATTATATTTACGACTTAAACTACGGAACGTATTTGATTTTGATACACGACTAGGTCGTATCCTAACTTAAAACAGGATACTTTACATGATACACTAGCGAAGTCTTGGGATGCAACCAATATAGATTTTTTCAACTATCCAAGTGCTATCTATACACATTTTCTGGCTTGAGGAATGTTTTTAACAATGCATGGAATTCTAATATTACACATATTACAATTTGACTTTGTTTTGATACAGAGTAAGTATTTAGTGTTAGTAATATATAAATAGTCTCATATATATTATTATATTATATATATCTTATTATATTAATCGTACGATGCCGAATATTGTTATGCTGTAAATTTACTTATTAGGTATTCTTTTTTTTTGGCAAATCCATAATTGAAAGAGGAATTTTATTGACCTTCTATTATAACTTAACACTTATACGTCCGATGGTACACGACGAATGTCAAATATGTCAGTTTTTGTTGTTAATATTTTATTCATACATCACATAAATTGACGCCAGCATGATTAATATTCTGCAAAGACGATGATATTAAACGGAAATGCTTTTATAATGAATATATTAGCAAGTTAATGATAATTTATGACTATTTGCAGAATGCACGCGTCTTTTACTTAAAACATAGTTGAATATCATTATAAAGACTCATTACTGTTTGTATTGAACAAGAACCTGGCTTAATAAATTTATAATCTTGTTTAGTGATGAATATCTGATGTCATTATAGTTGTATAGTTGTTATATCATGGGACTTATCATTTCCCCATAAAAATAAAACTATATATATATATACAGTCAAGATAGATTAAAAGTTCAATTATTAGAATATACAACCACAAAAATAAGATATAAGCACAACAGGGATTCATTAAGGATTCCATTTTCATTTGAACTACTGGAATACAGAAGCTCCCTCGGGATACAACTAAACTTTGAGATTAACTATGTGTATTATTACTATTACTAAACTACATTTTAACTCTGCCCCAAGTTTCCAGTTGAAGTCCCAGAGTTTAAAACTTTAAATAAATTTTTATATCTTCAAATATATTTAATAAAATTATAGGGTACAATGACATCATGTCTTATTCTTTAGAAATGGCAATGCATGAGGGGTATCAGTACCATAATCTGTATTCTGTATTTAATCTATGGCACCTATAGACATTGGTTATCACATTTCATCAAGTAGGTTATTAATTTTTTTTATTTATTCTTTATTGACCACATTATAAACAAAAAAAAAAAATGTCTGGCACGAAAGACCAACTAAACAACGCGTTTTTATTGAAATTAAATGGCTTGTTTCGGATTATATACAAAACGCTGCCGGCTATGACTTTGATCGAAAGATAGCTTCATAAAATCAAATTATCAACAACAATTAAAATTGAACTTAATATTAATCGCTTCAAAGTTAAAAATTCATGTAATTTTTTTTCTATACAACACTCCTAACATCAAAAAGTCATTGCCTTTCAGCGTTTCATTCTATGCAAATGATCCTCGAAAAGCCATCAACGATTTACGCGAAATGCGCATGAGTAATTCCACATATGGATGATATTTTCCTTCTACGTATTTAAAATACTAATTAACCGATTCTAAATAAGTAATATTTGTTGTACGAACTGTTTGTTTGTTTAGATTTTATTCGTATACTACTATCACGTGCATAATGTGAGTATATTTATTATATTTGTAAACTTATTTTGCAAATATATTTAAGTTTCAAAAGAATATTGCGTTGTTTTGGCCATTTATTATTTATTATATCAGCTTTTAATTGGCCACTGTTGAACTAAGCCTCATTCTTTGGGGGTTGCCAGTTGCCATACTTGGCAAGCAGATTGGCGATCGTAGTCAGGTTTAAGAGATGTTTTAAGAGGGACGCTGCCGCCCATCCCTAGCACTCCCTTAGTCGATTCTATTGTTTCGGCCTACTCTAATAAGAGACAGGCGTGATATATATGTATATGTAAGTAATCAAAACCTGTAGTATTTTGTAATAATGACCTACCCCAGCTGAGCACAGTTTTTTTAAAGTGGATATTGCTACGAGAAAAGCGGGTCGACATTTTCATAAAATTTTGCGTGATAAATAGTTATGAGTGTTTCCTTTATAACTTCTATATTTATTTTGTCTTATAATTTCTGCATCTTCTTAATGCGTAAACACGCATTTTATTTATTAAATAACATGTGCAGATACGATTTATGCGTAAGTATATAGAATACTGCTAAAAAAACGAGTCAGCTAATTTGACAATTAGCTGATAAAAAGTTAACCCGTTTTTGAGGCTCGATGCTCTATCTATGTAATATAAAAGTTTGTATTACTCGCTAACACTGTAGCTTTCTATAGATGAAAGAATAGAAAAGAAAGAAAATAAGTTTAATATCTTTTGAGTTTATTTATAACAAACAGAAAATTAAATCTTGCCTCGTTATAATATTAGTCAAGATATTAATGAAATTAGGTAAGGCTGTCCACAACGAACCAACATAATTCCATTAAATAATAAATAAGTAAACCTAAGTGAACAATTTGTAATGCACGTGTAATGTAAAAATTTATACAAACATTTATTGTTAAATCAACAAATTGTAAAGATTTGCGTGTAGATTGTTAAAAAAGGCGAATAAATATTCGGTCGGTCGCAACCTGCGTCATTTATAAGACATTTATGTTCTTCAGAAGCGATAAAATCACTCTTTATTACCCGTACGCTTGTAAAAGGTATGCAAGTTCGAACTGTCCGATATAGTGCAATACCGTTTCTTTTAAATATATCTTGAATTTTCACACAGTCTCTATCTGTGGCTAATTCAAGAGCTAACCTATGGTAATAATGTGTTAATCACGTCGACATCTGCTGCGGTGCGTAAAATAGTGACTGCTTTATTTGTAGTAAATACATCTTTTTTTTTATACAACTTAGAATGGCATACAAGCTGACGGCCCACCTGATGGAAAGTGGTAACCGTCGCCTATAGACATGAGCAGTACCATGGACATAACAAAGTATACTGTTTCGCCCATGATACACCCCATGCGTTGCCATTCCTGAGGACTCGGGTGTTATTCCTCTGTACCCAGTAAATTCACGCCATATCCCACCCTTCAAACCGAAAGACAGCCATGCAAACACAGCTGCTTCACGGTTAAAACACGAATGGGACAGTAATACCCTAGCAATCGACTTTTGTACAAAGTCCTCCCTCTGGTATCCCGGTTACGCAGACGAAGTCGCAAGTGAATGCTAGTTTAAAATAAATCCTTAACAATAAATCCTTATTCTTATAACAAATGCTTACATTGATGATTACAATAGAGTTTTTCCCTAAAGAGTACTGTATGGGGTACTTCAAAAAGTGTTTATTAAGGTTTCTTTAGGGTCGGCAACGTGCACGTGACACCTCTAGTGTTGCAGGTGTCCATAGGCTATAGTGACCGTTTTTTTTTCAAACGGACTATATGCTTATTTGCTACCTTTGCGGTATAAAAAAAAAATTAAAAAGATATAAATTTTTTGTTCTTTTCAATACTAACAATTCTTTTTTTAAATGAAAAAAATTAACTGAGATGTAACTTAATACCAAAGGACAGAGAGAGACTATAGGATTTTTTGCGCAGATAAAATCACACAAAAAACTTATCAGTCGATAAGTAAATTCTAAAAAATAATATCAGATAAAGCGATTTACTTTGTTTTAAATCACATTATGTGTAATTTATTCGACAAATATAAAATTTAATTGGTTTAAATTTAATATTGAATATTTTATTCGACCAATTTAAATTTAATTTGATATTAAGTTTATATTGTGATTAACAATCGCCAAAAATAAAACTTTTGTAATTAATACTGTAAGTTGATTACTATGTTACAGTAAATACATTATCTTTATGGTTTTCAGATGGAAATGAGAAGGCACAAGACGAGGGGCACTTCGTTCCTGACATATTGGATATTCCTTTTACAAGTAAGTTTATGGGCAAATATAAATAAGTGTTCTGATTAAAAATGCTATATTTTTAACCGTCAGAAAGAAGGAGGTACTCAATTGCTTGTATTTTTTGTGTTTTTATCATCGTCATCATCATCATGATTATCTTATCAGCCGTTAACTGTCCACTGCCAAACATAAGCCTTTGCCATAAGGAGGATTCTGCCAGTAGTCGCTAAGCTTGGCAGGCGGATTGGCAACCGCAGTTAAACTTTGGTGACGATTTAGAAGGGGCGCTGCTGTTCAATCCTCGGCTGTTAAGTTCCCTCAGTCGCCTCTTACGAAATTTATGGGAAAGAAGGGGTAGCCCATTCCTTACCGAGACACACGGCAAACAAATACTGACTGTATATTTTTTTTTCTTATGCATGATATACGTAATTATGTTGTTTAAATATCTTGGTTACAGATGCTAGAGAGCGCGCATCGTGGCGCCGAAGGTCACGGTCGGCTGATGGATCCTCCCGCGAGGAACTCCATGTGGAGGTTCGGATTCCCCAATCCAGTGAACTACAATGACAACGAGCTCTTCTGCGGCGGATATGCCGGTAGGTTTTTTAATTTCTGACAAACATACATAAAGCCTGCATAATATCTGCGCTAAATATAGTTACCATCAGGTGAGCCGCATGTTCGTTTGCTCCCTGTGTTATAAAAAAAATCGCTACGGCAACCCCGTTTACTATCAGACGGGCCGTATGCTTGTTTGCCATCATAGTAGTATAAAAAATGCCATGATAGGCCTCTTTTATTAGGACATCCTCGTGATATTCATGCTTAATTTCGAGATGACCAAAAGATTAGAAGCAAAAGTGAGTCCTGCACTCTTTATTTTTTATCTCAGGCGTCCACTATCTCCACTATTTCCACTCTTACACGTATCGCTTTAGTGTTGAACGAGCAGGAAAAAGTGACTAATATCAGACCTCTACCACTCTTTGCTACTGAACCACGACTGAAGCAAAGTGTAGCAGCCGTTTGCCATTATAAGTTGTATAAAAAATAAGACTTGTATTTTAATGTAAGAACATTGGATTAAGTTACGTGTATTGTAGTAGAGAATGCGCGACTAGTTTCGGGACCATCCGGGACTCTTAGTCTTGAGCGGCCGTGACGCGAGCGCCAGCCTTACTATTTTTTGTTTTAAATGCACGTAATCTAATCCGGTGTTATTACATTAAAATATAATGTGCACTTACAAAATTTTTAACAATAAAACATATATGGGGGGAAAGGGATTGTTAGTAATGGAGACTGAGAATCCCATTGCTAGCAATATACCCAACCAGGTCGACCTCTTCGCGGTTCTCCCTGGAAACTATCATGGTTAATTCCTGATGAATTCATTATGATGGCCTAACTGACCTGTTTTCATTCTCATCTATCACCCTTTACTGGTGCTCCGCCAGCGTATCCCGTTAGCGCAGGCGGGGTTATCATACCATTTTCACCCATAAAAATAAAAAATAAAAAAAACAACTTGTTTTAAATCTTACCTTTTCTTTACAAGTTGTTTAAACAAATAAGACTTGTTTTGATTCACACGCAAATTTAAATTTAATCCAACAACAATATAATCCGTTACAATTGCGCAATTAAAAAGGAACTCAATACATGAATAGTTAAAAACATCCGCGTTTTCTAAACGTCGGTATGTCACGGGGCATTATGTTTGCATATTGAACAATTGGCCAAACTTTTTTTGTCATGTACTCGTATATTAAGCTAATGAGACGCGAAGTCAACGCACCAAAAATAAAATTAGGTTCGCTGAACTTAACATAGCTTCGATCAATTATGCGGATATATGTAAGTTGATAAAGAACATGAGAAAATCTTATTTACGGTAACATTACTTTCTTTTACTTACAATAACAACAATTGATAGGAACAAACATTGTTTGTTTCTATCACTTTGTTGTTATTTAAACTAATATTATAAAGAGGGAAGATTCGATTTTTTGTATGCTTGTTTATAATGGATAAACTCAGAAACTATTTAACCGATTTTAAAAATTCTTTCACCTACAGAATGCTATGTTGTGAATGAGTGTTAGGATTTATATTGAAAGACGGGATTTTTCCAGCAGAAAAAGCTGTGACACTGCGACCTTTCCATGATCTTTTGTGCTCGTTGTTTTTATAGTTCACTGCGGTTTTTACAGTTCAATTCCTGATAGGAATTTTAAGACGTGTTTTGTAGCGATATTTTTTATCTTCTCAGGATATAAAGTGTATTTTCCAAAGGCGATGTATCGTTTATGTTTGATGTTATTTAAACTAATATTGTAAGAGGAAAGATTTTTTTGTATGTTTGTTTATAATGGATAAAGTAAAAAAAAAGTTACGACACTCTATATGAAAGACAGAGTAACAAAAATCTTCAAAAATTGCGTTATATAATTCTCGAACGTCCCTATAAGGTTTTTTTTAATGGATGATAATGGAATGGTACCCACCCGCGCTATCGGTATACACAGGCGGGGCACCAGTGAAGGATGATAAGTGAGGATGAAGTAAGTCAGTTAGCCCATCGTGACAAATTAAACAAGAATTGTTCACGATGGTTTTCAGGGGGAACCACGTGGAAGTCGACCTAATAAGGCATATTGCTAGCAATGGGGCTGTCAAACTCCATTGGTAACAATCCCTTTCCCCCCGTCCCTATAGGGTTAAGGCGCACAATTTTTTTATTACATTGCAGCGGTATACTTATTATTAGCAATATATGTATATACAATGCGCCTTACTTCTATTAATCCGGTACTATTTATGTTAGGAACAAAATTGCAGATTTTTTTCGTAACAGGCTTTTAAAGTTTTATAGTATTGATTGAATTGTTAATGAAAGTTTTAAGGTGTGAATAAAAAAAAATATTATTAATATATTTATAATCAAAGTAAAGAAATAGTCAAGGATACCAATGACAGAGAAAAACAATAATTTTTATATTTAATAATACGTACATTGCACTCGAATGAAGTTTGAGAACGGCGCTAGAAGTGGTTTAAAGAAAATATTAAGTATTTGCCCTTATTTTTATAATTGGTTTGATTGTAAATTTATGTCAATATGCTGAGTATTTTGATAAGTCAATTAAGTAAATCTAACTTTTAATTATTTGCATCTCTACACTGTGATGTTTTTATCGCATCTTAAGTCCTGATGGCAAAAAGTTTATAAAAAATTGCGTAAGTATTCAGTAAAGTGCTTAATGTAAATGTGTTCTATAGACTGTTATCACTTTTTATTGAGTGGTTCATCAGCTTGATTGTTATTTGGAATAGCAGTTTTTAAATAATATTACAAATAAAAAAAAAACAGTAAAAAAAAATATAATCGAATAAAATAATCCATGCGCAGGTCTTCTTTACAAATGACCGGTTCATTTTTTTTTATCAAATACATCTCTTTATTTGATTAGTAATAAATCTGAATGACGAAGCACTCTTCCTTCAGACTAATTAGGTACTGAAATCATTTTAGCATTGAAGAAAGGGCAATGATCGCGAAATAATAAGCGTCCTTATAATTTTTTGTCATTATCACAAACGATAGAATTGTATTGGAACGTTGTACCTAGTTATTTTTTTATATACTTATTTTTTTCTTACGAATTATATATATTTATTTAGTATTTTTTTTTATTTTCAATTCCATTAACTATAAAGTTTAGTCATAATTAAATAGTATAATTTTTAATTGATGATTTTATTAATTTTATATTTTTATTGCGAATAATTTTTTTTATACAACTTTGAATGGCAATCAAACTGACGGTCCACCTGATGGAAAGTGGTAACCGTCGCCTATAGACATGAGCAGTACCATGGACATAACAGAGTATACTGTTTCGCCCATAATACCCCCTATGCGTTGCCATTCCTGAGGACTCAGGTGTTATTCCTCTATACCCAGTAAATTCACGCCATATCCCACCCTTTAAACCGAAACACAGCCATGCAAACAAAACTGCTTCACGGTTGAAACACGAATGGGACAGAGGTGCCCAAGCAATCGACTTTTGTACAAATTATATAATTACCTCTATAAAGAGATAGACATAGTTATAACATCTTAGTTTTTTTAATATGTGATAATATAATAGGGCAGGTGCCCTAACGGTATACACTGGTGGGGCACCAGTGAATGGTGATACATGAGAATTATAAGACAGGTCAGTTAACCCATCGTAATAAGTATACCTAGAATTCAGCACGATTATTTCCAGGAAGAACCATAAGGAGGTCGACCTGATAGGGTATATTGCTAGCAACAGTACTGGTAGTTCGCATTACTAACAATCTCTTTCCCTCAAACATATTTGTGGTCTTTTAGGTACTGTAAAATTAAAGAAAAGATTAAGTCATATTTAGTTTTTTATTATTATTCTTTGAATGTATATTTTAATTATATATTAATATACAATGAATTCATTGAAAGAAATTAAAAACCTCTTAAGTAACGGTTTGTTTTACACACAGACTCCCGACGGGTGTGCGAGTCCAACTCTGAGTTTACCGGTTTACCATGTTGTCTGTTCCTGTTATTAAGGCTGTAAATTGTTTAATTTTGTTGGTATGTCCAGTCCAGTGGGAGCAAAATGGTGGCAAATGTGGCGTTTGCGGGGACGCGGATCACCTAACGGTGCCGAGGCCTCACGAAGCAGGTGGAATGTATGGGAAGGGCATCATCACAAGACACTACAGCGTTGGACAGGTTAGTAACACAATACAACTTTTTAACCAACTTCAAAAGAAGAAGACTATTTTTTGTATACTGTATGTTTTTTTATTTCAAATTAATCCATTTTAATAATTGTTTTGATAAATGAAAAAGATTTACTCCTATATTGATTCCAACTTAATTTTGTCACTAACGAAGTATTTAATTATTTCTTTATGGAATTAATTCTTAAATTGCATGTAATTATAAAGAATAATTTGCGTTATTATCAAAATATCTTACTGTTCATTTGTAATTTTTTTTTTTAAGTTGTTATTGTTGGGATTGCTGGTTCAGAAAATATTTATTGATTTACAACAAAAGTATGACAGAGTACAATTTTTACATTTAAACATTACTTTTAAGATATTAGTTTTAATATGAAGGTATATAAAATAAAAATATATCGAAAAAGAGAACATTACCTTCCGTGCTAGCCATAATTATGTTACGACAAGACTCTTGTTCAAATAGTATAATGCAATTTTGTTTATTTGATCTAGAAATAAGGCTAAAAAAATTGTTAGTCTTATATATACTGAATGATACTGGAATGGTAACCCCGTCTGCGCTATCGGTATACGCTGGCGGGACACCAGTGAGGGGTGACAAGTGAGAAGGAAAGCAGGTCAGTTGACCCATCGTGAAGAACTCCATAAGAATTACCAGAGGGAGACTTTGTACAATAGTCGATTGCTTGGCCACCTCTGTCCCATTCGTGTTTCTACCGTGAATTAGTTGTGTTTGCATGGCTGTGTTTCGGTTTGAAGGGTGGGATATGGCGCGAATTTACAGGGTATAGAGGAATAACACCCGAGTCCTCAGGAATGGCAACGCATGAGGGGTATCATGGGCGAAACAGTATACTCTGTTATGTCCATGGTACTGCTCATGTGTATAGGCGACGGTTACCACTTTCCATCAGGTGGGCCGTCAGCTTGTTTGCCATTCTAAGTTGTACAAAAAAAAAGAATTAACCACGATATTTTCCAGGGGGAACCGCGTGGAGGGCGACTTGATAGGGTATATTGCTAGCAATGGAGTTGTTAGACCTCATTATTAACAATCCCTTCCCTCAGCCTTATATATACTTAGCTACCTATATTAATTGTCTTTTCAGGAAATAGAAGTGGAAGTGGAGTTGACAGCAAACCACCTTGGAACCTTCGTGATGAAGCTTTGCCCAAACAACAATCCTAAACAAGAAGCCACCCAGGAATGCTTCGATAGGTGATCAACTAACCTGTTGTAGTAAAATTTTTTATGGGCAGCAGCGTCCCTTTTAAAACATCATCAAAGCCTAACTGCGATTGCCAATTCACCTGCCAAGCATGGCAACTACTGGTAACACCCCCTTTATAGGAGAGGCCCAATACTGAACAGTTAACAACTGATATAATGATAATTAAAATTTATTTGAATTTAAGATAATATTTTCCTTTTTTTTTAATATCTATCGTAACGAGCGTGATTGACAAGAACTCCAACAGGCTCTTAAATGATGAATGAATGAACCTATGTAAATCTTTGCTAATTTTTATTGCAGCATCTTTTACGTGTACTTTCGTATTTTTGTAAATTTTTTCTTTAGATTATTTTATTTATTGCCACCTTTTTGACCACAATTTCGTACGCATAGATTTCAGAAGTAAAACAATCAATGGAATAGACTATTTTTAGATGGCGTATCAAGACAAAATATACACCATATTTGAAGTTAAACCTTTAGGAATACAATTCTGAAAACCGCATCCCTTTTGATCTTGTAATTTTTACCTATCACAGACAGAAACATACAGACAGACTAAATTTTAATATTTTATATTTTTTAGCTTCCCTTATTAAGACTCCTCATATCAATTTTTATTTAATATCTTTCATGTAAAAACATCGTCTACTTATAATAAGGAAGAAAACTGTTACTTGTTTTATATGGTATATTTTGCTTTTTTTGTATATGCATTCTTTTATCTCTTTTTACTGTATATGTTTGTTGTTATTTGTGTGCTGTAAATAATGTAATTATCTATCCATCTATCCAATTTTATTTAGATAATTTATTACGATATTTCTAACATTTATTTTTTTGCTTCCGCTGCTTTTAACAAGACCCACCCCCTCATGTCGACTTTCCTTAAATATCTCTAATGTAAAGATATCGTCTATTTATTTAATATTATTATATCTATTTATTATTATTATATTATATGGTGAGATTTACTTTTTTTTCTTTTCAATAAGAAAAGATCATTCTTAATCAAATATTAATATTCAGATATATATGTGTGTGTATCTTAAACAATGATATTATTGAATTATTCTAAATGCTTTGTAGGTATCCACTATATATATCTGGGACAAGAGAAGACAGGTTCCTGATCCCTCTGGATACGGAAAAGAAGGAAATATTCAGGTATAGAGTGAGGTTGCCGCCCTATGTCACGTGTACGCAGTGTGTACTCCAGTGGACATATTATACAGGTGAAAATCAGCATAGTATTTGTTTATATTTTTGTTTTAATTCTGACACCATAATGGAATGGTGTGCTACCAGTATACGCCATTAGCCCGACTTGACATTGGCCGACTCGGCCCACTGGGCCCTAATATAATGACGCGCAGGCGGCATCCTGTGCAATGGAAGCCCGGGTAAGGAGCACTAGCTTGACATCCGAACCTCCAACCTTGTAAGGGGCTGCGGAAGAACCCCGTCGTCGTCGGTATACGCTGGCAGGACATCAGTGACAGATGATAGGTGAGGATGAAAAGATAGGATAGAAATAGGTCAGTTAGCCCATCGTGTTGAATAGACCTGGAATTCAGCACGATAACTTCCAGGGGGAACCACGTGGAGGTCGACCTAATTGGATATATTACTAGCAATGGAACCCTTAGTCTTCATTACTAATAATCCCTTCCCCCCCAATACCAGACATCACGCTATCTCATTCTCATATACCTGCTAGCAATAACTCTACCGACATAGATAGATTCCACCGACAGATATGTTAACTACTTGTCTAGAAGTTAAGTAGGAAGCAAACATAAAGACAAATATTGTACAATTAGTCCATTACCCTAAGGTTGTAAATTGCCTTGCTTATTTCCTATATTGTATAATGCAAATAAAGTATACTCATTCATTCATTCATTCAAATATTGTCCGCACACACAAAGTCATTGCATAGAATAGTCCGTCCCTTCCTAGGGGTGTCGTAAGAGGCGACTAAGGGAATTTAATGATCGAGAGATGGGCAGTACTGTCCCTTTTACAACGTCACCAAGTCTGGCTGCGGTTGCCAATCCGCTTGCCAAACGTGGCAACTACTGGCAAAACCCTCGAAGGAGAAGTCCTATATTCTGATATGATTATGATGATGGTGCTATCCCATAATTATAGGTAACATGTGGGGAATTTGCGCGAACGGCACCGAAGCTGTGGGCTGCGGCCGTTCAGAGACGTTCAGGAACTGCGCTGATATCAGCGTGGTGACCAGCACCGGTGGTGTGCCACCAGCGTTCGTCGGCAACAACCTGAGGGACAATCCTTACCAACTGTTCTACAGAGATTACAGTATGCCACAAACTGTGTACCCGCTCATTGTGAGGTATAAAATTATGTTTTTGTTGCACTTTAAAATATATTTATGTATGTTTAATTTATGTACAGTGTACTTCACATGATATAAAACTAAATAAGGCATGCACAATTGTATGTGTGTTGTGTATTCGTTAGGTAAATATCACAAAAGATTTTGTATTATACAATAATGTTAATAATGTGTTACTTTTATAACTTTACTAGTGTTTACGGCATATTTATACTATTTTCTAAAGGGACTGAATGAAGCCACTGTATGCAAGTTGTATATCTCTCACTGTAAGTATCTATATTGGTTTGTTGCTTAGATTATACAGATAAATCTTCATACAAATGTTTTGTCAAAAAGGTCAAGGTTTTGACATATGTATATTAATATTATATTAGAAAAAATAGTTCTTAATTTAAATAAAAAAAAATCAATCTGTTGTGGGAATTTTTTAATCCAATTACTGACAACGTTGAAAATGTGCATTTTGTTTATAATTAAAAAAAATACAATTTGACAGCCAAACGTCAAATTAGTTGACTACATTTTGACACGTTTTTGACACTTGATGCTTTATCTATATAATCTAAGGTTAATTGTTTAACTTTGTGAGAAATTTCGCTACTAATTTCGAGGATATGTTTAAAAGGACTTCGTTTATAAAAAAGGCTGTCTAGAAAATCTTATTCTCTGACGTTACCACCGTCACTTAGTAATATAATATAATAATATTAGCGTAAAATTCTCATTATCTCAAACTTTTAAATCAGTTTAAATTATTTTATCAATAAAAACTAGATAAATAGAAATAAAAATAAATAGACAGACAGACAGAGTAACTAAGTACAAACAGTAGTAACATTTCTAAATTACCCAATGGGGTCAATTTGAGGTGACTTTTCTTTAAACTTATCTCTTAATATTTTAATTTGATAATTTCATGTAATTACTATTTTATGGACAACTAAAACGGAACAACGGAACTCCGTTGTTCAGTCAAAACTACCAACATCAATTGTATATGATAATATTATTGGTAAGTGCGTACTGGCGTCACTTGAAACTGTAGCCAACTACGACTACTAAAACTATTTATATAATATAATCTAATTTTATTATAATTTTGACATATACCTATTAGAAATTTTGTTCAAATTGGTCCTCAGAATAAAGATTTTGTTGTTATATCAAATTGAAATTTTAATACTAGGTGTAGAGAAACGGTCTCTCAGAATCAACTTCATTGTTTCCTAATATAAATAAAAAAAAGTCTGATAGCCTGTTTAAGTAAGTATTTATAACATTGTCTCATTAATAGTCGTCAGAATTAAGCATTATTAGGATTAATTTTACAAAAGTTTTAAATCTAACGCTGTTCTATATATTATAATTTTAATATATTTAATTTCAGTGCATTTAATTCGAACTTATATTTATTATTCAATAGAGAATTATCTATAGAGATTAAAATAACTGCTAATAGTATTTTTAGTTGAAAAATATACAATCTTTAATTCTCTCACTGCACTATTTAAGTGTATGGTTTATGGCCTAATAAGAATCTGTATATGTGCTTAATATTTCAGAAAAATGCCTTATGATGCGCGGAAGGCATCCTTACAAGTGATTAGGTAAACTTCTATATATTTAAATACTATCACAATGAATTTTTTTTTTAATATTTTCTTTTCTGTGAATAACGCGCACTCTAATTTATTAATTTTTTTCAGCAATGATATATCTGATACTGAGGAGGACATAAGTGAACCAATTGTGATTAGGTATAACCTTTATTGTGTTTCTTGTATGGTAAAGGTTTGGGCTGTCCACGGCGTGGGGTAGTGAAGAGTTGCCTGTTGCGTTCTATTGTGAATAAATTTTCCAGAGCGTTTTAGATTTGACGGATTCGGATTGAGTTTCAAATCTCATTGTATAAATAAAACTAACCATAATATGGAATAGAAAGGTGTTAAGTATGAATGTGGATTGCTGTAGGGGCAGAGGATGATCTAAAAAGATATGGATGGACTGTGCGGAAAATGGTATTGTCTGAATGGCAGTGAATGCTAAAATAACTGCAAATAGAGATGAATGGAAGAAGAAAATATATTACATCGATTCCAAATATAAGTAAAAAATTGGGGTAAAGGTAGAAAGATGATGATTTTATGTAATATCCTCGACTTTATTCGCATGGTAATTTTTTTAATAAAAATGGAATGGTTGTCACGCCTGCGCTACCAGTATATGCTAGAGGGATACCAAAGGTCAGTGACAGTTAAGCTAGTCCAGTCAGCCTGTTGGTGTCATGACGAATCCCCCAGAAGTTAAGCATAATGGTTTCCAGGGTAAACCAAGTAGAGGCCATCCCGACTGGGTGGGGAAAGAGATTGTTAGTGATGAGATTTAACAGCCCCAATGCTAGCAATACACCCTGTCAGGTCGATCTCCGCGGGGGGGAACCACCTGGAAACCATAGTGATTAATTCTTGTTCAATTAACCTGCCTTCATCCTCACTTATCACCCTTCACTGGTACCCTGTAAGTGTATACCGATAGTGTAGACGGGGTCACCATTCCATTTTCACCCATTAAAAAATTCTAACTGGATATATTGTTATAAATGAAGTCAATAGTGCTCAGCAGTGGCGTCTCCTCGGAATATTGAGATCAATAGATACCCGCTGTCTTATATATATATATACTTAATATTGTATAGAAGAAAAAATATTTATATTTATTATATGTATATATGTATTGTAACAAAGTAGGAACATTGAAAAGAAACAATCCGATTTCGTTATCTCTAGAGCCGCTCATAATTTGAACGTTTTAGACACTAGTCTAATTTCGTGTTGTTTAAAATGTAGTATAGTTATGTGACTAACTGACAAGTGTGAACTGTATAAATTGCAATGTTTAGATTAGTATGTGTTTGTGTTTGTTTATGTTTATTTACTTAGTTTATGTGTTAAGTAATGTATCTAACCTAACCTAATGTATCTAACTTTACTCTAATTGAATCTAATTTTCCAAGATGTTTAATATGATACTGTTCGATCCTTATCCAATATTGGTGGGTAATCACACATTTTGTTCCATCAATTTTGTGGCATCAGTGGATATTGCGATGACACTTGTTTGGTGAACGCCTGGCAGAGCGCCCGTGAACGCCTCCTCTACTGATTCAAGTAAAGTGTGAACGTTTCACAGTACACAATACCGTGTTCGGTATAAATAAGAGTGTTCTCCTGTCCATCATTGAGAGGCTGCTACTCCAAATTGTTAGTGGATCGCCGTGCGTGTTTACCAGCTGTGCTTTGTACATCTGTGTTGAACGTGAGCCTTAAGGTTGGTGGAGCTTCTATTACTCACTAATTTGGACGAGGATCATTTAGATACAATCATTCAATCCGTATATACAGTCCACACATCCTTTCGAACTAGTGACCTTTAAACTACCTCAGTGCAACGATTGCACAGATACTTATAGGCAAGTAACAAAAGTTCTAAATTTAAATCTCAAGAGTGGAAGAAGTTAACTGTGAAAAAGATGTTTGGACAAAACAAAGTCAAAAGAAAAGAGCATACTCCTTTTCCTTAATAGCTAGCAGTACACGTGCAATGCCTTTGGAGTTGCAGGTGCCCATTGGTGGCAATGATCACTTACCATCAAGAAGGCCGCATGCTCGTTTGCTCTCTGTGTTATATAAAAAAATATCTCTGATGCTTTAAGTTTTACTTTTTTGGCATTGACGTATTCACATTTGTTGCTATAGACGCGTCTTACACGATATCTTGAGAATAAGCCCGGTCTTAGTCTATATGTTGCCACCTGGGCAAACGTTTGATGATGCTCCTAACAAAACGTTATCGGAGGTAACTGATGAGCTAAGAGAACATTTATTCACTGGAGAAGAATGGATAATAGCTAATTCAATTGGAGAAGTTAAAGGATTCAGTTTCCTAACGGCGCAGTTCCGTTGTTCAGTCAAAACTACAAACATCAATTATATATGATTAAAATATTGGTGTCTGCGTACTAATGTCACTTGAAACCCTAGCCGTTGTCGATCATGCCCCTAATACTGTCTGCGAAGGGGGAAAGGGATTGTTAGTAATGGAGACTGAGAATCCCATTGCTAGCAATATATCCAACCAGATCGACCTCCTCGCTGTTCTCCCTAGAAACTATCATGGTTAATTCCTGATGAATTCATCATGATGGACTAACTGGCCTGTTTTCATTCTCATCTATCACCCTTCACTGGTGCTCCGCCAGCGTATCCCGTTAGCGCAGGCGGGGTTACCATACCATTTTCACCCATAAAAAAAAATACTGTCTGCGAAAGAAAAAAAAAAACAGAAAAGAGTATGTGTGACACTAACACACACGAACATAATTTACTAGAAGAAACCGATTCTGGTATCATAATCCTTGTACAGAACAATTTGTTGTGTCTAACCTGTAATCAGATATTGCATTTGATATTTTTAACTTGGATTAGAAAAACACAAACTATACTCTTCAAAAGACTTTAGTTTCGTTTATTTGTAATCGAAATTATGTTTTAATATTAAAATTATCTGACTCTATGGTATATTAGCTAATTTAAATAATCGAATACAATGTCTGATAATATTTCAATGTTATTGTTTTAATACGACCTGAGTCCAAGTAGCGACGCCATTTTACAATGTGTATACGCTTCTGTAGTAAATCCTTAACTAAACAAAATAAGATACGAAATACTAATATTTTGTATGACATGGCGCTAGAATCAAGATTTATGCTTTTTGTTAATTATTATGTAATTATAAACAATTTGGGGCAAAATTTCTTTGTTTTCTGGCTTATGAAATTATTTAAAAATAATTATGTCAAAAAAACACAAGTTTCAATTTTAGCGCCACCTAGTATTTCGTGTCCAATTTTGTTTAGCGACCAACCAACTAAAACATTATGATTATGTATAAGGTAAGCCCTTATTAATTACAAATATATAATATACAATATCAAGAGATATTAATTTCAGAAACTCTCTTTTTTTAACGTCATTTCAGGTTACGCTATGTATACAGAAGAAAGCAGCAAGAATAAATTTATCAATTGAAATAAGATTTCCGTTCGCTTTTAGTAAAACGTAAACATTACGAGTGTTATGTTCAGCACAACGATAACTGTCAATAAATGCCTCTGACTACCCCTATTAGAGATTATAGTCGTGATAATATTTCATTTTGTAACCAACTGATTTTAACTACTATGTATTTATGAAAAGTTTTTATAAATTATAATGTGTTTTTAAATTGTAAAAATGGACGAAATTTTTTTAACAATTTATGTACAAATATTGATAGTTCTAAATCTATAATTAGGTATACCTAAGTACTCGTATTTTAATTTTTGAGTATATAAACGTATTTTATTGTTTAAATTAAATATTCAAATTCAGATTTAACTTTTATGAGGCAAATCTAATAGCCGTGTGGTCCCGGCATAGAATGGGCTAACCCTTCTTTTACCATGAGTATCGTAAGATGCGATAAAGATAATTTAATGGACCAGAGTTGGGCAGCAGCGACTCTCTTAAAATATTACCAAAAGCTTAACTGTGGTTGCCAATCCGTCTGCCAAGCGTGGCACCTCTTGGCACAATTACCCTTATGGGGAAGGCCTAAGTTCTGCAGTGGATAGATAATACCTGATATGATGATTAATTGTTTCATATCTATAATTAGGTATACCTAAGCATCTGTATTTTAGTTTTTAAGTATATATATATATATATATATATATATATGTATATGTATATATATATGTACGTATTTCCTCGTTTTAATTACACTGACTAACTGACTGACAGATTCGATTAGAATTCAAATTTAACTTTTATGAGACAAATCTAAATGAATATTGTGAATGAAATATTTGATTTTTATTTGTTACTTAAGCTCAAAAATACTTAATCCATTTAGAATACTTTCATATATAGATAGATAGATACTCTTTATTCTGTCCTCCAAAAGATTACCATAGTAAACTTATTATAAATATAAACAATTACAAGAAATAATCACAGCTACAATATCAGATAGTAATATTGGCTGTATTTAATCTATTATATAATATATAATAATTATTAATTATTTATTTAGACAATATAAGGCCCATCCTGTCAGTTACAAATTTACTTAACCTATATTAGTAAATTAGCGGTCATGACGCTCTTGTATTTATAACCTGTGCCACCCAATATTTTAGGATGGGATACATATATATGTATCTATTAGTAATTTACCTTTCCATCTACCTATGCGGAACTGATGCAAGTCGCTAGTCCAGAATAAGATGTATCTAGAACATTCCATGATTGCTGTTGGTAATTCCTGTATCATTCGTGATTTTCCAGGGATCAGGTTTGCGTGCCGACTGAAAGCTTCCGCGTAATCCCCGGCATGCTGAGCTGGTGCCAAACGAACTGTCTCCGGTACCCGCCCAACTGTCCTGTGGCCTTGTGCCAGTGCCCGTAAGTATTTGACTCACTCAGTGGAAATGAAATTATTTGGAGGAGTAAAGTACCAATTTAAAATATTTATCACATATAATTTTTTTTTTTATACAACTTAGAATGGCAAACAAGCTGACGGCTCACCTGATAAAAAGTGGTAACCGTCGCCTATAGACATGAGCAGTACCATGGACATAACAGAGTATACTGTTTCGCCCATGATACCCCCATGCGTTGCCATTCCTGAGGACTCAGGTGTTATTCCTCTGTACCCAGTAAATTCACGCCATATCCCACCCTTCAAACCGAAACACAGCCATGTAAACACAACTGCTTTACGGTTGAAACACGAATGGGACAGAGGTACCCAAGCAATCGACTTTTGTACAAAGTCTCCCTCTGGTATAAAATAAATAATGTTTACGTAATGTTCACTTGGAACTTTACACGTCTTATGTTACAAAAAACCGACTCTACCGTGAGTATATACAGTAAATCAATAATTTTTATTTATAAACTAAACCACTGAATTGATAAACTACTTGTTCGCGACATTATTTGTATATATCGTAATTTATAGTTGTTAAGTCCTAGTTAATCGTTTTGTATTCTGTTATTTTATATAGATTTGCATAGATTTAAGATAGCATTATTACCTACGAATAGAAATAGAAATTGTAATTAATATATCTGATGTTACTTAAAATATTCGTGTTAAAAAAACTTACGGAAATAATCATACATACAAGTTAGTTAAATTAATATATAATAAATATATAAAATACATAACATACATTTAAATATATATACGGAGCACAAAAACAAGACAAAAGAGAAAGAGAAAGAAAAAATAAAAAAATACTTTTTTGTGAAACAAAGTCTACTCCGGATTGAAATAGTTTTATTTCTCTACACCCAAATAAGAGATAGACATATACATATGTAGTTATATACAAATTATTGAGCATTGTGACAATTAATTTATATTATTAAATTCTAGACAAGTGTGTGAAGCTATCGGAGAGTTGGAAGGTCGTGACGGTGCCGACGTGTACTGTATGGACCAGTGCATCGTGTACCCGCCCAAGTGTCCCAGCCACCGGTGCAGGTGCTACGAGGAACAATACGGCCGATTCACTAAAATGAGACCCGAGAATCACGTTTCACTCGACAGGGTTTTTTACCACTCTATTAGTTCGAAATAAGACCGCGCTTGTGTTAAATTTAGACTAACTAAAAATTGAAACCCAAAAGAAAGTACGTTGTGTACTTTTTGCTTTCTTTAAAAATAATGTACAAAAGTTAGTTTTTGAGATTAGTAACGCGTATGTGGTGTTAAAATGGTAATGTAAATAAACAGTTACCTCTCACCAAAAAGCGAGCATCATGGCAAGCGTACTCTATGCTTTTTTGCCATGATGATGGTATCATGAGAATACGTTCCATATATGAAAATCTATACCATGTAAATTATATACATTAGAACTCTAGTTATTAATACATATTAGTCCCATTTTTTAAACAACGATCCTATCTTTTTCTATTTTTTTATTTAGTTTTTATTTTCCTAATCAGTAAAATAACTATTTTATCAATAAAAAATCTAATAATTTAACATTTTTAATAATTCGTTTAAGTGCAAGTTTATTTATCGAAAGAGAATTATAACAATGTAACAATGCAGGCAAATTTTGTACCCATCATCTAATTATGTCTATGTAATATATTTAGATGGAAAATATTATATATATATATATATATATATATATATATATATATATATATATATATATATATATATATGCATCCACGTATAGTATATAGTATCCACTAGGAGCAAAATATCTGAACTGTAATAATTAGGCAAAAATATTTTTATTAGCCGTTTAAAATAATTTATATAGACTTTAGACTTCAAGGCAGATTTATTAAAATATAAAACAAGTGTCTTCTTAAACAACTTTAGTGCTAGTTCAGATATAATACTTTTAGTGGCAATATTTGGTCATACAATGGTGTATGATGGAAAAAATGTGCTCAAGATATAGAGAAAATATTTACGTAGCAATTTTTTATTATGAAATGTTCCAATTTTAATTTTACATGCTTTTTTTTCCATTTATCTTTTTTTCCATCTCCTATAATATATTTATAGTCATGATACTTTAATGGATATTTTGTCCGCATCCATACACCTAGTGCACGCTGACTACATTGTAGACATATTGCGTCAAGTAATTCGATGCTATTGACAAATAAATGTATATAACACTGCATTATATATCTATTCAATAAGAATATATATTGTAAATCTATAATAGTAAACAAATTAATACAAATATATTAATCTTACTTGTAAATAATTGAAGTGATTAAACGAAAGAAAAAGCTGTATTTTTTATATTATTATTTACCGAATTAAAAAAAAATAGAATAAAAATTAGACAAAGCCATACTAATATTATTAATTTTTGAGATAATTTCGAAATGATGTTATAATGGAAAATGTAGGTCGTATTTAATAGCACAGGCATAAAAGTGCCCCTTACTCCAACTATAGCAAGCTATGTTCGCATCCATGGCCAGCGATATAGGAACGAAACCTTAACAAATGTACTTTAATTATACTCAATGTAGCCATTCTCTTTTTAAATATTGTACAGATCTAGAATATTGTAAGTCATCTTAAGTTTTTTAATTTAAATTTAGTAAAATTTTGTAATATAGTGAAATAGCAAGTATACGGTTACTTACCTTATTAAAAATCTGCCTCTTTATTTACCTACATTTTGTAGACTTCAATACAGTAAGTGCCTTACATATTTTGCCATAATAATAATGTTTGCGTAATACATCAAATCTGGAAATTTTTCGTAAAGTGATAATAATGTATTTAGATATTTTTTATAAAATAAATTACCTAAATTTATTTATTTGTGTATTATTATTACTAATTAATTTATCCAGGATTTACTTGCATAAATAAGTACAATAATAGTCTTCAGTTGTATGATATACTGACGCAAATTCCGAGACAATTTTTCTAGAATCAAAATTTTATATTAAAGCTAAATGTAATAAAAATTTCGTTAAAGAGCAATATTACCTAAATTTATAACAGATTTAAGTAAAACATATTATAAATTTCGTTTATGATGGCCCATAAAACAATAATTTAAAATTTAAGAGATACATTTGAATGAGAAATTTCAGAATCCACCGCGATGTGTCAAACATTCAAGTCAGTTTAACTATCTAATAAGTGTATAACAATCATTGAAATAACTTTACAAAAAGAGTACGTATGTAATTTGCCAAAAGAATAAAATATATATTAATCGAGATATAAATCAAAGTATATTTATGAAGCAAAGTATATATAATAAAATTGTAATAGACAATATACAATTTTATAGTTCATAAATAAATATCTAACATAGAACAAGTACACATACGAAAAAGTAATATGCGGAGCCTTAATAAGAATAATAGAAGCCAAAATAACAATTTTTAACAATTACGTCTGTCTGTCTGTACATTTGTTCTGGCACACAACGCAACGCACACACGCACACAACGATAGTTAACGTTGAATAATTTATTTTTGGAATGTTATTTACTTATATTGTTACAAATTATCCGGAAGTAGTTGCATAGTGGCACAGATTTCCCTGTTTCAGCCATCAGCCTCCACAATATATACACTGAGTATTCTTAGATAAATAATTTGTGTATATACAGTATTGTGGAGAATGAATAAATATTTGAATTTGAGAATATAGATATTTCCCGATATTGACTTTATTTTTATCACAATAATATAAATTCTGCTCGTCTCTATTTGACATTGACGTTGACGTTTTGTTATCAGTCGCAGTGGAATGCAAACTACAAAGCAAACATTGGAGACTCCAATCGGTCGATTATTTACGCAAATCAACAAAACTTACAGAAAAAGTAACAAATCTATTATTGTAAATAATGAGTGATTTACTAGACGATGATTTGGAGTTTCGCGGCGGTACCTTACAATTATCGTCGGATAATATCAATGCAGAGAATGCGGAAAACAGTCAAAACAATACTGCAGAAAGAGTGAATAGAAATAAAACAAAATCAAATGCTAATTCTTCTGTTCTATCAGGTGCCGATTCTTTATCATCATCCACATCATCTTTTGCTGGTGAGCGTTTAATAACATATACCCGAAATGCCAATCAGTGGACACTTAGTTGTGTTATTTAGCAATATTAAAATGGATAGATATGTTATAATTAAATTTGATAAGTAATATCTTCTAACTTGTGAACGTACCTGGTTGAATGAATGTAAAATTTTAGGTTTTAAAAATTCAATTATTTCTATGTACAATAATAAAACTATCGTATGATCCCAATATAATATTGGCCACATCTTTTCTCGTGTGTGTCGTAAGAGACGACTAAAGGAAACTTATTAGTCGAGAGAAAACATCACCAAAAGCCTAACTGCAGTTGCCAACATACCTGCTAAGTGTGGTAATTACAGGCAAAATCCCTTTATTGGGGAAACCCTAGGCTAACCTAGGTACTAGGGGCGGGACAGGGATTGTTAGTAATGGAGACTGAAAATCCCATTGCTAGCAATATACCCAACCAGGTCGACTTCCTCATGGTTCTTCCTGGAAACTATCATGGTTAATTCCTGATGAATATATCATGATGACTAACTGGCCTGTTTTCATTCTCATCTATCACCCTTCACTGGTGCTCTGCCAGTGTATCCCGTTAGCGCAGGCGGGGTTACTATACCATTTTCACCCATCAAAAAAAACTTACGTACTAATCCTATGTGTACTGCAATGCAGTATTATAGCTCTAACCATCCAAAACTAGGGCCTTAGACATATTAATACATTTAAATAAGTAGTTATTACTATTAATATTTATATCAATGCACTAATGTTTGATAAATAGTTATTAAATTAACATATAAATTAAAAAAATATGTTGAATCATAAATTTATAACAGCAACTATTGAAAAATATGACTCTAAAAACATCACCGAAACCTAACTGCAGTTGCCAATCTGCCTGTCAAGTGTTGCAATTAGTGACAATCCTCCCTCTCCACAGGAGAAAGCCTGTGTTCAGCAGCAGATTGAGTGACAGTTGATATGATGAGGCTGATCATTTTATTGAAGTACCAATATTAATCAGCCATATATTAATAATAATTATTATTAATATATTGCTGATTAATAAATAATAATAATAAATTTTAATCTTAGATGCAAGAACAGAAGAACGAAGGACCGAGGGAGCAGCTGCTTCCTCAGAATCAGTACAAACTGTATACCCTCGCTACGATGTGCCATTTAATAGTGAAAATATTAAAGATTTCTTCACATTCCGTAAGGGAGTCGTGGAAAATGCAATCCAGGAATGTATAACTGCATTGTTGTTCCCTGAAGACGGGGAATATTTGGGTTCATGGTTATTGACTGAGTATGTTATATTTTACCATTTATCAATTCCTATTTTAAAATTCATACTTTATATATGAATAATTTAGTTCCATGTCATTGTGTTTTATGCAGTACTAGTAATCCTGAAAAACTTTGTACTGCATAACAGTCAGATAATGTCATGTTAAATTTTAGCAAATTTTATCTATATTAATAGTTAAACCTATTTTTAAAATAAAATTATAGATAATTAAAGAATGATATTATACTTTAACCGTTGCTTATAGACATGAGCAGTACCATGGACATAACAGAGTATACTGTTTTGCCCATGATACCCCCCCATGCATTGCCATTCCTGAGGACACAGGTGTTATCTCTGTACCCTGTAAATTCACACTGTATCCCACCCTTTAAACCGAAACACACCCATGCAAACAACTGCTTCACGGTAGAAACACGAATGGAACAGAGGTACCCAAGCAAACGACTTTTGTACAAATTTATAGAATTCTAAATTTTTGCAACAATTTTAGAGACAGAATGAGAATGGCTAGTTAATAAATACAGCCATATGATATGATTTCAGAATAACCTTATGGGACAATGAAAAGGAGCGAATTGTACTCCTTACTTCCAGACTAGTAATGACTATAAAATATGACTTTATTGCTATGAAACAATTGGACTTCAAGAAGACATATCTAGATGATTTAGACACCATAGTTATTGGAGAGTTGGTATATCCACCATCATCTTTAGTACCGTAAGTGTTATTTTTGAATTTTTTTATTGCAATATAGGATATATTTTCAAATGATTTTTTACTTTGTCATTCTGTCCTTAAGGTCCATATTTAATCTTATTATTGATATGTAGCTACTATAACTTCCTTCACAATTTCATATTATGGATAGTTGTTTATTATTAACTATCATACAATTAACTGTTTAAATTTGGTTTTCCTGAAAATAATTTAATTAATAAATAATTTGATTCCAACATGCTTTGCAATTTTGATAGATTTTTTAAGTTAGGTCTTCAAGGACATAACTATGAAAACTGCATCCAAATTGATGCAGTAGTTTTTGCGTGATACCGAAACAAACATGCAGACAGACAAAATTTAATAATATTTAATAAAGAGTAATCTCTTGGCCTCTATTAGTATTTTATTATTAAGACCTCTCAAATTTTTTCTTGGCTTGAAGTTGCCATATACAGACACCATCTAGTTGCAATTTTATTATATTAAGTAAGAATGGTACTGAGATATTGCCCCTCCCCTGCAGTCGACTTAACGGCATCGCCACCGGTGTGTCGACGGTAGTCAAAGACTGCGTCATAGACCGCCTGTGCAGGAGGCCTAGCTCCAGCAACGAGGACACTAAACTGTTCGATCCCAAGTATTTTGAACCTAGGTACCTTCCGTTGCTGTAGATGCATGTTCAAATATCACTTTTAGTTTTGCAAGCTTTGAGGACTATCCATAGACTGTCACTCACTTTATCTATACTCACACGCGCACGCACATGCACACGAACACGCACACATACACGAATACACATACGCAACACACGCAAACTAAAAGGCGCGCGTGCACACACACGCATACAGTTTGCAGTTTGTAAATAATGTTACCTAAATTAAAATTCTAATAAGTTTTATATTCGTAATTTTAATCGCTTTTTTTTTAATCTGTCTATTGTAACATTAATTGGATGCCTAATATTTGTATAGTTCATGGCAATGGGCAATATTAAAAAATGGCAATATTTGTCTTTAATAACTACTTTCTCGTAATTATGCTTAATTGCACATTGTAAACATATGCCAAATTATACTATTCATGTCACACGCTTTAGGCTCAAATAAAAAAAAAATTATTCATTATAAAAAGCAATAAGAATAATAAAGTTTATTTTTTATATACAGGTGAAAACTATTACAGCTAAAGGTAGTTTGCTTGTTTAGTATTTTTTTTTTTTTATTTAATTAGAGTTGTCATTTTATACTTAAATAACAGTTTTTTTTTATTTTCTTCTGCCTAATATACAAAGGAATATGAAGAAAATATATAGTAGTTAGATAATATTTTGTGCTTGTTTAAACTATATAAAAATTAATTCTAGATTTCTAATTTCTACGCTTCGATTCAAGGGAGCGGAACTTACGCGGCGTCCGCCTAATGTGGAACAAAGGGGAGCCCCTGCCTCTGAAGACTGTGTGGAACCCCTTCAGCCAGGACGTACCTTTTCTGACGTTTGCTTCACATCCCATTTACTGGCATAAAGGTACTATATCTAACTTTTGATTGAATTTATGGTTCATTTGACAACCCTAAATGTTGTTGAAATTTTTTTGTATTACAGTCTAGATTTTTTATTCTTAGCATTTAATTTCTTAATTTTTTTTTTAATTAAGTGTAAATTAATAACATAAGTAAAACAATAATTGGCTCTTACAAAATTTGGTTGTAATTGAGTTCCGAATGTGTGGTAATGAAAAAAAATCGTTATTCAAAAATACTTTAAATCTAAGTTTACTTAAATAAAAATATTTCTTTCTTTCTTTCCTTTTTATTAATGAAAAAAAAAAAAGATTTACCTACAAATTTGCGAGAAAAATTAATTTTGGAACAATTTTAAATGCAATATTGCTTAAAATTATTTATCGCCTACGGGTATACCCTAAACACCCATACCCCACTTTAACTAAGAGTTTCGTCTAATCACATTGGCTTATACCCTTATTGAGTAGTAATATAAACTACTTTTTCGAATACAAAAAGAATTTTGTATTCATTTCGGTCTACAATTAACGGAGAAATCGATCGACATACATAAAAAAAATACAGTAAGAAAATAGAACCTTCTCCTTTTTTGAAGTCGGTTAAAACACTAGAAACCATAAAATATTTTCAATTTTCAAGATGGCGGTCCCGAGGAAAAGGCACCTTTCGATATGGAGATATTTGCTCAAAAACTTCAAAGAGCCATAGAAGCCATGCCTTCATCAGCGTGCTGCATCCACCATTCACCGGTGGTGATACAGAGCTACGTGGGTGTTACATCGCTGCTGCATAACAAAACTAGTATGGGCTTCTTCAAGGTCAGAGGGAAGTTTAGTTTTTAATGTCGGTAGGGCGGCGCCACTGTCGCAGTTGTTAATAGTGATTGGAGCACTACACGGTCTGCTACATAGATAGGTGAACAATACAGACTATATGCTATTATTCAAAATACTTGTATTTTATCCCACTGTCTTTATTAAAATGTTTCAGAAATTAATCTGGCGTGTTTGAAAATATTACGCTTTATTTTTTAAATAATATTAATATTTATTTAGCTGTTTGGCCCCGGAATGAAATAGGATACCGTTAATCGCCTCTTACGACATCCACGGGAAAAGAAGACTTTCCTGTGTGTGTCGTAAAAGGGAATTTAAGGGTCGAGAAATGGGCAGCCTTTTAAAGCGCCACCTAACCTAACTGCGTTTGCCAGCCCAACTGCCAGCTACCTGGTACATTGCTAGCAATATACTCTGTCAAGTTGACCTCCACGTGATTTCCCTTGCCAACCATCGTACTGAATCCTAAGTGTATTCATCACGATGGGCTAACTGACCTGCTTTTTCATCCTCACCTATCATCCCTCACTGGTGCCCCACCAGTGTATACCGATAGCGCAGGCGGGTTTATCATTTTATTATCATTCATTAGAAAAAGCCCAACTGCCAAGCGTGGTAGCTATTGGCAAACCCCCCCCAAGGAGGAGGCCTGTTTCCACCAATGAACAATTAACGGTTGATAAAATGTTGGATTTTCAAATACTCCTGAAGATGAAGTACAAGTATTTTGAATAATATTAAATAGTCGATATAATGAAGTTACATCCAGAAATCATAACACAAATAGTGAATTAAAAGAAATTTTATTGCATTATTAATAAGGTTGACATTTGATTGTGTTCAAATACTTTTGTTGCCGATAGTTTGTATAAAAATGAGAAGAGTTTATGGGTGAAAATAGAGCTGTCCATATGACAGGAGTGTTCAGCGGGCCGACTTCCATTTGATGTCGATTCGATGTGATTCCATTCGATTGATTCCAATTCGATTGTTCAAAGTCAGCCTGCTATTCGAATATGGCCTTTTTATGGTACAAAGAATCGTAAACGAAAGTAATGCCTACATGTCTTTGTTGTAGTGGACGTTCTTAGTTGATAAAAATTTCGTGTCTACATATAATAGATTCAAACTGTTTTATGCTCTATTTCTATATACTTAAACGAAATTAACCTTCATAGACTTTTAGCCTGCGATAAGTGGAACGAGTTGTAAAATGTTAAATGTACTAATTATGAACACATTTTCCTCAATTAACTTCTGATATTTGATCAAATATATGGACTAATTGATTCTGTGCTAAGTACTATTGGAATGTCTGTGGAGTTTTTAGAGTTTTGTATGAAATAGTTTCGAGTATCTAAATTTTTTTTTTATGTTGAGGCCATAATTCGATTGAATCATTTTTGTGTAAAAGTTCATATCATATCTGTTTGAACGAATTGTTATTTTTTTTCTAATTTTTTTCAAATATTTAGCTACTAAAAAAGTATATTTTTTTAATTTCAATTGATTCTAAATATTCTTTGCGTATGTAACTAGGTTATTCTGGCCAAAATGTTTCAACTAACATTCCCATAAAAATACATACAAAAATATGATCTATTGTATCAAGGAATAAAGTTATTTATAATTTGCCCTTTGCATTGACACTTTTTTACACACAACTGAATCGGTTGTGTGTAAAAATTGTTGTCTCTTGCACCTATTGAAATTAATGCCATTAATTACATTCTTAATTTTATTTATCATTATTTAATTATCATTATGTCACTGTTGATTTTATCGCACATAAAAATTAGAATCATTAATAAATAGTCATATGTCTAATTATGTTAATAAGTTTCTTATAGTATCGTACGCGCTAGACTATATTAAATATTGTTGCATTGAAATAAGGTGTAATTTCAAATAAGAGCTTTAAATATCGTGTTGTTTCGAATGTGTATTATTCATAGTGTCGGCCTCTACATACGTGGTGAATGATTCATGCTGAGGAATATATATCGGAACGTAGCAGATTACAAAAAATCACGACTCTGAACTGCTCCATGGAAACTGTAACAACTGTTCTAGTTTCACAACTGACCGCATCGGCTTAATGAAACACGAAACGTGCTCTTCTCGTATCTAACATATAGTCTTAACCTTTATAAGAGAGAGATAGCGTGGACGGAATGGCGGTCGGAGATTGATGGCTAATATGGAAGGCTGTAGAATTTCTGGCAATAATAATAGTAGTCAATCTTCGAGTGGTGACAGTCGCATTATTGATAGATAGATAGATACTAATGGTAGTGGAATTAAACAAAAAAAAAATCTACTAACCAGTGATATGGACTTCCGCAAAATAACACCAAGTACAGTTAAATTGTTTTAAAATATTTCAAAATGTTTATTCACATCTCACATTATCTGAAATTTTAAAATTTAAATTGGATCTTATTGCAAATAAGCCTAAAGTATGTTGTCAAATGCTATCGCCGCTGTATAAGTGGCTCGTATTTTTTTTTCACAGTTACCTTATTGATGGGGTAACTAGAGCTTTTACTGTGTTATATTCCTTCCCTGGCGAAACTGAGAACTTACTAGGCTCAGATAATCCAGAGATACGAGGTTTGTATCCCGTCGCATCTACCTTTATGTTATAAATCTAAAATTAAAGTGAGTGATTTTAAAGAATTAGTAATATCATTTTTTTGGCACTGTTGAGATATCGTTTTTGCAATATTTACCAAAGAATAGCATAATCTTTTATAATATTGATATACTTATATTTAATATAAAATGAAATCATACTTGTCTATTTATTCATGAAGTAAATTCTATTTTCTCAAACATGCTTGGAAATGTGAGCATTATTTTGACAATCTTCTTCGAGATAAATCGAAATTGCCGTACTGGCAAGATACATGCGGGCAGCGGCCGGCAAAAGTTGTATGAAAATCCATATCTGTCGTGTTTTGCGGCCAGATAAATTACTATGTAACTCATATCTGTCCTGTAATTTAAATATGGAATGACCTTTTACACGAAACATGGCTACCAAGGAGGTAACTAATAAAAGGTTTTATTTAAATTTCGAAATGGCTTGCAAATAGAAAGCTTGTTATTGAAAAAAAACAAAGGAACATTATGGCGCGTGAAAAATTATTATTGTTCGTTATTCGTCATTGAACTTAAAAAGAAAAATTGTGTTTTTGATTTCCACTCATTGTTTGAGAAAAGTACTATACAAGCCTTGGCCACAACTAGGCATTGATGGACTCACGTATGTGTGCCTCGGCTACACCTCGGCCCACATTTGCACGTTCGTCCATCAATGCCTCAGTTGCTGGCCGCTGCAGTAATCTACTATTCATGTTATTAATTTTTCTGTTATGCTTGTAAATAAGATCTGTGTAAATTAAAAAAAAATGTGTATTATCATATATTTGATTCAAAATTCAAATTATTAAATACTAGCTTTTACCTACGACTTCGGCCGCGTGACATGTTTACTTATCGGGATAAAAAGTAGCCTATATACTTCTCCATCACATATAGTATGTATATATCAAAGTTCATAGTGATTTCATAGGTCAGTTAAGTTGTTAATGCGTTATAAGGTAACAAACAAACTCACTTTTACCTTCAATAATATGTTGATTAATAAAATGTGGTATAAAAGGCGGGTTTAATGCTATAGGCATTATCTACCAGTCAACATTTAGGATTCGCAAGAGATACTCGTTTTATATCTTACACTATGAATTTATTTACAATCTTACGTATTACCCATTTTAATTTTTTTTACAATTCAATTAATTTCTTGTAAATACATATGAAAATCTGTATTTAAAATAGCCATTGTTTAGAGAAGTTACGTCAAATTATATGTATATAAGTAATACATTGTAAGTTGTTATAAAGGAAAGGATTAACGCGCCCCTATTCGGATAGAATATAATATTAAAACTATTATAAATATTTATCTATTTATTCATTTATTGCACACCAGTTTTTTACCTACTACTTTGTACCCGTGAATTTCAGAAGTAGTGAAACCAATTTCAGGTAGTTCATGTAGAGAATAATTAATGCATTAACATCTTTATAACCTCACGATGCATTAATAAACAATTAAACAAATTAAATAAACTATTTCTATATAGATAGCGTGTCAAGATAAAACATTTACCATCTTAGTATGTTAAAGCCTTAAGAATACAAATATGAAAACTGTATTCTATTTAGTGGAGCAAGATTAGTGTGATACTAGAACAAACACACAAAAACAAAATTTCTAAAAATTATTGTTTTTAACCAATTCAATTGCAATTTTGTTGTATTTTTTGTTAGTTACCGCCTAACAGTAACTGTTTTTTTTTTAGTACGTTTGTTCCTTTTTTTTTTTAGTACATTTGTTCCTTTTTTTTAGTACGTTTGTTCCGTTGTGGAACAGGCTAAGGTCGAAGACCATGCTGCCTAGTATTTAATATGATAAATTGTCTGGTATTTCACGTTTGTTCCGTTGTGGAACAGACTAAGGTCGGAGACCATGCTGCCTAGTTTTCAATATGATAAATTGTCTGGAATTTCACGTTTGTTCCGTTGTGGAACAGACTAAGGTCGGAGACCATGCTGCCTAGTTTTCAATATGATAAATTGTCTGGAATTTTACGTTTGTTCAGTTGTGGAACAGACTAAGGTCGGAGACCATGATGCCTAGTTTTCAATATGATAAATTGTCTGGAATTTTACGTTTGTTCAGTTGTGGAACAGGCTAAGATCGAAGACCATGCTGCTTAGTCTTCAATATGATAATTTGTCTGGAATACACTAACTGTGTGTATCTGTCAGTTGTAAAGCGATTTGGAAAATTGTTATTATTTTTTTTATTTGAAAGGATATATTTACAGGACATATGATCCCATAGAAATTTCAATAAAATTAGTTCAGTGATGTAGTTTTTAAATCGAAATAACTGATGTTGCTACAAATGAATTTGGTTTTATTTGTGGAACACTATATTAATTGTGGCTTTTATTGATCTTACTAAGACCCCTTGCATAATTTTTTCTGAAATATCTTCCATATGCAGATGTCGTCTACATACATATCCGTCACGCCTGTCTCCCATTAGGGTAGGCAGAAACAATGGAACGCCAAATGATTCCATGCTTCTTGTTTATTTTTTATCTTCCTTAATACTTTACTTACAATATCAATGCACAATGTTAATTAGAAAATAATTAAGAAATTTTAAATGTATATCGATGCCTGAATTAACATTTAAACAATTATTTTTATCTTTCTTAAGAATTTTTTTTATTTTTAAGTATGGATCTTTATTATACGTATACTTAGCTCTCTTCTTTATATGCAACGAAGATGCCAAAAAGCATATGGTTCTCTTGATAGTAACTGGTTATCGTAGCGTATAAACAGTGTAAGATATAGAGGAGTTAATTTCTATTTAGTTGTAAGGCCTTAATCTAATCAAAGATTTTTTTTAGTAGAAATCAACACAAATTTATATTAAGTATAATGTATTAAAATTTTTTGTAGTTGGCAACACACCCTTGATATTACAGGTGACCATAGACTACAGTAATCGTTTACCAATAGACGGACTTTATTCTTGATTGTCACGATAGTATTATAAAAAAAAACCTTGACTTACATTTTTAAATTTTTTGGCCGTCAGTTTTAAACCTAAATAATACTGATTTACAGAAGAAGGTATTTAACAAATACATTGTATTGTATTTTTGCATTTATTTCTCGCTTATCTCGCGAGATTATAGAGTGATACATCCGTTCAAAATAGGGGGGCGATTTATCTGCATTTAGCGGCTGTTAAATATAAAAAAAGACATGAAGATATTAGAAATGTAGCTTTTGCATTAACAATTGTTAAATAAGTATTCCATTATGTTATTAATTTGCCAAATAAATTATGTATTTAATGTAAATTAAGCTTTAATTTTTTGGACTTTGAATATAAAGAAAATGTGTTGTCAAATTTGTATGTATACGCTTTGAACTAGTCCTAATTCTTATTTTAAAAATAAATATTATGTTTTTATTGTATCAATTGATATAAGTTTTTTTTTAATCGTAATTGTCAATGGTTAGGTGTCATAGTACCATAAATATTCTGCTATCCTATTATAAATGCTATATGTTCATATGGGCCTAAAAGACTAATATTTGGTCTACGATATAATAATTATTAGTCACTCATATATTTTATTATTGATTTGTTAAGTTTTAAGTTATTGAATAATTGTGATTTATATAAGTTATATTTACGTATAAATAATATATAATGGTAGATTATAATTATTATAAATTAAATCATGTGATAAAATCACACTATACTATGCACATTAAATGTATAATGTACTTAGCTGGTTTTTTTTTATTTACTTTTAAATAAGTAATTATATTATGTTATTATATTTGCAGTAAACTAATAAAAATGAGAAACTATACCGTTAATATTTTTTTAAAAGACTGGATAGCCGACATTAGAAAATTTATAAAGAAAAATTACACTACTTTGAAATAAATTCGAAGAGATTGGTTTTGGAATTGTGACGTATTGCACTCAAATTGGTATCAATTGTGCATTGCCATTAAAGGAAATAAAATGTTATAACTGATTTATTTAGTACTCTTATTTTTAATTAAATTTATGAATATTTTTGTAATTTTTCAAAGCAATCAGTAATATTAATTCTAACCTAATTTATAAATGCTAACTGTGGAATTTCAAGAGTACGGTATAAAATTGTCATTGGCAGTAAATTGGATTGTAATCGATATAGCCTCCTTAGACAAAGTACAAACGAATCTATTGATACTGCTTACGTGAGAAATAACAAGTCGCCGGTTATCGCTATATCAGTCTATCTCTAAGGCTTGCTAGCGATAACGATTCTACCAATAGATTCATTTATACTTTGTCTAAATAAGATTAAAGAGTACACCTACAAGTCGATCGTTATTTAAACTAGTTCATTATTTTTTATTTCAGACAGTTTTGAGTCCATTTTTGTTAGTACGTGTACCTACTTAAAACTATGTTTGTACTTAATCATTAATAATGATCTAGTCCTCTGGGCAAGCATTCGCACCAGACTATCTTGATTTATTTACAAACATGTTCCGGATACTGTTGCCACTCCCGCGTGTTTTTTTTTTTACAAAAATAAAGCCATCTTTTTTCGCCAGACAGCGTCAAAGCTATCTGTGCGGGCTTCGGCAAATATCGCTGAGGCACTAGAGAATAAAAGGAGTCTCGACAGCAACCCGAACGTGTTATTAAATTGGATTATGAGGGTGTATACTAGGTGACGGTATAAACGACAGTTCATCTTTCCTAATATTCCATGTACTAAATATATTTACATTACATCTCCATACATGTAAAACATGTAAGAATATTAACTTTTGAAGTTGAGTATCTACTAAATTATTATTATCTTAACATTTCAAATTATTATTAAATTTGTAAATGGCATGCTCTGTTTTATTTTAAGTTAGGATAAAACATACCCTTACTGTCCGACTCGACCCACTGAAACTGCGCAGAGATGCATCTCTGTGCATTTTCTACCAAATTTATCATGGGGAGTGTTCTGAGGAATTGTTCGGATTAATACCTGCTGTTGATTTTCACCACCGTACAACCCGCCATAAACTAAAGTTTCATCCTAATCATCTGGACGAGTGGCGGTCTTCCATCGTGCGTTTTTCAAGGCACTTTCTTCCACGCACAACCACTCTGGAATTAACTCCAGCAACAGTATTTCCGAACTGATACGACAACATGACCTTCAAGAAAAGAGTATATTTCTTTTTAAAAAGCCGGCAGCAAACCTGTAATGCCGTTGGTGTTGTGGGTGATCATGGGCGGCGGTAGTCATTTACCATCAGGTGAGCCGCGTGCTCTTTTTCCCCCTGTATTCTAAAAAAAATACCCGTGTCCCAAATTTCATTCAAACACGTTTAGCAATTTGCGTGAAAGAGTAATAAACATGCGTCTATCCATTCATCAATTTACTGTTAACTTTGGCATTTATAATATCAATAGGATGAAAAGACCCTGTTAACAATCAAAAAACCCGTTGTATAATAAAATGAAATCTTTAATATAGGAATACATAAGTACATATTCAAAAGAACTCTTGATCGCTCCAACCATTAGGCAGCGTGTAATCATTCCAGAAACTTTCATTTAAGTACGTCAATTTAGGATCAGTCTCGTCAGCCCCCACTTGCCGTACGTATCGTATATTTTCTAACCAGGACAAATTATTTTCTACAGTTTTGTTGTGTATCTGAGCTAAATACTCATCTGGATTTAATTGTTTTAATATTTCAGGTTCATTTGTTTTTACTACACTTTTTGTAGGAATTTCATTAGCTAAAGAAACGACTTTTTTTACAGGTTTGGTAAAATTTCCTTCTACTTTTTTACCCTTTTTAGAGTTAACACTTTTATTTATATTTCTTGTTACATTTATTTTCGCTTTATTCCGTTTAATCGTCTTTTTCTTTTCAACATTAGTTGTTTTAATAGCCGTTTTTATGTTAGTAGCAGTATGTGCGATTTCATTTTGAGGAACATTATAAATTATAGCTTTTGTTGTAAAGTCTGTAATAACTTTAGACCTAGATTTCAATGTTACATTATTGTGTGATCCATGTATTATTAAAGTTTTATCTTGCTCTTTTATTTCGGTATTTTTTATGTCTGTGATGTCATTAACATCCTTAAAATTATCAGGAATAATACTCTGGGAACACATTTCGTTATTTGAGTTTACATTTGTTAGTGTCGGATCTTCTATTTCTTTTATAGACAAAATGGAAAGCTGTTTTTGTATATTATCGTCTATAAAATTTAATTCATTCGAAATTTGTCTTGAATTGTTCTGGACGTTACCATCTTGATCAGTTACTGAATGTAAAATTATCATGTCATTTTTGTGTATATTTTCATCTGGCATATCTTTTATTGTATCAATATTATTCTGAAGAACTACAATAGTTTCCATCTCGTCATTGTCTACAATAGAATATACTGGAGATATGTATCCCTGATTATTGTTAAAATAGACTTCATTGATTTCGTATTTGTTTACATTTAAATTATGAAAATTTTCTGCCTCAGTAATTATTGCATTCATCGATCGTTTTAATTTTTCTATAACCTGTTAGGACAAATATTAGTCAGTATGGTGCGGCTGTGTGGTCACCCCTTCCTTTCCCGTGGGTGACGTAAGAGGCCACTAGGGGAACTTAATAGTCAAGGGATGAACAGCAGTGGCCTTCTTAAAACATCACCAAAGCCTGGCTATGGTTGTTAACCCGTCTGGCAAGCGTGGCAACTACTGGCGAAACTCCGCAATGGAGGCCTATAGTCAGCAGTGAACAATCAATGGCTGATATGACGATGATGATGTGATTATTGGTAATTGAGGTTTAATAAACTTTCACTTTTGCCGAACATTCATTAATTCATGCTTACTGGTTAATTAGTACTTTCCCATTTTTCAGCACGTCACCTATTTGATTGAATCTAAACAAGACGCAGCGTGAAAGCGTGATCGCATCAGCGACATTGTGAAGAAAAAAAAGCCGACAATCATCTAGAGTCATAATTCCTACTATACTTTTGTATTAAGATATGCCTTTTATTCGATTTTCAATTAGGACAATTTAGGAATCGAACTTTTCTGAACAAGCCCGGATCTGGGTGTTGTAAGTTTTTTTTTAATGAATGTCAATGGAATTAATATTCTGCCTGTGTTAACGGTATACGCCGGCGAGGTTCTAATGACGGATGATAGGTGAGGATGAAAATAGCTCATTGTGATGATACACCTGAAAATTCAGCATGATGGTTACCAGGGGGGGGGGGCACGAGGAGATTGGGTATATTACTAGTAATGGGGGTATTAGTTTTCATTATGAACAATCTCGTCGCCTGAGTTATGCCGCTGTTTGTGGATGTGATTGTGTTGTGGCACTTATTTAAGTTAAGCTGACGGTTCTGATGAAAACCGGTTACCGTCACCTATAGTCATGAATAGCACCATGGAGAATGGATCAATGGACACCGCAAAAACAGAACAGATGTTGTAATGCTTATGACAACTCTCCTCACATTGTTGACACTCTTCAGGACAATGATTTGAATGTAGAACATTCAAACTTTTTCATAATATGAAGTAGCTTTTACACGTGACTTTGTCCGCGTAACTGGAATAAAAAGTAACCTATATCCTTCTCCATCCCTGATAGTATGTGTATACCAAATTTCATAGTGATTGATTAAACCGTTAAGGAGCTATAAGGTAACAAACAAACTCACTGTCATATTTATAAAATTTGTCAGGATAGGATAATAGGTATCTATTAGAAATATTATTAGAATTATATATATTTATCTATTCTTGTTTGTCGTTAGTAACTAGTTTTAGATGGATCCCGCCCACAGTTTCTCCGAATGCAGCGCGGTGCAGGGGCGTTTGCGACAATAGATTTTCCTCTACGAGCATCCCGTTTTGTATGGAACCATGACCGAGTAAACGTTCATGTAAATATAAAGTCTAGTCTATACAGTTATATAGAATACTGGTAGTGAATTCGAAACCGACATTAGTAAAAATTAATTTTTTTTATAATTTCCTAAAGAAATCTGGGTCAAAAATTGTTAATTCGTTTATATATGGGATACCTATTAGGCTTACGTTGATTCTCGGCAACATACACAATGAAAAACGGCGAAATGTCTTTAAAATATGTTGCAGTTTTATTTAATGGATGGAGTTGGAATGGTGAACCCGTTATACCTAAGAACAAGGAATTACATAAAAGGAATGATGAAAATAAAAACTGTAAATCATATGGTTGCCTCCTTTCTTCTTATGCTTATATAATATATTTGTTGTTATTTTTCTCAATTCATAGCAGGCTAGTGTATAGAAAATACACAAGTTTGATATGTCTATTATATGTCAATGACAAATTTTACATTACTACTCGTAAACAATATATTTGGTAGAGTTATACGGCCGTATAACATTTTCTATACACTAGCCTGGTATAATATTTTATATATATATATATATATATATATATATATATATATATATAATACAATTAAATACAATATATATATATATATATATATATATATATATATATATATATATATATATATATATATATATATATATACATGTTAAGATAGACGAATAATTCTGGTCAAAGCGATGATGAGGGTTATGAGCTGAATTTACTCATAGTTAATTTATTATAATTATATATCATACCAATTTTATGTTTTTTTTTATACAACTAAGAATGGCATGCTGACGGTCCACTTAATTGACAATGGTAACCGTCGCCTATAGACATGAGCAGTACACAAATTACAATATAAACATACACATAATATACAGTAAAAGAGACAAAAGAATGAAAAACAAAAAAAGCAAAAAAAAAAAAAAACAAAAAGCAAAATATATAAAACAACAATTTCCTTTTTTTTTCATGCGTGTGCCAGAGTAACACAAAATGGTCACAACTCAGTTTACTGCTTTGCCCTCAAAAGAGCAAAACACTGATATTCTGTTGTGGCCAAGAGTCAGTCGCGAAATTCCTTTTTAAAAATAATAATAAAAAGAAATGAGTACCTGTAGACATCGGGGGTCATTCAAACAATGGGCTTTGTATGAACACACTTCTTCCATGTATGTTATAGCATTCGCTGTCGAAATCGGCCTGTTATTATAAATATGTCTTTCCACTTTTAAACTTATCTCCATGAGTCTTGTAGCTATTAACTGTTTCTAAAAAATAATTAATAAATAATAATAAATGTCTGTTTAGTAGACATTACAGCGGTATCTAGTCAAATAAAGCTTATACTTACGTACTATGAATAAGAGATACCTATAGAGTGTATTGTATTGTTAAAACTTTATTGTACATTATTGATACTGAATACATTAAAATATTTAATATACAATGGCGGACTTATCCCATAAAGGGATCTCTTACAGTCAATCTTTAAGAACCTAGATACTGGTAACTGATGATTAAATACTATTTAAAAAGTTCATACATAGATACTATACCTCCTTTTAAAATACTTAAATACAAACAAACATAATAGTATCAGGAACATGCCTTTGTCATGCTCCCATAATTTTTTATGCGATTTAAAAAATAGCAAACAAATTAACAACCTACATGATAAGAAATATTAATTGTTGTCCAATAAACATAAACTTCACTATGGATATCAAGGACATGTTGTGACACTCGTTGTACTCTTTACACATTGTCATTCCTAAGGACAAACCTATTATGACTCTGTACCCTGTAATTGTACTGCATATCCCACCCTTGAAAATCAAAGGCCAGAAACGTACTTTTATAGTTGTTATGTCAAAAATATTAATTAAGTATTTATCTCTAAACTTTCTAAAGGTTATCTAGTTGAGAATGTAAAATAGAAATGTTCAGTTTCTAAATTAATATGACCGAGAATCGAACCTTGGACCTCATTTCTATAAAGTATGTTACGGAGTTCGTCAGTATCAAAAATAAAACATAAATCGCTATATACCATACTGTTACATGAAAAGCCAATAGCTACTTACTTGTTTAACTGAATGTAAAGATCTTCTGTTTCTTTTATACTTACGATTTCTAGTATACGGCATTCTGATTAAAATAAGATATCGAAAATTTGTTTATTAAAATAGAAATTAATAAACGAAAAATATTATTATACTAATTCTTTAGACCATAGATAAAATATAAGTTTTTAGAAAAACTCCCGCCTTTTTATACAAAGAAAAAAAAATAAAAAAAATATGTGATTTATGCTTTATTCGAACCAAACAAATCCTGCAATTGCTGATAATATTTAGTATTAGAGAGGATATTATATTGATATGAATATCCTGATTTATTTATGTAATATAATAAAAGATAACATAATATCACATAACTATTCGGGAACCAGTACGGTTTGTGGCATCGTGGCCAACAACTGTGTTTTAATTATTTTATAAATGGATTAAGTGGAAGTTTATTCGAAATGAATTTAGTTATTCAAATATTAATTTTGATATTGACAGTATATCTTTGTGACGCTGGCTATGGAGTGCCAGCTTCATATGATGGAAAACCGTAAGTATACTCCTCCTTTAAACAACCATAGTAACAACTTAGAACATACTTAGTCTCTGTTCGTATATCTAAATAAAAACTTTGATTTAATAGAGCCAAAAACCAAGCGCCTATCAAAATACTGATTCTTAAAACGCAAGGTATCTAATTTTTTTTAATAAATATATTCTATTTGCGGTAAGTAGGATAGCAGTTATTATTCTTAATCTATATATCTACTAATGTGGCTGTTATTAAGTATAGATTTTGTTTACGGAATAGCACTGGCAGGTTTTAAAAATAACTATTTTTTATAAAAAAAATAATGTTCTTCATTCAAATGTTCTTTTCATGTTTATTTCTCTAAAGTTTTTATACGTGTTAATTTCTTTAGTTCATATTTCTGAGCTAATTTAAAACTTATTTGTTTATTTAAATTGAAAAATTTTTTTTTTCTGTTGCATAGTGATCGTTGCAAAGACTATTAGGAAACGAAACTATTACAACAATGTTAATTTCCTGCAATAATCGAAATGCATTGAATACAATCTTTGAACTTCGAACATATCCTTTAATTTATATACATTATTTGTAGGAGACTTGTCACACATTAGGTGACTTAGGTAGGTACTTATATCATTCAGTCCTTTTAAAATTAATTTACTGTCCTTAGTTGTTATTTTAAAAATATTTTAAACTATCTTTATTGTTTAAATTAGGAAAAAATTTCATGACTATCAACAATTTTTTTTATAATAATAACCTTGATTATTATTAACTATATTACCTATAGTTTTAATTAAAACTACGTTTCGTGTATCAAATTTCATTAAAATTCGATAATATAAACGTGATTAAATACTAAATATTTTTGAAACTATTTCGTAGTATATAGAATGAAAACGTTAATAATTCGCACTTATTTGAGAGTGCGTATTAGTGTTCTTCCATAGAAACTAAACATTTTTATGAAAGAATCATCGATAAAATATTACAAAATATTTGGAGACTATCGTATGGAGTTATTATGAGAGACTCGACATTTTTTTTTTCATGAAATTCCTACAGCCTTACGTATTAAGCAGGAGGGAGAGATGGGTGGGTCGTGTCCACCCTAGAATGCCAGCGAAGTTTCACAAAAACATGTCTGAGAGTACATATGCGCTTTTAAGTGGTCAACCCCAATTTATAAATACACTTAATCACAAATAAGCCAATGCCTATAGTATGGATCCATTCTTAGTTTTAAAGTACCATTAATAATTTTGACCTGACCCAGTATAAAAGGTCCTTTAATGTACCTACCTAAAAGGACCAATTTAGAGTAGTATTTAATAATAATAAATTTCTAGGCAATCCGATGTCCAAGCCCCAGCGTATGTGCCGTCGTATCTGAAAAATCAAAAGTTCACAAAAACGGGCTATACTAGATCGAACAGCTTCAGCGGGGCTAAGACTGCTTACAGGGGTACCAAAACCGGGTATTCCGGTACTAAGACTAGTTATGGCGGTACCAAGACAGGATACACTGGTACCAAATCAGGTTATTCCGGCACTAAATCATATGGAGAGAGAAGAACTTGGTACTCTAATTCTGGACGAGCGTAAGTAGCTGCATGTTATATTTTTTTTATGGAATAAAAATGAAATGCTAACCCCACTAGAATATACCTATCAGTATATGCTAGCGTGGCCAGGTCTTGCAACTCATTGTGAATTATCCAGGAATTACCTAATACAATGGTTTGCAGAGAAAATCACACGAAGATCAATCTAACCTGGGTATCTTAATCGTAATGAGACCCGATAATCCCCTATATTTAAATTACATTCCTTCTTTTATATAGATCGTAATCTAGAAGTAGAAACACGGTCATAATAGGTGTTTATAGGAAAATAAAATTTTTGCACAGAGCTTCCTTTAGCGTAAAATATGCATTATCCTAAAACATCCTAAAATATTGGGTGGGACAGGTTATCAATGTAAGAGCGTTATGACCGCTCATTTACTAACATAGGTTAAGTCAATTTATAACTAACAAAATGGGCCTTATGTAGTCTAATTAAATAAATATTATTATTAATATTTAATCGATACAAAATACTTTATTATTATTATAATACGCATTGCAGGAAGTTAGTCAGTCAGTCATGCAGGTGGCTCAGGACCGTACCTTAATTGTCTTGCCAGTATAAAAAAAAAAACACCTCTAGAGAGGATTCGATGATTTTTTTTACAGAGCATTTGATAAACGATCAGATCATATGTGGCATTGTATATTTTATAACGTTTATAGTGTTATTCAAGAACCTTTCTTCCCCATTGGTCTGACTCTTCGAGCTATGTGACCAGCCGATTGCCACATCAGCTTGCTTATCTTTCAGGCTGTTTCGGTCACTTTGGTTCCTTTGTAGATACCTAACGATACAATGGTAGGGGAAAGGGATTGTTAGTAATGGGGAGATTAGTTCCCATCACTATCAATATACCTTATCAGGTTGACCTCTACGCGATTCCCCCTGGAAACCATCTTGACTAATTTATCGTTGAATTCGTCACGATGGGCTAACTGACCTGCCTTTTCATCCTTACCAATCATCCCTCACTGGTGCTCCGCCAGTGTATACCGATGGCACGGGCGGGTTTACCATTCCATTATCAACCATAAAAAAAACGATACAATGGTAATATAACGCTGGCAAAAAAGCATACGGCCCATCTAATAGTAAACAGTAAATAAAACTTATTACTTAGTACATCTTTTTTGAAGGCGCCCATGTTGTATGTAGTCTCCATGGAAAACCTTGTCAGACAAATATAAAATCTTTCATTCTCAATAGTAAATTTAATGAAAATGCACCAAGATTATAAACTAATATGCTTGTATTAATTTCAGACCTAGTTATCAAGAATTTCATGGAAATGCCAATCAACCTTATACTGGTAAGTGTTAAATCTTTTATGTATTAGATCCTAATTTCATGTATTATACAGGGGGAAAGGGATTGTTAGCAATGGAGTTTGACAGCCCCATTGCTAGCAATATGCCCTATTAGGTCGACCTCCACGTGGTTCCCCCTGGAAACCATCGTGAACAATTCTTGTTGAATTCGTCACGATGGGCTAACTGACCTACTTCATTCTCATTTATCATCCATCACTGGTACCTCGCTAGTGTATACCGACAGCACAGGCGGGGTAACCATTCCATTATCACCCATTAAAAAAGAGAACGATTATACATTATCCATAACTCAATGGTTTTATTTGTATTATAGTCATATTTTTGATTGATATAAAATGCTAATATGGTACAGAGGAATAACACCTGAGTCCTCAGGAATGGCAACGCATGGGGGGTATCATGGACGAAATAGTATACTCTGTAATGTCCATGGTACTGCTCATGTCTATAGGCGACGGTTACCACTTTCCATCAGATGGGCCGTCAGCTTGTTTGCCATTCTATATAAAAAATAGTGTCGTGTATTTTTATTTATAAAAATGTTCACGATAGCGGTGCACAGTAAAGCCGTAAAATTAATGTTTTGTTCTGTATTTAACATAATATTGTATCTTGTAATATATAAATAAATAAATAAAATATGACTTTACAAATATTCCCATCTTCTCAATTCCAAAGAGTTTCGAATCATCATATCAGCCTTTTACTGCTAAACACAAGCCTCCCCCTTGGGAGGTTTTTCCAGTAGGTGCCACGCTTAGCAGGCAGGTTGGCAATCGCAGTTAGGCTTTAGAGATGTTTCAAGAGGGACGCTCATGTCCATCCCTCATCCTTCCTTAGTCGCCTCTTAAGATACCTACAGGAAAGGAGGGTGTAGCCTATTCAATGCCAGGACTACACGGCTAAAAGAGATTCGAATGCATAATCGAATTTATATTTGTAGTTCTGCATGCTAAATTCGTTACAAAATTTGTATACAGATAAAACTATTTATAATTCCTAAAATAACAAGACCTAAATTAGATATTAGGTACGTATACGATTATCAGAGAGCGTGGGATGAGCAGCTATCTGTCGATAAACCGGAAACTGGTATAACTCCTAAACAGGATGACAATCTGCATTTACGTACATAAGAGTAGATATATATGACTGTACCCTCACTATGTGTGACGACCCTATGACCTAAATAATGTCAATGCCATAGATAAATCTATCATGACTAGCTATAATGATTATAGGTCACGGCCATCATTATAACCTTATTAATAGGAGGGGAATTCTTTAAGTGAAGAATGGATAGCAGAGAATTTTCAATTAGAATTAAAGGCCTTGACAGACAAGCTTACGAAAAACTATTTTGTGTTATAATATACCAGTAATAATATATAGAACTATTTTTAACATCGATAGATAAGTTGTAATGATGCAAACCATTCGTCTGCTTGTGTGACAGTGATGTGTGTGTGTGTGCTTGTGTCACACAAGAATGTACATGGAAACTGGTTTTTTTAATAGGTGTTTGTAGACATCTAGTACACAATACCATTTTTATAACAATACGTTTATTTTAACAGCAAAATGCGAGCCGGATTGTAAAAACAATGGAATATGTGTGGACACTAACACCTGCCACTGCCCCGCTAACTTCCACGGCCGATTCTGCGAGTTCGAGAAGAAACCATGTCTCGTATACCCGCCGTTGCCAATGAATTCTAACAGAAGTTGTTCGCCAGAGTACGTTACTTTTTAAATATCAAATATAGAATGTCTTTTTTTCTAAACGTTAGATGAATTTTAGATGGTCATTAAATTTGTCTACTCCACCAAAATTCACGATTTACAATCTAATTTATTCTAGAATTTTCTGTGCTACGAGTATCAGAAATCTGACAAGAAATATCTAGAACATATAATTAATATAGAGTTAACAACGAAACTAAGTATTTCTAAACTTAATTTCTTTCTTTTTATGCCTTCCTTATTTTTAAGACTTAATGTATTTACCATCAAAGTTGTCAAAAAGTAAGTCGATCTTTAGATTATTTCGCTTCTTGACGACATTGTAATGAAGAATAAAGAATATTATCAAATGGTAACAGATACTTACATCACATCCCTTGACACGTTGCTTTCTTTAATAGCTTCTGCACAGTGCAGTGTTTGCCCGGACACAAGTTCATCGACGGCACCACAGTAGCCAACATGCGTTGTTTGGAGGGAGAATGGAGACCCACCCGCGCTGACTTCTCCACCATTCCGGACTGTGAGCCGGAGTGCAATCCGGCGTGTCAGAATGGAGGCATCTGTCTCTCCATCAACACCTGCCAATGCCCTGATGGATACAGGGGTCCTCAGTGCCAATATTGTTAGTAGTATACCATATTCACATGCTTTTCATTTAAGATTTCTTTTTGTTAGTTTGTTTAAGTTACATCTTGCAAGCTATATTAGAATCAGTCTCTTTTAAAGATTTTTAAATTTTGTGTGAATACTTTTAATTTTGCTGACAATACAGTATACAACACTGAATATTTTCAAAATGGTCGATGCCACAATTTGGTGGTTTGGTGGATTGCATTTGAAAAGCTTGTTTTTAAACATCTTTTTGATCCGATTTGTTTGTTGATTTTACTTGAACTGTTGCTGTTGCAAATAAATTTACTGCAGTTTATGTCTCAAATTCTAAACTAATTGTAATCGATAAGGCTTACTCTTATAAAATTTTTTTACAAGGTTGAAGTCGCTGTTTTGTTCAAAAAGAAATATTAATTACTTATCTGCATCAAACAACTTCTGTAAATGTAAATACTTATTGCTCCCTAGCTGCAAGTGCCTGCGACATGCGTAAACTTGTCTTCAATGGCGGATACTCTTGTTTCGGTGATGACGACACGTACTCTTGCAAGCTCAATTGCCCCAGTGGCTCTTCATTTAGCACTCCACCAGCGGCACGTTACACTTGCCTCTACAGCACTGGAGTGTTCGAACCGCAACCAATACCTCACTGTGTCTTTAGTAAGTATAAAAATTTTACTGAGATAATTGATATAAAACTGCTATTAAGGAAAAAAAAGAACTGTTATTGTAGGGCACTTATTCAATAAAAAAATACTTATTTAAAGATCCACTTGACTAGAGACGCGCGAGACCCTTAGTTCAGTGGTTTATTGAGCCTGGATAATAAATCCAACTAGTTAATTTTACTGTCCAGACTGCCGGACAGAAACCAGGTCTGTAGCTGGGCAGTAATTTGGCTAGGTAAATGACGACTGACTAATTTAGAGTTTGTATAAGTTTATATAGGTATAAAACTTCTGATTTAAATGGAAATAAATTATATTGCTAGTCAGCATTAATATGTCTACAGGCTAGGGTTGTAACAGAACAAAAAAATAATTTTGAAGAAATAGATACAGGTATTTTATAACTTAAATAATACACGTACAATCGTTTCAATAATATTTATATAATTGTTGCAGATGATGTTATTGTAATACATCCAAGCAATTACGAGAATGTGGTGAGTTACAATAATTAATTATTAAATATGATTATGTAGCCGTGTGGTCCCGGCATAGAACACTAACACTTACATTACTTACATACACCCATTCTAACTTGCCTACCTTGCAGTAGAATTATAATTTTCGTTTATATAATTAATATCCGTTATTGGCTGTATTTATAAGAGACTTAGCATATAAGTTATTTTTTAAAAGTTGTGGATTTTTGTATTAAATAAATAAATAGAATAGGCCACCCCTTCCTTCCCCGTGGGTGTCGTAAGAGTCTATTAAGGGAGGGCGAGTGTTGGGCAGCAGGGTCCCTCCTAAAACATCTCTAAAGCCTAACTGCGCTTGCCTTATGTTCAGCAGTAAACAGTTAAAGGCTGATATGATGATGATAGTGATGAATATGTAAAGTTTAACGATTTCCAAAATTTAGAAGAAAGTACCTGTTGCGGCCTCTTTGACCGGTTTTATCGCTGGCCGCTAAGACATTCTACAATTAAAACTGACAGCTTGGGACAAAACAAAAGGACTTAGAAAAAAGACCGATAAGAAGACGGACATAATTTTGATGACTAATTTGCCTTTTAATTTTAATACATTTTGACGACAAATTCGGACCCTTTGACCTAAAAAGCGGTCCATCGACCTTTCAAGTGGTCCTTCGAGCCGGATTACAACCAACCTATGGTGCAGACACGAAGACAAGCGAAGATGACGACAATTCCGACGACGCTGCTTGCTACTGCTGACCAGGGTGAACATGACCGACAGTCCGTCCGCGGTAGCCGCCAGCCCTCACCCACGCCATCCGCCCGTTCGCACTCTAGTACGTCCACCACGACTGTAGTAAGAAGACAACGACTCCTACAACTACAATTGCAAGCCGCGGAAGAGCGCGCGTTGATACAAACCAGACTCATCGAAGAAAAACTTGCATTATCAGCACAAGCGCTTGAAGATGAAGACAACCTCCTCATGCTCAATAGGACACAGTCGCGCGTGTCCCTACGTCTGCCTACAACCTCAGGTATGGCGTATCAAAATAATATTAGTATGCCTCACGCTATCTCGACGGCTATCAATACTGATACACAGACACAGCCTGAAATGATGCCTGTACCACCACACATTCCTACACGCAGACTAGAGAATGACAACACGAACATGTCTAAACTCCTAGCCAGGCAAACAAGCGCAAAGGAGCTGCCCTTGTATAGCGGTGAGCCTGATGAGTGGCCGTTGTTCTATAGGCAGTATATATCGACAACACAGCTGTGTGGTTATAGTGACGATGAAAACATCGCACGACTAGCGTGCTGCCTGAAGGGCCGTGCGCGTGACGCTGTATCTGCGCTGTTGGTGAGTGCTACAAACCTGAAACTAATAATAGACACATTGAAGTTGCGATTTGGTAGACCTGAATTAATCATAGAAGTCATGTTAAACAAAATAAGGTTCATGCGTGACGTCCGTCATGACGACGTCAATCATTTAATAGAATATGCGACTGCAATTCAAAATGTTGTAGCTACGATGAAAATGACAGAAGAGGTTGGACATCTGACTAATCCCACTTTAATTCGAGAAATAATAAGTAAACTGCCGTCACTATTGAAATATCAATGGAGTATGTATATATCGAATAAAAATGTAAATATTGTTACTTTATGTCATGTATCTGAGTGGCTCATGACCGTAGCTAACGCCGCCACTTATATTGCTCCGCTGCCTATAAGGACTGTAAATAATACTGTTGCGAAGCCGCCGACCAAGCCTGACCATAGACCATGGAGACCGGTGGTGGCTACAGTTTCATCATCATCACCTACATGTGTGCTCTGCAACGGTAATCATCGACTAAGTGATTGTGATGATTTCAAACGGATGACGATAGACGACCGCTGGAAGTTGGTAACTGACAAAAAGTTATGTTTCTCTTGTCTATCTGCACGACACCAACTAAAAGCTTGTAAGAGAAAAATTAAATGTTCTGTTCCTGAATGTATCCGTGCTCATCACACCTTGCTTCATGCTGCTCCACGCGACGAGACTGATGATAGATTAATATCCGTCAATCATGCCGAAACGACAGTGAACAACGACAGTCGAAGCTCGCATGTACTACTGAAGGTCGTGCCAGTAGTTGTATCAGGTACAAAAGGTGACGTCACTACCTTCGCTCTCCTTGATGAAGGCGCATCTGTGAGCCTGGTTGATGCTGCTCTACTCGAGAAGGCTGGCATTACTGGTCCGACGACAAATCTGCACATGCGTGGTGTGTCCGGAATGTCAACCACAGAGACGGACTCGAAAATAGTGTCATTTAATATTCGCGGTTTGAATGAAAAAAATGTGTATAGTGTAAATAATGTTCGTTCTATAAATAATTTGAATATTGTAGTAGATAGTATTTCATATAAAAATATTGTAAATAAATTTCCTTATGTGACTGACTATGTGACAGACTATGACATACGACCTAGAAAGATTGAGTTATTAATTGGACAAGATAATATTGACTTAATTATTACTAGACAAATAATACAAGGACATAAGAACGGACCTATAATATCTAAGACGGACTTGGGTTATGTTGTACATGGGAACATAGGACTTCGTAGTATAGCGAATGACAGAACTATATTACATCTATGCTCTTGTGACGAATTACACGACCTCGTTAAGAGATCTTTTTCCACAGAGTCTTTCGGCGTGAAGCAGACAGGTGACTTTCCTCGTTCTCGAGAGGATCAGCTGGCGCTGAAGATTATGAAACAGACCACGAAACTCTTGCCTCAAGGACGATGGGAGACCGGCCTACTCTGGAGGTCTGATGACGTTCAGCTCCCGAATAGCTACCCACAGGCGAAGAGTAGACTTATAGGTATCCAGAGAAAATTTCGTAGGTATCCTGAGCTTGCTGTCAAGTATGAGGAGAAGATCCAGGAGAATGTTGATAAAGGATACATCTCAAAATTAACTCCTGAAGAGGCCTCGATCCAGACCAATAAGACATGGTATCTTCCTCACTTTGCCGTTTTTAATCCTAATAAGCCTAATAAGTTGCGAATTGTACTTGACTGTGCAGCTAAGTCTGACGGTAAGTCACTCAATGACTTCTTATTGTGTGGACCTGATTTTTTAACATCTTTGCCTGCTGTATTATTAGGGTTCCGTCTAGGCAAATATTGTGTAATTGGTGACATCCAAGAGATGTTTCATAGAGTACTTATTAGGGAAGATGACCGACACGCCCAAAGACTTCTCTGGAATAATGACGTTTATGTCATGAATGTCATGACTTTTGGAGCTGTCTGTTCACCATCATCAGCTCAATATGTAAAAAATTTGAATGCTCGTAGATATGAGGCGACTCACCCAGAAGCTGTCAAAGCTATTATAGACCACCATTACGTCGACGACTACATCCACTCTTTTGACGATGAGGATGACTTGGTACGCGTAGTGGATGATGTAATACGTATACATGCTGCAGGTGGCTTCAATATAAGGAATTTTGTCTCTAATTCTCATACACTATTGGAACACTTACCTTCAGACAAGCTATCCCCGTGTATCCTGAAGATCCTCTCTGACTCCAAGGATGATCAGGTAGAACGTGTGCTTGGAGTGCGCTGGAACCAGGATTCCGATGAGTTTATCTTTCTATTGAAGCTTCCTAAGGTGAGCGAGGACATTAAGTCAGGGGTGAAGAAACCAACCAAGCGTGACATATTAAGATTGACGATGTCCATTTTTGATCCTTTGGGTTTCCTCTTATATGTGACAGTGAAGGGGCGAATTCTCCTGCAAAATATCTGGAAATCCAAAATCAGCTGGGACGATGAAATCGAATCGACTAGTTTCAAGGAATGGCAGTTATGGTTGTTGGAATTACAAAAGGTCAGCGACTTTAGACTTCCTCGTTGGCTTTTTACTGACATGTGTGACAAACAAGCTGACTTAGAACTTCACATTTTTTGCGATGCAAGCAGTAAGGCTTATGCGAGCGTTGCATATCTACGCGTCAAGATGTCAGATGGTAGTTGGCATGTAGCTTTCGTCTTGGCACGTGCTCACGTCGCACCACTCAAAGTAATGAGCATACCTCGTCTCGAGTTACAGGCTGCCTTGCTGGGTGCTAGACTAGCTCACACTTTGAAGCAACACTTTGATGCAAGCATAACACTTTGGTCTGACTCTATGACTGTTCTGAGCTGGCTTCGTTCTGACAGCGGTCGTTTTAAGCCTTTCGTCGCCCATCGTGTCAGCGAGATCTCCGAGTTAACCGACGTTAATCACTGGAGGTGGGTACCGTCAGGCCTAAATGCAGCAGACGATGCAACTAGAGAGACAGTTACCGAGGATAATACGAGATGGTTATATGGACCACAGTTTCTCCGGGGATCCAAGGAATTCTGGCCGTCAGAAGAGACTGAATTCGTTGTTGATCCTGACGACGTTGAGGTGAAAACCATCTTAGTTTTAACTGAAATGTCCGTTAATCTGCCTGACGTCAGCCGATTCTCAAAGTTTTGGAGGCTAATAAGAAGTACCGCGTGGTTCTACCGCGCTGTATGTAACTGGACTCACAAAGATAACAGAAAACGAGGTGAATTGACAGCGGACGAAGTTAAAGAAGCAGAGAAGGCGCTTATTAAGGATAGTCAAAGAAGAATGTTTTCTGACGATATTAAAAATATTAAAAAATGTGGACAAGTGGACAAAGAGAGTTCCCTACGCCAATTGACGCCATTTCTGGATGGAGACGACATTCTCCGCGTTGGTGGGAGGATTCGCGATGCGAATGTTGGCAATGACACTCGACACCCAATCATTTTGCATCCAAAAGACAAATTTACGCGTCTCATCATGCACCAGTACCATCAAGATGCAGCCCATAGTGGACGGGAACTGGTATTTAATAATCTTCGACAACGTTTTTGGATAATTGGTGGAAGGAACGCTGTCAAGTTTATTTGGAATGACTGTCAGTTATGTAAAATAAGGAGAGCAAAACCTGACCCACCTCTGATGGGACCATTACCCGATATAAGGCTGACTCCTGGTGGACGCGCTTTCCAGTATACGGGTCTGGACTATTTCGGCCCAATGCTGGTCAAGGTAGGTCGTCATCGAGAGAAGAGATATGGAGCTCTTTTCACCTGTCTTACGGTTCGAGCTATCCATATTGAGGTGACACATGATTTATCGACAAGCAGCGCTATCATGGCCATCCGACGTTTCATTGCTCGTCGTGGTTGCCCAAGACAAATATGGAGTGACAATGCCACCACCTTTAAAGGAGCCGACCGTGAGCTGAAATTGTCCGTGGCGTCCTTGGACAAAGACGAACTAACTCGGTTCGGAAGTACAAGGGGTATTGACTGGCACTTTATCGCCCCTAACGCCCCTCATATGGGAGGTTGTTGGGAGCGAATGGTGCGCTCTGTTAAGACTGCTCTCCGTGTCACTCTAAAAGAAACAGCGCCGAGTGATCAAGTTCTGTCAACACTGCTAGCGGAGACAGAACATTTTGTAAATAGTAGACCACTAACGTATGTACCTATTGACAAGGACGACGACTTACCTTTAACTCCGAATGACTTTTTGATGACGAAGACAAATGACATTGACCATCCTTTGGGTATCTTTGACGACGATGACTTACTTCGACGATCCTGGCGTCACTCCCAGCGACTGGCCGACCTTACCTGGAAACGTTAGGTAAAAGAGTACCTACCAACTTTGACAAGACGAGACAAATGGTTTCGTCAAGAAACACGACCGTTAATGACTGATGACGTTGTAATTGTAACTGACGATCAACTCCCACGAAACCAGTGGCCCAAAGGACGAGTGACGGCAGTGTATCCTGGGAAGGACGGCAGGGTTCGAGTAGCTGACGTGCTGACTTCGACCGGACTCTATAAGCGACCAGTGACAAAGCTGACCAGATTGGACGTCCGCGCCTAGGCCTTGCCTGGAGTATTGGCTTCCAATACTGGAGGTGGGGATGTTGCGGCCTCTTTGACCGGTTTTATCGCTGGCCGCTAAGACATTCTACAATTAAAACTGACAGCTTGGGACAAAACAAAAGGACTTAGAAAAAAGACCGATAAGAAGACGGACATAATTTTGATGACTAATTTGCCTTTTAATTTTAATACATTTTGACGACAAATTCGGACCCTTTGACCTAAAAAGCGGTCCATCGACCTTTCAGTACCTTATAAATAAGACTGATGAGTTTTTTTTTAATGGTGAAAATGGTATGGTAATCCCACCTGCGCTAACGGGATACGCTGGCGGAGCACCAGTGAAGGGTGATAGATGAGAATGAAAACAGGCCAGTTAGCCCATCATGATGACTTCATCAGGGATTAACCATAATAGTTTCCAGGGGGAACCGCGAGGAGGTCGACCTGGTTGGGTATATTGTTAGCAATGGGATTCTCAGTCTCCATTACTAACAATCCCTTTCCCCCCAAACTGATGAGTTTAGGACGACAGGCTTTAGATATATATACATATATGCCAAAATAAAAACCTCTAAACTGTTTCCAAAAGGAGCCAGGCCTTCAATGCGTCTATGTCATTGTCTGGTTGTTTTGTAATTTTTTTTTATGTCACTATATTATGCAATGACGTTGTCATTTTTGATCTGATTTTGGTAATTCTTTTTCCAATCTCCCGTGTCGATTTTGTATTGTGATTATAGAAGCTTCCATCTTTTCTCGATCTTTTGTTTGTTTTCGTAATCTTTTGTTTATGAAGAAATCGTTAATTATTTTTGTCTATCTGATCTGATTAGAGCGTCTACGAGAGCCATTACAATGTGACCAGCTCGAGTCAGACCAGCTACGGTTACGGTCTCGGCCACAACCTTGAGTACGGTGGTAGGAAGGAGAACGCTGTGGTGGTGATACAAGACATGACGCCCAAAGGAGGCACCTGCCTCTCGTGGGCTGGAGTACATTACAAAACCTTTGACGGCAAGATTTATAGGTAAAAGTATTTTAAATAATATCTACATAATGTTAATATAATGTATTCGATGTCAGTTATGGGTTATTAAGGTAAAATCTATGGCATGAAGATTTTATTATGGAGTCTTTTAATAGATGAAGTTACTGAACTTATTTCTTTCATCCTTATTTAACTATATTTACCATTTTTTTTTATCAAATAGTTCTTCTATCTACTAGCAGCTTCATCTATCTACATGGATGTCTCTGTCTTACTCGTGTTTCTCCCCCTAATCAACTCTATGAAATATCAACAATGAAATAAAAGAGCACGGAAGTCCTTAGTCAAGCAACGTATAGCATCAAACAAATAGCAATGCATGGATATAACAGTGTGTTTTATTATGCGCATGATGTTCATGTCTATAGGCAACGGTTACCTTTTTCCATCATGAGCCGCTAGCTAGTTTGGCATTCTAATGTAAATTTGTTTTAAAACAAAGTTACATAACTCACAAATAGTGTTTTTTTTAATGGACGATAATGGTATAATAGCTCCGCCTGCGCTATCAGTTAGCCCATCGTAACGAATTCAACGATAAATTAGTCGCGATGGTCTCCAGGGGGAACCGCATGAAGGTTAATCTGATAGGGTATATTGATAGCAATGGGGACTAAGCTCCCCATTACTAACAATCTCTTGCCTCCTATAGATAGGGGTTATCCCATAATACAATAAACAAACATAATAGTTTAAATATATATAGTTTAATAAAGGAAATGCCTTTTGTTCTATAGTTTATTCTAATTTTCTACAGCTTCGAGTCTCCCTGCGAGCATATCCTGTTACGGGATGCTAAAGAACACAAGTATACTGTGGTGATCAAACACAACGAGTGCAAGAGGAAGCCGTACTGCCCCAGCGAACTCACCATCTACTTGGAGGACAAACCGTACATGCTTAGCGCTGGAGGTAAGACATCTAAGACTTTAATGCTTGTCCTATTCTATATAATTTAAAGTGCCGTTTGGTCTCTGCATAGAATGGATCAATAGATGGGTGCTGTAAGCTACGACTATGGGAATTTAATTGTCAAGAAATGGGCAGCAGTGTCCCTCTTAAAACATCTCTAAAACCTGACTGCGGTTGCCAATCCACCTGTCAAGCGTGGCAACTATTGATAAAACCCCCCCAAGGGGGCTTATGTTCAGCAGTGGATAGTTAAAGGCTGATATAATGACCACCAGAATGTCTGAAAAAATCTGCATTATAAAACTCTGTAATACAATGCCACTTGTTGCAGAGGATGGTTCAGTGGTATTCCGCAGCACCAAGCGGCTGCTGCCGATGCCGGCGTCGCTGCCCGGCATCCGCGTCTCCATGCCGGCGGACTTCGTGCTTGTCAACCTTGACGCAGCCGGTGTCACCATCAAGTGGGATGTCAACGTGAGTGTGACATTTTAAAACTACTATAAGATTATTATTTAAATTGTATTTTGATCAATTACTCGGTCATTTTTGTGCTTACAACTCGCAAAAAAAGGGTAATGATGTTCCTTCAGGGTCGACAACTTGCTCGTATTGCCACTGGTATTGCATGTGTTCATAGGCTATGGTAACCGCTTACCATCAGATGGGCCGTATGCTTGTTTCCCACTTCAGTGGTATAAAAATCTGTTTTTTTTTTATTTCACCATATAAACCAAATTAACAAAGAAGCATACCAAAAACTACAGAGGTTTGTTTACCTATTGATTACTCCATCTATATATGTCAATACAATTCAATGCAAATAGATGGAGTAATAGATTCATTGAACTGTTGTGAATGTAACTCTTGTTTAATAATTATTCTTAAATTATAGAATGTGGTTTTGGTGGACGGAACAGTCCAACTGTGGAACAACACAGAAGGTCTCTGTGGTACATTGGACGGGAACCCAGAAAACGACATGAGGACTAAAGTCGGATCAATTGCGAAGACCAAGTCTGCAATGGCTGCGTCGTGGCAGGTCAACAAAATTGGAGGTATGTATGTTACTTCTTAGATTTTGAGTGGGGACCCCGAAAAGGTAAACGCAGTGAAGGACGGCCCCCTCAAATGCATTGCAGGGAGTCAATGGATGTAGGGTGGCTTAGGACCGTTCCTTATGGTAGTATATGGAGGAGCCTTTGTTCAGCTGTTATCAGATAATGATGATTTTTTTTATACATTCGGCCATAATTTTTATTATTACGTATTCTGTCAAACGTAATATGGTTAGCTGATCATCTACACTAATATTATAAAGAGGAAAGATTTGAATTTTTGTGTGTATGTTTGTAATGAATAAACTCAATAACTGCTTTGCCGATTTCAAAAATTCTTGCACCACCTGATAGTGGCATTCACTCTAAGTAACATAGGCTATATTTATTGCTAGAAAAGATTAGGAATCCTTACTTTAGTAACGTAACTCAAGGTGTAAAAAATGCTATAAAATTTGCGTTGCGGAAACTATTGATGATAGAACAAAAGTTTGTTCTACAATATTGAAGAAAATATCAATAACTATAAAAAACTTAGCGATATTATATGTCCAACTATTATCGTTATGTCACAATAACCACTTTTTAAAATATTATAAAAATGTCCACCCGTGCGAAGCCGGGCTGGGCCGCTAGTAAAATCATAAAATAATGAGATCTTTTTTAAAATAAAATCTATAGTAACAGCGATTTTTAAAGAAACCTCTCCAAATAAACATATATTCGAACACACTATTTACAGATATATGTGAGGGTAGCCCCAGCGAGGTGAACGCATGCGCTTCTAAAGCGGACGAAGACATGAAGAAAGCTTTGCAGTTTTGCACAAAAGTATTCAGCAAGGAGAAATTCCGCAAGTGCTCCAAGGTTAGTACGTTCAGTATTAAATGTAAAGTAAAGCTTAAGTTTTCTAATATTTGACATGTGTATAATTAAAACGACGTATGGTCCCAGCATAGAATCGGCCACACCTTTATATTCCGATGGGTATCGTAAAAGGCAACTAAGAGAATTTAATGACCCAGGGGTGGACAGCAATGTCTATTTAATTAAGTGGAAACTTAAAATATCATCAAAGCCTAACTGCGATCGCCAATCCGCTAAACGTGGCAAGTATTGACAAAACCTCTCTTATGAGGGAGATTTATGTCCAGCAGTAGACAGTTAATGGCTTATATAATAAAATTAAATCGAGACAATATCAAAACTAAAAGGAAATCTCATCACAATTTTTTCTTATTTTGTGTACTCGTGGTCTTATCTATGTATCTAGGTGTCAGTTACCAATTTCCATCAGTCTTTTTAGTATATTTATTAATGCAGGTAGAAACAAAAAAAACATACTTTTGATATCGATTACGGTTAATATCTATGTTATTACTACTACAGCATGGGGTTCTTTAAAAGGGGGGTAAAGAGGTTTCTTCAGGATCGACAACGCGCGCGTAATACCTCTGGTATTGCAAGCGTTCATAGGCTACGGTAACCGGTTACCATCAGGTGGGCCGTATGCTTGTTTGCCACCTCAGTGGTACGTCTATGGGTTGATTTTAATCTATGTCTATGGTCTATTAATAATATATTTTTATTTAATATTTTACAGGTTATGGATATATCGATGCTACTTGAAACGTGTCAGTGGGACTACTGCGCCTGTACAAGTAGTTTGAGTAAGTTTACTGAAAATTAAGAGATTCTAGAGAAGACAGTCAGGAACGAATATAATGGCGTGAATTTACTGGGTACAGAGGAATAACACCTTAGTCCTCAGGAATGGCAACGCATGGGGGCGTATCATGGGCGAAACAGTATACTCTGTTATGTCCATGGTACTGCTCATGTCTATAAGCGACGGTTACCACTTTCCATCAGGTGAACCGTCAGCTTGTTTGCCATTCTAAGTTGTATAAAAAAAACTACACTAATATAATACATTTACAGTTATTGATTGATGTATTAAAGTTTCATAGACCCGAGTATCTCTTTTCTAACTGGTACCCCGCCAGCGTATACCGATGGCGCAGGCGGGGTTGCCATTCCATTTTCACTCATAAAACAAAACAAACTAACTATTCTACATTCCATTAAAATACTTTCTAATTACCATATGTTTGTGTAGCTCCAGAAGAATGCGCCTGCAGCACAGTATCGGTATACGCTAAGGAATGCTTAAGACATGGCGTTGAAGAAATGAAGTCCTGGAGAGATCCTGATACCTGCCGTGAGTGTTTATATGTCTATGAATGAAAGAATGAGTTTTTTTTTTTTGCATAACACAATAAAGGAAATAAACAAGACAATTAATAAATGTAACGATACAGTTGAACAAGTACAGTAAGGCAGTCTTATTGCTGTAAAACAAAAGATAAATTAACATAAAATACATAAATAAAGAAAGAAAAGATAATCTTACACTTGTCACTTGAAATCATCAATGTATTTTGTACTTCTAATGACAACAGGTAATGAATTCCATAACTTAATGCTAGAAACAGTGAAGGAATTGTGATAAAATTTAGCGGAATGAGAAGGTGTCATAAGCGAAAGGTTTTTGGAAGAGTGTAGTGTTGAAGTATGGGTAAAGAAGAAAAATTTAAAACGTTCTTTAAGATAAGCAGATATGATCTATGACATAGCAATTAGAATAAATAGTTTAAAGACCTCCGCAAATCTCTGTCTCATCAATTAATTCTGCTTCCAAATAGCTTCTTGTATGTGTACAATAAAGTATAAATAAAAAACTTTGGTATTTCTACAGCTATGCATTGCCCCGAAGGCAAGCTTTACAAGTCATGCGGGCCCGACATCCAACCTAGCTGCGCATTCCCCTCACCAACTAAATCTGACAACTCCTCCTGTGTCGAGGGCTGCTTCTGCCCTGAAGGCCAGCTATTGGAAGGCGGAAAGTGTGTTACCAAGGACGAGTGCCCTTGTCGCCTGAGGAACCGAAGTTTCAAACCGGGTTCGGTTATACCTAAAGATTGTAATACTTGGTGAGTGTTTTTCTATAAAAGACATTTCAATTAAGCAGTTCGTTTAATGTGCTTTAAATAGGGATTCTTACCGAAGAAAAATAGGTTTCTAATGTAATCGAATATCCCGCAATCGAAAGCTTACTCTGATAGATCGGCTGGCCGGCAACTGCTTCTTTGGTAAATCCTTGCTAGGTAAATGGTCATTTAGCAGTTCTCCCAGCAGCAGTATTTCCGAACCCATACGACATCATAACCTTCAAGAAAACAGTATATTCCTTTTTAAAAGGCCGGGAGTACACCTGCAATGCCTCTGGTGTTGCGGGTGATCATGGGCGCACAGTCACTTACCGTCAGGTGTGCATGCTCGTTTACCCCTGTGTTATAAAAGAAATCTCTATCTTCTTGACCTATTGTGGAGTAGGCAAATGGATGTAAAGGACGTTTTCGTTAAAAAAACATGCTCAAATCATATTAGCACAGTTAAATATTATATAAATGATTATGAAGTAAAGAGAAAAAGAGAGATATTTGGGGTACATATGTTTCTTTTCCTACCCTACCTATCTACATGAAATTTTGAGACAGAAAATGTACGATTTGCCTTTAGTACGTGTCAAGCAGGCGAGTGGACATGCACACAAGTGGCTTGCGGCGCCCGCTGCAGTGCAGTCGGTGACCCTCACTACACCACGTTCGATGGCCTGCGGTACGACTTCATGGGACACTGCACCTATATCCTGCTCAAGACAGACAACGTCACTATCGAAGTTGAGAATGTTGCGTGTTCCGGTGCTATCACTGAGGTTGGTAGTATGAGATCATAGACAATTTTTAAATGTTTACAAAACCTTTGTAACTGGAAGCAAAATTCTTTACTAAGTAATTATCAACTGAATAGGAAAGTCATCTACAAAGTGACGAAACCGTCGTCATCTCTATTATTTTGTTAACTCCTTATTCGGCGACTATTAAATTTATAAGAAACTTAGCTTGAAAATTTCCATTAAAGCAATTCTATGAAAGAATATAAATAATATGGATTTATTCTTCTATTTTACTCTTTCATGCTATAAATACTTTCCAAGAACTAAATAATCTTAAGTTACTTCAGCGACAACAGCACACAGTCCTATAGACGTCACATTGTTTTTTGTAGGCTATGAACTTAGCACCATACAAAGGTGCTGGCAAACCATCCTGCACCAAATCAGTGACTCTGAACTACGATGGGGCCAGTATCCATCTGAAGCAAGGCGGGTTTATCCTCGTCAACGGCAAGGAAGTCACCGCGTTGCCGGTCACTGTAGGAAAGATCAGGATACGAGCTGCCTCTTCGCTCTTTGTTATAGGTAGGTCACGTATATTTTTCGCTATGGTATTAGTGCTCTGTGCGAACTTTCAGTTCTTTTAGCTTCTTTCTTATTTCTTTTTTTAACATTTATATGGTTATATCTTTGTTGCTTTTTTTCTTTCTCAAGAACTTTTTTAATTTTTCTCAATCAATTTAAATTTCAATTTTTATCCTTTAAATACTCGTGCAAGCCATAAGAGATTTTCTTTCTGTAAAGATTAAATACTTAATATAATCTAATATTTTTAGTGCAACTACCGATTAAAGTGGACTTATGGTGGGACGGAAGCACTAGGGTGTTCGTAGATGTCCCACCGACGTTACAAGGAAAAACACAGGTAAATAAATGGCCTTAAATTTTCCATTTCATGCTTTATGGGTGTGTTTGCTACTTACTATATTTCGTCAAATAAACCTCCATGTGCCATGGATCCATTGGTAATCCATGGAATTTAGTAGCTCGGTTCCGTTATACAAAACGTCATTATACATTGGAGTATGAAGTACAGTAATGTATATTTTCATTCAGAGAGAGTTTTGGACATGTTAATAACAATAGTTCAAAGCCACCAAAGATTATAGTTTAAATTATAATAAGATCACCAATTTTATCAGGGTCTTTGTGGAACCTTAAATCTGAACCAAAAAGACGACTTCTTAACTCCTGAGGGTGATATTGAGCAGTCAGCATTAGCATTTGCAAATAAGTGGAAGACTAGAGAACTCTGCGATGATGTGGCCGCTACAGAACCAGAGCACCCTTGCAAAGCCAACATTGAGAATAAGGAGGCTGCTGAGAAGTATTGTAGTAAACTGAAGAGTAAACTGTTTGAAGGTATGTTTTGATACTTATTTCTTAATGACTAAGTTTGTACAAACTTACCTGGTATGAGGAAGGCTGTTAGCAGCTCCTTCGATTTAGGAGACTTCAGCCATTACTTCTAATTGCATGTAGTTTTAAAGTGAAATGATACTCCAGAAATTTGTCACTACTTATTTAAAAGGATTATATTTTTCAATGTAATCATGGTGTAATGAGAAGTTTAGGAATGGAAACGCATGAAAATTGCTATGGGTATCCCAATGCATTATGTGATGATAGATGTGAAAGTGACTATGTCTATTTGTTACCTCTTAACACCTTAACGGCTTAACCGATTACTTTGGTATAAATTTATTATATGTTTTGGAGAACGCTAAGCTATTTCTTATCCTTTTTTCTTAATAGATGATAATGGAAACGTAACCCCCGCCTACGCTATTGGCATACACAGGCGGTACACCAGTGAGGGATGATAGGTGAGGATGAAGCCGGTCGATGATGATGAGTGATGAGTTCAACAATAAGTTAATCACGACGGTTTCCAAGGGAAACTGCGAGAAGGTCGACCTGATAGTGTTTTATTTCTAGCAATGGGGTTGTTAATCTCTGATACCAACAAGCCCTTCTACTCCTATTTTTTATCCCGATCAAGCGACATCGTAAAAGCTAGTAGAATCAAACTTTTGAGGTATGCGGATTGTAAAGCGTGTGCGGCGGTGTGACGTATGCCCTCAGAGTGCCACTGGTACGAGGACGTGGAGCCGTACTACAGCGCGTGCGTGTACGACATGTGCGCGTGCGGCGGCGACGTGCCGCGCTGCCTGTGCCCGGCGCTCGCCCACTACGCCTCGCAGTGCGCGCGCCTGGGCGTGCGCCTGCAGTGGCGCTACAGCGTCAAGGAGTGCGGTCAGTACACACGCGCACACACGCGCACACACACACGCACACACACACACACACACACACACACACACACACACTTGAGACTGTGCTTTGTTGTCCTCACAGGTTTCCATTCTATTAAAAGTTAGCAGTTGAGCTGTTGAGTTGGCTTTGAATACCATACTTGTTCTTTCACGATTATCAAGGATCTTAGTCAAATACTACAAGTAGCCATATCTATTTAACGGTTTTAACACAATTCTATATATTGTGTCAAAACCGTTAAATAGATAGAAGGATGTAATAATGAAGTAAACCTGAACTGCCGTCTGGTTCCGGTATAGAATGGGCTACCTTATCCTTTTCCGTCGGTGTCGTAAGAGACGACTTAGAAAACTTTATGGTCAAAATACGGGCTGCAGAGTCCCTGTTAAAACATTACCCAAGCCTAACTGCGGTTGTCAAACCACCTCCCCCAACCCCATAGAGGAAGCCTGTTTAGCAATGGACACTTAATGAATTTTCGCTTCTCGTCGCTAGAAAAATACTCAGACCGATGAAACTCTATTTGTCGTCGTTAAATGATGACGAAACTTTGTATGTACAAGCATTTAATTCGCATGTGTTCAGATTTGAATAATAATATGATATGACAGTAAAAATATTATTGGGCACAAAATTTTCATGTTAAAATAGACTGTAACATATGAGTGATGCGAGTACTCACGAACTGCTAATTACTCCTCTCCATCCAAAGCCGTTGCCTGGAAGAGATCGCTCTTAGCGATAAGGTCGCCCATTGTTTTCTCATTGTGATTATTTCTTGTAATTATTTATATTTATAATAAGTTTACTATTGTAATTTTTTGGAGGAAACAATAAAAAGTATCTATCTATCTATCTATAACTGCAGATTTACCATTAGGCGGACAGTAGTATATTTTCCTAGTTTCGGCTAAAAAAGGAATCTCTACCTCTCAGAACTGTCGTGTACGGGTGGACAAGAGTATACGGTGTGTGCGGACAGCTGCCTGCGACAGTGCTCGGACCTGGCGCTGCAGGACACCTGCCGCCCCAGCTGCGTCGAGGGCTGCGCCTGTCCTCCAGGACAGGTAAGTTCGATTTAAGGCATTCATTGTCTTGCCAATTGATAGGTTGCTAATTGTACTTCTTAAAAGAAAAACCATGTTCATTTTTGTTTACAAGTTTACCATTTTATATGATCAGTACTTGCTCTTGACAGCATTGGTGTTACTGTCATCCATAGGCTACAGTGACCCTCAGACCATCAGACAGACTGTATCACTTCTTGGACCCTATCTCTGATAGGGTAGTCAGGAGAATATTTAATATCTGTCCATATCATATTAAAATAAAATTTGACAATTTAACTTAAGCTTAATCATAAGCAATAGTGTTAATAATTGAAAATAGACAGTATTGGGTAATATTGAATGCAGAATACTTGGATTATGTAAATATATGATAAAGATGTTTAGAAAAGAATAGAATTATTCGAATGATATTAATAGAGATCAATAGAAAAGAATCATCAAATGGCGTGGCTCAGGACAGGTAATTTGAATGATTGAATGAGTATATTTTATTTGCATTATATAATATAGTTAATAAGCAAGACAATAAATATAACGATACAGTTGTATAAGTACAGTAAGGCGGTCTTATTGCTGAGAGCAATCTTTGAAAATTATGATAAAAATGTAAAAAGAAAAAAACAAGAATATTATTGTTACAAGGTTTTGGATGACAACGGTGTATGTGTGCCGGTCGGACTCTGTCCTTGCTACCATAAGGGCATGAAGTTCAATGCTGAGTATAAGGAAGTGAGACCTGGGAGACGGGAGAGAGAGCTGTGGTAAGTACTTTCACTTTCCTAATAAAAATCTAGGTATATTTATGTTTTATTAGACGAAAAAATAAAAATAAAGAAAAAATGGAAACTGCATACTATTTTTTTATGGGTGAAGATGGAATGATAACTCCGCCTGCGCTACAGGTATACGCTAGCGGGGTACCAGTGAGTGTTGCTAGGTGAGGATGAAGTCAGGTCAGGCGGCCTATCCTGATGAATTCATCGGGCATTATTCAAGATTGTTTTCATGGGGTACCGTGTGGAGATCGACCTGATAAAGTGTATTGCTAGCAATGGAGCCATTAGACCCCATTACTAATAATTTCTCCCCCCCCCCCTCCTTCCTTCCTCGATAATTACATATTGCAACATATAAGTGACTAGTTATAATAGTTTCAATATAAATAAAAAATCAGTAAATACCGTTTAGAACGGACTTTTTTAATTATTAACTGTGTCCCATGGTTCTGTCCGCGTGAATCTGTATATAAAGTATTCTGAGTGTTAAGATAAGATATAACCTACCCGTGTACTAGATCTCATAGAAATCCATTCAATAGTATTTGCGCGAAAGAGTTTTTTTTTAATGGATAATAATGAAATAGCAACCCTACACGTGCTAACACTATACGCTGGCTGGGCGCCAGTGAGAAATGATTGGTGAGAATGAAAAGGTAGGTCAGTTACCCCATCGTAATGAATACACCTAGGATTTAGCACGATGGTTTCCAGGCGGGACCACATGGAGGTCAACCTGAAAAGGTATATTGCTAAAAATAGGACTGGTACTCCGTATTACTAATAATCCTTCCCCCCCCCTGCGTGAAAGAGTAACAAATATCCATCGTATAAAGATGACACGGTACTTTATACAAGTACCTAGATGCAACAATATATCATCTATATTGATTAAAAAAACCCCTACTTCCAAGTCTATAACTCTTCTTCGTAAAACTTATGGATCTAAACGACTAACTATAGTGTAATAATGTGACAGTACATGCGTGGGTGGTCGATGGGAGTGCAAGCCGGCAACTGAAGACGACATCCAGAACTACCCGCCCGCCGAAGACCTGAAGAGCAACTGCAGTGCTACCGACCACATGGAATTCACCACATGCGTCATCGCTGAACTTCTCACATGCAAGGTTGGCTATATCTATTTGCAATTTCATTTTTCGTAGTGTCTTGAAAAGAAAGTAAATGGTCTCTGTGAAAGATGGCATGCAGGAAGAGGAAGATTTATTGCCACCAACACCATATTTTTTTTATATAAATAAGTCTTGGTTTTCCTTTTACAAATAAATAAATATAAATGGAATGTTTGGATAATTTGGGTGGATCCCAGCAGCAGCAGGTCTCTAAAAACTTCACCAAAAAGCCCAACTGCGGATGCCAACCCTCCTGCTAAGCGTGACAACTAATAGGGAAACCTTCCAATAGAAGGAGACCTATGTTCAGCACTGAAGATATGATGATGATAAAGTGGATCCCTAGTACGTGAAATGATTACCTTAAAAATATTGCAGGAATTCAACGAATATCGATAGTTCAGGACCATTTCGTATGCCAGTTTATAGTAAAGGTTACTGCAATAATGCATTGTTTATTTTTGTGACATAATCAGGTTTTTAATGCAACATAGAATGGCAAACAAACTGGCGGCCCATCTGATGGAAAGTGGTAAACAGTTAGTTACCTTTAAGGTTGGAAAATAATAAGTAAGTAAAACACTATCTTTAGTTTAGGCCTGTCCCTTTGTTTATTACGTTTTCTATGTACAGAATAATTAAATTAAAATTTGAAAGGGTTTTAGGGCCATGGTTTTTTACTAAAGATTTTCCTGCCCAATACAATTCTATCCACAGAACATGCACCTGCCCCCGTCGAAGACCAGCGAGGAGTGCAGGCCAGGATGCCAGTGCAAGAAGGGATACGTGCTGGACACTAGCTCGAAGAAGTGTGTCCTGAGCACGCAGTGTCCGTGCCACCACGGCGGCCGCAGCTACCCCGACGGGCACGTCATGCAGGAGGAGTGCAACACTTGGTGAACATTCCTTCTCTACTCTGCATCATACAGGATGAAGAAGAGGGGGGGGGGAGACATTGTTAATGTCCATTACTTTAATGGATAAAGATGGAATGGCACATAAGAATAGAATTTTTTTTTTTTTAATATAATAAGTCTATGATACAATATAGCCAGGACCGCCCACTAGACAAAGTCTGTCTCGTGGAAGCCAAAGCAAGAATATTAACAGTTAGGTTTTTAATGATGTTTTAAGTGGGATGCTGTTGCCAATTCCTCGACCATTAAGTTTCCTTAGTCGCCTCTTAAGACATCCATGTAAAAGGAGAGGGTATGAAAAAAATCGTGTTCTTTTTTTCTATAGCACGTTATTGAATCGATCAATTGAACGATAACTTGCCAAACGTGATCTTTTTACTGTGACAAGATATTGAAATGAGGAATTTAAGTCAGCGGTTCTCAAACTGATGTCATTTATAGCCTTTTATTTTATATTTAGTCATAACTTTTAATAACTGTTATTATAGTGTATGAAATAATAGGTGTAATAAAATGTATCTTAGTCCTTTTTAACATTATAAATGTGAACGTAAGTTTGTTTGATACCTTTTGGCGCCTTAACGATATAAAATTTGGTATAAAGGTACTATATGTAAAGGAAAAAGCATAGGCTACTTTTTATCCAATTAATCAACATATCCTAGCCACACAAACAAAGTCACGAGTACAAGCTAATAAATAATATTGAGCATAACTTCAACTTACCTTCTTCAACTTACCTTCTCCTACGTACCTACTACACGGTTGCCCGTATTCGAAAGCTTCAAATTACTCTACGAGCTATGAAAAGGTTATGCTCGGAGTTTCTTTGCGTGATAGAATCCGAAATGAGGGTATCTGCAAAAGAACCAAAGTCACCGACATAGCACGAAGGATAAGCAAGCTGAATTGGCAATGGGCTGGTCCTACAGCTCAAAGAACCGACAGCCGATGAGGAAAACAGGTTCTTGAGTGGTGACCTCTTATGGGCAAATGCAGTGTAGGACGACCCCTCACTAGATGGAGTGACGACTTTAAATGCATTGCAGAGAGTCAGTGAATGCAGGTAGTTTAGGACTGTTCCTTATGGCAATCTATGGGAAAGGCCTATGTTCAGCAGTAGGCAGACAATGTCCGAAATGAGATGACGATAATTTCAATATTTCTCATATTTCTCTGGACGCTTTCGCTAACGGCTTGTAGGCCTCTAGCGCCCACAAGAAAGAGTTATCGCCCACTTTGAGAATCAGTGATTTAAGTGCTCCACATTATATCGTATTCGTAAACAAAAGTGAAAGGTGACCTCGTACGCAGTGGGTTTGTATTTGTAACTGGTTCGTAAACATTGGTATTATTTTATTAAGCTACTGCAACAACGGGGGTGTAGCTCAGATGGTAGAGCGCTCGCTTAGCATGCGAGAAGTACGGGGATCGATACCCTGCATCTCCAGAATGTATTTTTTTATGTTTATTTGAAATGTTTTCATACAAAATAAATGTTTTATTAAGTATGTGTTACAATGGGGATGTAGCTCAGATGGTAGAGCGCTCGCTTAGCATGCGAGAAGTACGGGGATCGATACCCTGCATCTCCAGTAAGTATTTTTTTATGTTTATTTGAAATGTTTTCATACAAAATAAATGTTTTATTAAGTATGTGTTACAATGGGGATGTAGCTCAGATGGTAGAGCGCTCGCTTAGCATGCGAGAAGTACGGGGATCGATACCCTGCACCTCCAAAATGTATTTTTTTAATGTTTATTGGAGACATTTTTCATACAAAATAAACGTTTTATTAAGTATGTGTTACAATGGGGATGTAGCTCAGATGGTAGAGCGCTCGCTTAGCATGCGAGAAGTACGGGGATCGATACCCTGCATCTCCAGTAAGTATTTTTTTATGTTTATTTGAAATGTTTTCATACAAAATAAACGTTTTATTAAGTATGTCTGACAATGGGGATGTAGCTCAGATGGTAGAGCGCTCGCTTAGCATGCGAGAAGTACGGGGATCGATACCCTGCATCTCCAGATTTTGTCGTGTTTCTGTGTTGGTATGACCTCTCTTTTTACACCACATCTGTAAAAGATACAAAGGACGCAACCTATTCGGCTTAAAATTGACAGAATGCGCATCGGAAATAAAAAGGTGTGGTTCTAAATTCAAATGTATAAAAACGCTTTCATATGTTTGTAAACAATTTGTTGAACTATATTTTGAGTTCATTTAAATTTAGAATCGTCAGGTAACAAAAATAAATATATTTGGATGTTTCAGAGCAAAAAAAATCATATGATTTTTTTTAACAAATCAAAATACTTATACTAACATTAACCAATTGTTACCATAGTATAAAGAACTATAAAGTCGTTTGCTTGGGCACCTTTTTTCCATTCGTGTTTCAACCGTGAAGCAGTTGTGTTTGCATGGCTGTGTTTTGGTTTGAAGGGTGGGATATGGCAGTGAATTTACAGGGTACAGAGGAATAACAGCTAAGTCCTCAGAAATGGCAACGCATGGGGGTATCATTAGCGAAATAGTGTACTCTGTTTCATCCATGATACTGCTCATGTCTATAGGCGACGGTAACCACTTTCCATCAGGGTCGTCGTCATATATGGAGATGTACCTTAAATTTCCCCCCTTTCATTCGCACAGTGAATGCAAGAACGGCAACTGGTCGTGCACGACGCGGCGGTGCGCGGGCGTGTGCGGCGCGTGGGGCGACTCGCACTTGACCACGTTCGACGGCGCCGACTACGACTTCGAGGGCGTCTGCACGTACCTGCTTGCCAAGGGCGCTATGGACTCTAACGATGGCTTCGACGTCGAGATACAGGTACTGGGCGTTAATGATGAATGAATAAATGGAAAACCCTTTATTGTTCCCCTCAAAAAATTATAAAGATTACATAAGTTGCACCTAAAAAAACTTTATGATTATTTTTGTATTACTCTTTTTTTTTGCAGAATTTTTTGTCTACAAATGGATATGTTAAAAGGGAACGAGTTCTTAATTTGAATTTTGTGCGTATGTCACGCAATGAAAAACAATTTTACTAATATAATAAAACTGTAACTAGAGATGTCATAAGAGATATTTGCTTGGCTATTTCGGTTTGAAGGGTAGGATATAGCAGGGAACTTATAGGGTACAGAGGCGTAACACCTTAGTCCTCATTAAAGGCAATACATGGGGAGTATCATGGGTGAAACAATATGCTCTGTTATGTCCAAGATACTGCTCGTGTCTATAGGCGACAGTTACCATTTTTCATCAGGTGGGCCGTCAGCTTGTTTGCCATGCTAAGCTGCATAAAAAATCAATTAAGAAAAATTACAATAAGGAGTCCTGAGAAGACCAATAGATGCCAAAACAATACTTTTTGAAAATTCGTTTTTTTTTTGTTTTTATTTGTCTATATGATTTGGCATCACGCATAAAATACTGCACCAAGTTGGATGCAATTTTCATAGTTGTATTTCTATTTTGGTATAGTGTAGCGCGTCTTTAGTATACAGCGTCTCGAATATTGATACATTACATTTATATTTCTTGTCTATTCCTAGAACGTCCCATGTGGCACTACAGGAGCGACATGTTCCAAGTCGATCACCCTTAAAGTGGGAAGTGGGGATAACCAAGAGGTGGTCTCGCTTACCAGGAACGCGCCTCTACCTGATGTCTCTAAATTGAAAAGGTAATTAACATTACTACAGTTAAAAATATTTAATATACAGAACTTGGTATTAAATCATCGCCGTTTATTGATCATCATTACATGTCATCAAAATTTATTCTATAGTAAGTTTACCGGTTATTTCATTACAAATATGTTATTTATTTCCTCTACCATTAGTATGTGTGCGACTGCCAATACTTTAAGATTGACTTCAGTTATTATTACCAGATGTTCACCAACATCAACCATCATTCTCACACTGTCATTTCGCCCACGCACGTTTTGTTATGTAAGTTTTCATTCATTCTTTCAATCATGATGATCTTGGTGGTGTAACAGTTTAGCACACCACCGCCTTACGTTCCGATGGTTGCGGGGTTGATCCCTGCACAATACAATATTTGTATCTATTCACGTAAAAAAAAAAAAAATTAAACATGTGTATCAGTTGTCTAGTACCTTAACACTATCTAGCCCTAAGTTTGTAATGTGGTCAATAGAGTATGAATAAATAAATGTCCAGTAGTATACGTGTTTATTTATCGAATCTTGAATTGTCCGCGGCGGCAGGATCACGCTGCGCGAGGGCGGCGCGTACGTGTTCGTAGAGGCGGCGTCGCTGGGCGTGCGCGTGCAGTGGGACCGAGAGTTGCGCGTCTACGTCACGCTCGACTCGCTGTGGCAAGCCCGGGTGCGTACACTATACCATCCTGTGGTCCGCAGCACCTGTACACCAGCTGCATCCTCTTGACTCGGTTCAAAAACGGGCTATGGGAATTGTCAACAATCCCAAGCTCACAGGCAACATCGAGCTCTCAAGTTTAGTTTTTAGTTTCGTGTTCTACCGCTCGTATAACGGATTCTGAGGAATTATTCGAAATGATGCTCGGAGTCACCTTTAATCATTGCACCGCTTTCGATGAGACTGAGAATTCGTACTCAGACGCTTTTCAATTCACCTTTCACGAGTACATGGTCGCGTACACTGCAGTTTTAGAGGATATTTCTCCCGTGAACACTCAGGCTGTGGAGCTCCCTGCTGAGTTTTTTTAAGAGTCTACAGTATAATGTTCTTTAAAAAAGATTGTTTTAAGATTCTTCAGGGTCGGCAATGCGTACGTAACGCCTGTAGTGTTGAAGGTGTCCATAGGCTGCAATAACCATTTACCATCAAACAGACTGTTTGCTTGTTTGCCACCTTCGTGGTATAAAAAAAAAAACTCTCTAATCTATATTTTATTCATTATCAAACAATTTTGATCCACTGTTAAGCCATCCTCGATATCTTCCAATCAATACGATCCTTTGCTTTTTGCATCCACTTTTTTCACTTTATCTTGGGGAGATCGTGAGTTTATCTGGTGGGAGGTCTGATAAAGAAACCTAATCTATATACATGTAATGAAACTGTAATTGGACGGTATCCGTTCTTCCACTTTTTTTAGTGATGAAAATCTGACTAACCCCGCGCTATGCATAAAGAAGCTGTCTTTTCAGAAGACTTCTTTCACTTGAACATCTATGGCAGGAACTAACTCTATACGATAGATCGCTTACAAACGTTTCGACAACGCATGGTAACTATTAGATGAACTGTGTTCTTTATTTCGCTAACATCAGGTGAAGGGTCTATGTGGCAATTATAACTCGGACCTTCGTGACGACTTCCAAACCCCGTCGGGTGGTGGCATCGCTGAATCCTCGGCGCTTATATTCGCCGACTCCTGGAAATTGAAGCCCACGTGTCCAAAAGCGGAACCCGTCACCGTGAGTATAGCGTCATGTTTTGATTTAAATTAATCTATAAATTTTCCTGCTATCTTGATAAACATAATATAAGCAAGCAAAAAATTTTTTGGCAACATACTGCCTAATAATGTTTGTTATCCTTTTGCGCTTGACTGGTTCTACCAATTGTCAAGAATTTGAACATACACATTTGGTGCTATCTAGGATAAAGAAGAACATAGATAGGTTACTTTTTACTCCAGTCAGTGGGGTTTCTCACACTTACATAAAATTTTACCTAAATAGGCACTATAAGAGTCAGTGCACATCGGCAGGACTACTGCAAGCAGCGGCCGGAGCGTACCGAGTGGGCGGTGAGCACGTGCGGCGCACTGAAGCGGTACCCGTTCTCGCTGTGCCACAGCGAGGTGCCGGTGGAGCGCTGGCTGCAGCGCTGCACGCGCGACGCGTGCGCCTGCGACGCGGGCGCTGACTGCGCGTGCGCGTGCGCTGCGCTCGCTGCCTACGCGCACGCCTGCACACTACGCGGCGTCGCGCTGCGCTGGCGCACCCCACAACTCTGTCGTCTGTATCACAACCGCCCGCTGCTCATTACCGCTGCTCACTGCTAATTTCTCATTGCTCACCTCTTACCGCTCATCTCTCATCGCCCATCTCTCACCACACATCTGTAACCGCTCGCTTCTTATCGCTCACCATTCACCACCCACTGTCACTACTCACCAACACTTCGCTGTTTTGTTTGCTCATAAACGTGATTTTAAGCTTTTTTAACATTTACACTATTTTATAACATATTTGTATGTATTACAGCAATGCAATGCGACGGCGAATGTTCCAACTACGATGCATGCATGTCACCGTGCCCACTGGAGACGTGTGACAATACCATCGACTACGCCGACATCAAGGGCAACTGCGAACAGGACCCGTGTGTCGAAGGTATATGAACAAATTAATATTATTAAATTTTAATTTATTAAAATAAAACTACCAACATTCATTGATACGCAGTGATAACACCAGAAACGCTGTAAAAACCAAGCCAAAATCCCTTAATTCATTATTTGTGAAAAAAATAAACAAAGAATTTTTACCTGAAATCAAGTGAACTTTAACCAAAACTCCGAAATTGAGATCAACTATATGTTCTGATGTTCTAATAAAATTTATACGAACCATTTAAAAAACTTAAACCATTTATTAGGTTGCAAGCCAAAGAAGACTTGTCCAGAAGGTTCTGTATACAGTAACAGTTCATTTATCGAATGCGTACCTCGCGCCAAATGCAAACCATTATGTATGACCCTCCCTGACGGAAAAGAGATACTGGAAGGAGAAATCATTGAAGAGGATGCTTGCCATACTTGTCGATGCTCCAAGAAGAATAGGGTCTGCACTGGCCAACCGTGTTCTACAATAGCGGTGAGCCCATCCTTTAATTTCTTTGGCTTGGCTTTAAAAAGAACATCATGCTTTATGGTCTGAATATGTTGAATCACAGTACTTAGTAATTTCACTACAATTTTTCTCCATTCAGACTTGTTCTAATTTGCAAAATACCTAACGTTAGTTTATTCAGAACTACCTGTATAGATTTTGTTGTGGATTGTCATCACATAATATTAGAACTTAATTCATTTGTTTCCTTCCAAACAATAATGGAATGGTTTTTTACAGCCTAGACTGATTGAGAGTACTACATCAAAACCGCACGATGAGCCACTCAAATGTGTAACCGGGTGGACAGAATGGATCAGTAGACATACGCCGGAAGCTGGAACGAATGGAGAATCAGTTGAAAAAGAACCACTACCGGAAATTAATGAATTGGTGAGTGCTAAAATTGATATTAGCAATCCGGACTCTATCATTACACTTTCTATACTTTTAAATAAAAATTGCTACTATAACCCTCTAAACGGATCTCCGAAAGGTGCTGGATGATTGTGACTATAGACAATTTAGTTGAGATCAAAGTCTTTTCTTAAACCTGTTCAAATTTTAATTGTAAAATTGTGATGTTGCAAACAATTTCAAAAAAAAGAACTTGTTGAAGTTATCTTGATCTGGTTATAACAGGTTCAATACGATGACAATGATGTACTACATTTTATTCAATCAAAAGTTATAGGAGTAAATGAATGAATTTCTCTGAAAGAAGTAATACTGTTCTTTATATCACGGTAATTCTACTTTCAATTATGTTGAAATTAGTTTATCCAATTAATTTATCGTTATTTTCAATTAGCAAATCGGCACGTCGATGTGCAGTAAGGATATGATGACAAAGATCGAGTGCCGCACGAAGGTGAACCATCAGAGCCCGAAAGAGACCGGGCTCGACGTGGAGTGCAGCCTCGAGCGCGGCCTCCTCTGCAGGGAGACCGGCGGCACGTGCCCAGACTTCGAGATACGAGTCTACTGCGAATGTGAAGGTAGGTGTCTTCTTTTTATATATGAAAATGGGATTGGTAATAAGCTGAAGATTAAAATGATAGAAAGTGATTAAGACAACTACAATAGTCCACAAATATCACAACTATGCCAATACTATAATCATTAAGTATTATAGTATTTTTTTATTTTTTCTGTGGCGACTATAGTAATTGCTCTTGTAATCTTTAGATTACTCCTATGTTAATTCTAAACTATACTTGGGCATTTGTCAAATATAGACAAACATAGTTTGTTTTTTTGTGGAACAAAATCTTATATTCTTTCATCTTACACTTTGATAAAATGATAATGTCTTGCATACTATCGTCTGATTATAAATTAAATCCATTAAAAGGTAAATAAATAAATCTACTTATTTATAATGACTCTTCTCCATCCAAAGGTAGCCTGGAAGAGATCACTTTTAGCGATAAGGTCTCCTATTGTTTTCTTATTGTGATTATTTCTTGTAATTGTTTGTATCTATAATAAGTTTATTATTGTAATCTTATGGAGAAAATATTAAAGAGTATCTATCTATCTATCCACAGAACAATTCCAATGCTTGAATGCCGACCGTCCAAGTTACGCACACCCAAAGAACTGTAGCCAGTTCTACGAATGCACGCCAGACCTGCTGAACCCGGACAAGCCACACACCGTGCTCAAGTCGTGCGTGGAGGGCACCATGTACAACAACAACACCATGGTCTGTGACTGGCCCGCCAACGTCATACCACTGCGACCCGAATGCGGCGCACTTGAAAGTGAGTCCAATTACATGATACAGAGACGTAACATCTCAGTTCTCAGGAATAGAGAGAGGTGATTGTTAGTGTATACCAGTCTTTCCTAAAGTAGGCGATAACACCCTTTTGTGGAAGCTGAAGACCTAAAGCGGGCAGTAGGAGACCCAGAAAAAAAAATGGGGGCATTGTGTAGAGGCTTGGGGGGGGGGGGGTGATTTGTTGGTCTTAAAGTAAGAGTGGTTTTTAAGTAGGTGAAAAAATGAGGGCGCTAAAAATAATTTATTCTCAAAGTGGGCAGTAGACAAAATAAGTTTGGGAACTCCTGGTGTATACTTTTGCAATAAGTACTAGCAGTCGCATTGCTAGCAATATCAGCTCGAAGTTCATGCGATTTTCTCAGGAAATTAATTGTGGTTAATCTTTAGTCAATTCGACATGATAAACCAACTGACTTCATTACATCCTCGCCTTTAGTCTCGCATTAGTGTCCCGCCAACGTAAATCGACTATGTAAATGGAGTTGCCATTCTGTTAACATCTAAAGTGAGGATACTCCTCATCAGTCTTATTCATACGGAATTTTTTGTAACATATACTTCACAAGGTATCCTTTTATATTCATGGTGCTGTTCAAGTATGTAAGTGATGGTTACCATTTCAAAAAATATTCATCAGTCCGTTCCGTAATAGTAAATGGCTATTGGACTCCATAAACGCTTTCAACACAAAAAACGTCATAACCCTACATTTGGGATATGGAAATCAACTATAGCAATTTTCCCATTCTGTGCAAATGTGGGTGCTTAAATGTAAATTTACCTACAACTTATTATTTACAGGTCTAGGTGCTGACACAACGCCGTTTATTCCCGAAACAACCGTGACATACCCTACAGGTTTGTATTACGTTCTTAGACTACTAGAGATATCCTCGGTCATGTCTAAACGGTTGTCAATTTCTATCACCAACAGAAAGCCATATCGTGTTTATTGTCTATTGGAACTAATAGTTAATTACTAACATTAACTAATTTTATTATAACTATATAAGTCCTTAACTGTCCACTGCTGAATATAGGTACCAGAGGGAGACTTTGTACAAAAGTCGATTGCTTGGCTACCTCTGTCCTATTCGCGTTTCAACCGTGAAGCAGTTGTGTTTGCATGGCTGTGCTTCGGTTTGAAGGGATATGGCGTGAATTTACTAGGTACAGAGGAATAACACCTGAGTCCTCAGGAATGGCAACGCATGGGGGGTATTATGGGCGAAACAGTATACTCTGTTATGTCCATGGTACTGCTCATATCTGTAGGCGACGGTTACCACTTTCCATTAGGTGGGCCTTGTTTGCCCTTCTAAGTTGTATAAAAAAAAAGTTTCCTCCATAAAGAGGGCTTTTCCAGGAGTTATCACCCTTGGCAGGCGGGTTAGCAACCGTATTTAAGTTTTGATGATTTTTTAAGAGAAACGTTGCTGCCCATCCCTCGCCCATTAAGTTCCCTTAGTCGCCTCATTCGACACCTACAGGGAAGGAAGAAGCGACCCATTCTATGCTGGGACTATACGGTATTAACCAAGTGCTCCGATTTAAACGTATACCCCGAGTCTAGGTTATTTTATTTAACTGGGTCTTTTTTGCATGTCACTTACTTGTCTTGTTAATACAATTAATTATTATTGCAATGGATTATTGTTTTCTCAAACATGCTTGGAAATGTGAGCATTATTTTGACAATCTTCTTCGAGATAAATCAAAATTGCCGTACTGGCCAGATACATGCGGGCAGCGGCCGGCAAAAGTTGTATGAAAATCCATATTTCTTGTATGGATAATTGATAATATTATTTTATTGTTAACTTATTCCCTTTTGACCAGAGCAGACTATCAGTGTTTTGCTCTTTCGAGGGCAAAGCAATAAACTGTGTTGTGACCATTTTGTGTTACTATGGCGCACGCACGAAAGGAAAAATATGTTACTCTTTTATGTATATTTTATGTATTTTCTCGCTTTTTGTGTATGCCTATCTATGTTTGTTGTGATTTGTGTGCTGTAAGTGTAATAAATAAATTATCTATCTATCAATGAAGTTGGCCAGTCAGTGTTGGAGACGACAGCGATATGCCCACCGGGACTCGTGTACTCTGACTGCGCGTACCCGTGCGACTCGCTCTGCGACCACTTCAAGAGCACCCTGCAGAACAGGAGCAGGTGCATCCCTGGAGAGGTAAGAGTCTATTGCTATTGCTATTATTATTGAGAGACGGACTTTTACAGGCAGAAAAACCTGTGACACTGCGACCTTTTCATGATCTTCTGTGCTCGCTCTTTTTTAAACTTGGCTTCTAATTCCTATCATTGATAGAAATTCTAAGATGTTTTTGATAGCGATATTTTTTATTTCCTCAGGATATAGTGTGTATTTCAAATGAGATATATCCTTTATGTATGAGTGGGCTACAGCTACAATGCACAAACTACAGCTATATGGTTTTTTTTATGTTTAAAAATGGTATAGTAGCCCCGCCTGCGCTAACGGGATACGCTGGCGGAGCACCAGTGAAGGGTGATAGATGAGAATGAAAACAGGCCAGTTAGCCCATCATGATGAATTCATCAGGAATTAACCATGATAGTTTCCAGGGGAACCGCGAGGAGGTCGACCTAGTTGGGTATATTGCTAGCAATGGGATTCTTAGTCTCCATTACTTACAATCCCTTTCCCCCCAGCTGTATGGTTTAACACATAATGTTTACCATAATAATGTTTACCATAATAATTATAAATACAACACTGATTCACACCAAGACTAACTTGTCTAATTAATTAGGCTGATCTTTTTACCGCGCTGGGCATATGACTCGGTACAGGGTGTTATTACAATGTTTTCTTTTGATACCGTACTGTGATCTAGTTTATTCTCTTAGTTACTTCCATTTAATATCCAGATTATGAAATAGTGTATTTATGCAATATCATATAAAGATTAATACTCTCTACCTATGACACAATGATTATTGATGAATGTTCTGGGTTGTGCCCCCAGATATTTGTTATGTAGTTTTTTAAAGACACGGGTAGCCTTTAAAAAATAAATAATAGATGTAAAACCAGCTACTTATTAGTCGGTATCTTATTAATATTCTTGTTTTTTATTCGTTATATAACAGGGGTGATTTTCATAAGAAAAAAATTGAAAAAATCCATAAGTTCAGCTTATAAATAAAAAAAAATTAAATTACCTAATTTAAAAAAGGAATATCTACTTCGTAATACTTTTAATAGATGGCGTTGTAGTCGATAAGAAGTCATATAAGAAGTTCACTGGGTCAGCTATGCCCAGTGAACTTCTTATGATATAAAATTAATTTTGTAGTTTATTATTATTTTATACATATGATAAATTTCATTTATAGAAATGCGTGGAGGGCTGCATACCTTCTCAATCCTTTTGCGGTGGTGCTACCAGATGGCGCGACGAGAACACTTGCGTACCAATAAAGGACTGCACATGCTCTGACAATTTAGATCAAATAGGAAATATTGTAAAGGTAGGTAAGCTTACTTAGCTCTAATCGTATACAAATGATTGACAAACACTAAATTCATACATACAATATAAATAGTTATATCTTATTGAACTATGCCTTTATGACTTTGAATTTCCTAGTTTGATCCTTAACCTTGAATCAAACAAATTAATATCCAAACATATCTTGACTTTACTTATTTCTACTTCAATAACTTTATTGTCTTCAATCTTAGCACTAGAACATTATAAAAACAATTGGCACCCAACGTGGGCCACGAACCCACGTTGGGCGCCAAATATTTTTAGTTGGTAACTTTCAAATATTTTTCAAAATTAGATTTTACATACGATGTATAGAAATTATATATAACACAACTTGTATCTAAAACAGCCAGGAGGCGTTGTAAAGAAGGACTGCCGCAAGTGTCAGTGCCTCGAAAATGAATTGCACTGCGACTCTAGCCTGTGTACGAGCACCACTGAGGAAGTCACCAGCACCACAACAACAACCACAACTCCCATTACCGTACCATCGACGACCTTCGTACCAATCACTAGCACCGTACCACCTACCGTCGCCCCCACAACACCGGCGACCACATCGACACCGCTTATTGTACCAAGTACAGTCTCGCCGCCACCTGAATGCGCTCCTGATAGGTCAGAACAATTTGATATATCGTTTTTTATACCAAAATATGGAAAATAAATATACGATCCATCAAATAGCATTTGGTCACTTCAATTTAGTGTATAGCATACAGATGCAATATCAAAATTTATACTTGTGCATTGCCTATATTTTACATTATCTTTTTTCTTGCAATTTTGTTTCTACAAAATTTTCAACCGTAATATTTTGGAGACTGGGGGTAAGTTTTCTTATGGCGTTTACTATTGGGAGTTTTGCCAGTACTTGCTACACTTTTTGTAGTAGGGTTTCGGGTTGACAATCGCAATTAGGCCTTCGGTAATGTTTTTTAAGAAGGACGCAGCTGTCCATCCCTTGACCATAAGTTCCTTTAGTCGCCTCTTAAGACATCCACGGGAAAGGAAGAGGTGGCCCATTCTATGCCAGTACCGACACGGCGAGAACCACTAGATGGAGTGACGACCTCAAATGCAAATGCATTGCAGGAAGTCAGTGGATGCAGGTGGCTCAGGACCGTTCCTTATGACGGTCTATGGGGGAGGCCTGTGTCCAGCAGTGGACGGATAAAGACCGAAATGATGATGAATGATGAATATTTTGGAGAACAATAAAACTTATCTAGTATTTTTAAACTATAGATACAAGAACCTATTGTGGGGAGACGAGCCCCTGCAAGAATCGGCGTTCAGTGCCAGCTCGGTAGCAAACGAGTTGTTCGAACCGCAATACGCCGTGCTCAATGGACACCCACTCGACGTCACTGGTAACCTATACTTCTACTGTAATATACAATGTAATATAATATATAAGTTAGACGAAAAAGCAAACAGTTATTAAAAGCTTCAATGGAATAGATGAGAGATATCCACTCCTTTTTCCTTTAATGCGAAATAAAAGGTGACTAGTGACCTATTATTAATTTCGTCATCGATAGACAATGTCGCATTGCACGTTTTTTTACATTGCACGCTTTATATTATCTTATATTCGCATATGGGATCAGCTAAGGCGTTGGACGTCGACCCATCGGGATCTTTTGTGTTTCTTTCTGCCTTATGCCATAATTTCGTAGAACCTATGTGTTAACAATATCCCGCGGTTTAAGATATCTGTAGTCCCCTAGCTTAGGATAAGCCGCTCCCAGTAGACTCATACGCATGCTTTCCAACGAGTTCCATAGATTCCGATTTCTCCTCGCACAGTCTGCACAGTGTGTCCGACGATAGACCCATCTTGTACAGTATATGCCTTATTGGTATATTTCCAGTTAGGGCACCTGTAATGAAAGAATGCTTCGCCTTACTTGGTGGACAGTTCAAATTGACTGCACTCGTAGGTTGGTTCTTTACCACTGATCTTCGGCTACTGAATATTATCGTACACGTTGTATGCACTGAATGTGGCATAAGCCTAAATATATGTAATTATGTGAAACAGCCGGTAGTTGGGCGCCGAAGAAAATGGACAAGGAGCAGTACATACAGGTGGAGTTCCCGCAGCGCGAGCCCGTATACGGTGTCGTGATGCAGGGCAGCCCACTCTTCGACCAGTATGTTACCAGCTACGAAGTCATGTACGGGGACGATGGGAACGTCTTCTCGATAGTCAGTGAGCCAGATGGCAGCCCCAAGGTAATGTTAACAATACGCGATTATATTTATTTATTTATTTATTTAACACTTTATTGCACCAACATAACATGATTTGTTAAAACAATTTTCAATACGTATAGTGTAGTACAAAAGGCGGTCTTATTGCTAAGCAATCTCTTCCAGACAACCTTTGGGTAGAAAGGATTAAAGCATAAGTAGGTAGGTGGCGCGTTAAAAAAGATAGATTTGTAAAAAGTAATATTTGTGACAGCATAGTCATATACATATACATACATAAATAAACACATACAACCAAACATATACATATATATACATACACATACACATATAAATATATATACATACATATACATATATAAGCATAAATACATACAAATATACCATATTAATACACATATATATAACACACATAAAACTGGAAATACGTAGGACTAAGTGATTATAAGGATAGGTAGTGGGATTTAACTAAGTTTTTAAAAATGGGCAACGATTGAGCGCACCGTATAGAGGTAGGGAGTGAGTTCCACAAACGAACTGCTTGCACGGAAAAGGATTTGGAGTAGAAAGAGGAAGAATGGGTAGGAATTATGAGTTGGAGGTTGTCAGTACTACGTATATAATTATTTACGCGATTATTTAAGCCGCTGCAGTGTCCCAGTCCTTTCCGCAATTGCAGTGTCCCCCTCCCTTTCCTTTCCCACATTCCTTCCCTTATTCCTCTCATTCACCAATTTCCTTTACGCATTTCCAACGTTCCCTTCCTTTTTTCCCCCCAAACCTTTCCTCCATACCGTAGGTGGCGGAAACCACCAACAAATGCATACCCAAAGAGGGTTGACGTCAGGCAGGTGGCCGGTCATAAAAAAAAAACTAAATCTTTTTGTAATATGGATAAAATCATATTATGCCGACCCCAAATGATTGGGATAAGGGTAGGAAGGTGATGATGATCAACAACATCTAAAGATACTTCGACAAAAAATAGACTAAAACCAAGAAATTGGTAATCTGTTTATTTATACTCCATGAGTTTTTTGAGTGGATTTGGATGATCAAATCGAAAAGTCTTTATTGGATATAAAAAAAATCAATTTTAATCGAAATCGAATCTGTGCTCTTTTATCTTAGACTAATACTTGCACCATAAGCATAGTAAATATTACTGTGTAAATTATTGTTGATAGTTTATGATTAACGTACCTACTTACTATACTTCAAACTAAACATTGCACTTCAAACAAAGGTGTTCCGCGGTCCGGTGGATCATGAGAAGCCGATGAAGCAGATGATCGAGCCACCGATCGAGGCGAAGTTCGTGCGCATCCGACCGCTCACCTGGAACGAGGAGATTGCTGTCCGCTTCGAACTGATTGGCTGCCAGGAACCCTCCTCTACCACTGAGTTCTCTTTCTCAATGGTCAGTAATATTACTCATATCACTGTTTATAGCAAAACGGCGTGACCATATCCCCAGGGTTAAAATACATAATACATATCACAAAATGTGTTGTGTGTTACATATGCGGCATGTATTTTGATGTGATAATATCGGCCAGTAATTATTTTATGACATGTTTTGATAAAAATGTAGAGGTATAATTAATAATAGCATTACATGATAACGTAAGATTTTACCATTACATTGTAGTAGATCATAATTTCGCTCTCTTGTTATATTGTGATGATAAATCGTACGACATTTTAGAGATGAAAACCTGTTGTAACATATTGACTAGTACGTTTATGACGTCACGTCACATGGTACATTTCCTTGTCTCTCGTCTACGCAGATAATTATTATGCTTGTTTACCACAATCCTTCCTCTTAGCTGCTTAATAGCTTGGTCAATTGCCATGAAAGGTTTGCACGTACCTTGCATAAGAATTTATAAATAAGAAATATGAAGATAAGATACTAAATATAACTCTGGAGTACAGGCCACATATGTAATATTATTTATTTTTTATGAATGAATGAATAAGTATACTTTATTTGCATTATACAATGTAGGAAATAAACAAAACAATAAATATAACGATACAATTGTATAAGTACAGTAAGGCGGTATTATTTTATATTACTATTTACCAAATTCAAAATTGACATGCATCTCTATTGTTTCCTTTTGGCTTTCCTTCATGGCCCCAGTCTTCTAAGTTCCTTTCGCCTATGTAAATATATTTCCAATTTCCATTCCTGGTTTCTTTTTTCTCCACAATAACTATAACTAATTAACTCAACTAGTAATATTACAAATATGTCTTTATTGTACATGTGCATCGCACAGAGCACACCAGCACTGGAGTGCACAGAGCCTCTCGGTCTGGCGGCCGAACTGCCCATAGAGAACATCGAGGTGAGCTCCAACAACGACGCCCGCAAGTACTTCCTCCTGGACGGAGAACGTGGTTGGACACCGCTCTACAACACGCCCGGCGAATGGATCATGGTACGTGTACTGCCATAAATAAAAAGTGCCACACAATTGCCTAGTCTTCAAGCTACATTGCCCGGGAATCGAGCTCGGAATATAATTTACTCGAAGTAACAAACATTTAGAAATTATACTACTCGCAAAATCTAGATTTTGTGAATTTAAATAAAAAAAAAATTACCAAAATAATATCTGGAAATGTATTTATTTGCACCTGCGCTTTTTCTTAAATAGATAAGTATGTAAAGGAAAGAAAGAAAGAAATATTTATTTTGTGCCTAATTTAACTACAAATATATTTTACAATAAACAAAAAGGAAAAGAAAAGCACCAAAATGATATCACTCAGCTGTATGCCATGTTCTTTTGAACATAATGCTGATTTTCAGTAGCACCAATTTGTGGAAAAGATCAAGATTCTCAATTCTCTTTTTAAAATGACACTGTTGTCAGTTTTTTTGTGTATTTAGAGTCAAAAATTATATATTTTAACTGTGTCATACAATTTTCCTTTTAAAACTTCTAATCATAAATTAATCATAAATTAAATCCCCAGTTCGACTTCACATCTCCACGGAACATAACCGCTATCAAGACGCGAGGCGGTCCAACCGGCTGGGTTACCTCCTACAACATAATGTACACCTCGGACCTATCCACCTTCAACCCAGTATTAGACAACTCGGGCTCGTACAAACTGTTCCCGGGCAATTTCGACAGTAACTCCTTGGTTGTCAATCAATTCAAACTGCCGATACACGCAAGATACTTAAAGGTACTGCCGCTGAAGTGGAAGAACGGCATTGAGATGAGAATCGAGCCTATTGGATGCTTTGAGCCATATCGTGAGTACTATATCTTGTTAGTGACAAGATTTTTTCTGGTTTCAGAGAGAGGTCCTGTATAAATATTTTTCTAAAACACTAAAGCTCTGATGCTCTTTAAAAAGGAATTTAATTGGTTTCTTGTTTCTTGTTGCTACTCTGATATTGCAATAGCCAAATAAGGATACAATGACTATACAACAACGCGTAGTCAGCGTGGTAACAATGCAGTAGTAATTTAGGCACTCAATTTTACATTAATCAAAAAACTGTCTCTTCAGATAACGATCGAAACGTACAATTCATGTGGGTACAATAAAAATAGGCAAAACATGTTTTAACGATAGAAGGTGCCATAGTCCATCAATTTCATAAATCACTAGAACTTTCTAGCTATTTCACACAGCTTGCATAATGTATATATATTTATATTCTTTATTGCATTAAAACATACAATAACAACAATAAGTTAATAACAATGTTAGCAAAGGCGAACTTATCTCTAAAAGAGATCTCTTCCAGTCAACCTATCGCAGTGGCATAAGAAGTGGTGAGTGGGCAGTAGTGGTGCTAAACAGAAGTTAAATATGGTATATGTTGTGTTGGTGATCAGCGCCGGCGACAGTGGCGCCAGTGCCGGTGGAGGAGGAAGTGGGCTCGACAGAGGGCGTGTGCGAGCCGTGCCCGGGCGTGCAGGCGGCGGGCTGCGCGTGCGGCGCCGGCCTGCACTACGACGGCGAGGACTGCGTGCCGCGCGACCAGTGCCCATGCGTACAGTCCTTCATGTCGTTAGTACCACGCTGTATCTTTGTCTACAAGCGCTTACTTTCACTACAATCACCGAGAAAGTATTAGAGTAATTTTTATCAAAAACGACTCTAATACTTTCTCGTGTTCCCTTTTCTTTTTTATAATTTTTGATTTAACTATCTACACATACTTAGATAATTAACCCTGTTTCAAATTACTATATGTCAGGTACGCTGTGGGCTCGACGTTCCGAGGATCGAACTGTGACGACTGCGTGTGCAAGCTGGGCGGCATTACTGACTGTAAACCCGTCAAGGAATGCGTCTGCGCACCCGTGAGTTGCTTTATGTTTGATATACGTTTTTGAATGAATGACTTAACGCAGAAGTTAAAAGGAAAATGTACCAAAGCTTGTTTATCTATTCAAATAACGTAGTTACTTAGTTATTTTTTAATACATTATATCTTTTAATGTCACTTACAGGAACTAGTGCCTAAATTATCAAAGTCGACTTGTGAGTGTCTCTGCGAACCATGTCCAAACGGTACAAAGATCTGCCCCACCAGCAAACTCTGCCTTCCACTGGAGAAGTGGTGTGACGGTCTTCAAGACTGTCCTGATGATGAAGGAGCCATCTGCACTACTACGACCTCGACGACCACCTCAACCACCGAACCGACCACTATAGTTACAACAACCCGTAGACCTTTAGAGCAGATGGTGGTCACCACCGTCGCTCCAACGTTACAAGCCATGGCCCTTACCACTGCCACCAGCCTGACGACTGTCACCACTCCTAAACGTTAGTGCTGTTTATCTATATTATTTATCTAATTGTTTATAATAGCTCGATCTATGTCCACACAGTTCTGAGCAGAATTTTGAGACTGTATGGACTTGAATGCTTCAGAAAGTAAAATTTTACCTACTATCATCATCATCATCATTTTAGCCATTATCCGTCCACTGCTGGGCAAAAAGCCTATACCTACTATAATTTCTTAAAATTTTGTGTAAATGTTCATTACTCAATCACACACAAACTGTTGTACGGATTTGGATGAAAGACATTAAACCCCCCATGTGTTGCCATTCCTGAGGACTCGGATGTTATTCCTCTGTACCCTGTAAATTTTGGCCATATCCCACCCTTCAAACCGAAACACAGCCATGCAAACACAACTGCTTCACGGTAGAAACACGAATGGGATAGAGGTACCCAAGCAATCGACTTTTGTACAAAGTCTCCCTCTGGTGAATAATGAATGAAACCTATTATAAATATAAACAATTACAAGAAATAATAAGTAACTACTTACGTTAGCTACATACATAATAATTCTAAATAATGTAAAAGAGCTTTTTCAAACGTTTTTCATATATTTAATACTAACCATCTTATGTGTTGTTCTCGACAGCGATAGAATGTCCGAAGGTGGAATGTCCACCGGGTTACATCGTCCGGTACACATCCAACAGCGCTTCAAGTTACTCCACCACGTCGACCTCGGACCTTCCTCCGCCCAGGCCGCGCTATTCCTATCAGAGGTACTACAGAGGTGGTGGCGGGTTCTCCAAAGGTGGCTTCTCCAAAGGCGGGTACTCCAAAGGAGGTTACTCCAAAGGTGGTTTCTCTAAAGGTGGATTCTCCAAAGGCGGTTATGGTGGATTTGGTAAGTTGATTTGTCATTTTCAACCAACTTTAAAAAGAAAGAAAGACCTTGTTACCTCATAATTCCGTTAATGATAAACTGCTTTGGAAAATTATTTTTTTATCTGTGAAGGGATTGGTTACATAGAAATTTTATTAAGTTCACTACTTTAGTTTTTAAATAATAATTACTGTTTTTGCAGTCGGTTTTTTTTTATGGAATACATTCTTAAATAATTATACATATATAGTGGTTTTACATTATATGCAACGTAAATGGTTTAATATTTTTTAACAATATTTATATTAGAATAATTATATTGTATACACAAATTTTGAAGAAATTTATTTCAGTGTATATTGCATTATTGTAGTATATTTAACAGATAATCCTTATATAGATAGATAAATAGATACTCTTTATTGTTTCCTCCAAAAGATTACAATAGTAAACTTATTATATATATATATATATATATATATATATATATATATATATATATATATATATATATATATATATTATCTGTTAAATATACTATCAATAAATATATATATTTCGATATATATATATATATTTCGATTGTTTAAAAAATAATATCATTAGAAGTACTATAGACTACTTGGAGACAATATAAAATAAACATAATAACTCAGGTATAAACTTTCAAAATTTTCTAAAATTAATGTCAGTTTTTTTTTATACCACTGAGATGGCAAACAAACACACGGTCCACCTGATGACAAGTGATTACCGTAGCCTATGAACACCTGCAATACCAGAGGTATTACGCGTGCATTGCCGACCCTGAAGAAACCTCTTTACTCCCCTTTTGAAGAACCCCATGCTGTAGTCTCTTGGGAAAACCTCGACAGGCAGTTTGTGACATTGCTGTATCCTGTTTATGTTAGTTTATAATTATGTCACTATTGAAATCACAGAAGTCATATTGTTATAACAATGATCGACAGGTGCCCCAGTCCCCCAATCGAACCGGTTCACATTGGAGAAGCCGGCTGCGAACTCGAGCCAACCTGGCGTGCAGGCGTGCCAGCAGTTCAAATGCGTGCCGCGGCTGCCGCCCTACAGGCCGGGAGCCCGGCCCGCGCCGCTGGACTGCGCAGCGCCCGCCTGCCCGCCGCACTACTCGCTCAGCATCGAGTCTGTCCCGGGCTCCTCCAGCGGGGACAAGTGCCCACAGTCAGTCTCTATTTATATCACTATATCACAGTAATAAATCGCGACCCTGTGCTCCTGTACGGGCAAAAGCATTAATGTATTAGCAAGACGTCAGTGGATGTAGGTAGCTCAGGACTGTTCCTTATGGCAGCTTATGGGGAAGCCTATGTCCAGCTGTGGACGAATAACGGCTGATATGATGATACGATAGTAATTATAATTGCTACATAATCACCAATTTCCTAATCGATCTCCAGTTAGGATATACTCTGTAGTATGAGAAACTAGAAAACAGACCGGAATCAATATAAAAAAGTACATTTCGGAAATGAATCCGACTTAGGTGAAATCAGATCATTTGTATAAAGCAATATTGCGCTACAGAAATCTATCTAATATGATTAAGTATAGACTACGTCACCTTTTCTTCTCTTCCCCAAAATATAATATTAAACACAAATTTAAACACAATTCACCAAATACAAAAGAAAATAAACCTGAAATTATACTATATACCTAGATTCTTGCCCAAATTTCATTTATTTCTATTAATTCATCAGAAATGGCCAACAACAAACTAAAGCCCAATTCGATTACCGATCACTAGAAAAAAACTTTCTTGAAACATTTTAGTACGTATTTCTAACGCCACGCAATTTGATCGTATATTTTTTTTTTTAATTAAACGGTCAGCCAAGTCTCTGTGTTCTGCGACTAAAGATCTAAGGTTGGTATCGTGTTACAACTAAAAATGTATATGTACCTAAGAACATTCATGATATTCCATTCCAGGTATGTATGCGTACCTCCGCCCGAGCGGCCGGTGTTCTGCAACGTGACAGGCCGCACCTTCACCACCTTCGACGGTGTTGAGTACAAGTATGACGTCTGCTTCCACATCCTTGCTAGAGACAACAGGTTCGATGCCTGGACTGTGCTCAGTGAGTATCCGTTCTTCTGTATTCAGCTTACTCTATTTTTTTTATTGATGGGTGAAAATAGCCTGTGCTAACGGGATACGCTGGCGGAGCACCAATGAAGGATGATAGATGAGAATGAAAACAGGCCAATTAGCCCATCATGATGAATTCATCAGGAATTAACCATGATAGTTTCCAGGGAAAACCGCGAGGAGGTCGACCTGGTTGGGTATATTGCTAGCAATAGGATTCTCAGTCTCCATTACTAACAATCCTTTTCTCCCCAGCTTACTCTATTAGCATTCGAAAGATATTTCGCCAGCATCACATATCGGAATTTTATTTCTTTGTAATTTAGCAGTTTCCTCTGTCAGTCAGGGTAACCGATATATGTACTTTTTATTAATGAACTTTACCCCCAACTTCCTATATGTAAATACGACATAACTCGGAGCTTCTATTTGGCTCGTATGTCTTAATCTATTTGTTGTTAGCATAGTTATACTGGTTTATTTTAAATTATAAATGATGTTTTATCTATGTTTCCAGTCCGTAAGAAGTGTCGTTTAGAGGGCTGCCAAAACTATCTGATCGTACATCAGGACGATCAGCTGATCATGGTGAAACCGAACCTGATGATAGAATACGACAACTACGAGTACACCGTCGAGCAGACATCCAAGATCTGTTTCCAGAAGAACAGCTTCGATGTGCACCGACTCGGTAACGGACTGTCAATCAAGTCCAGAAAATATAACATCACTGTACTTTACTCGAGCGATGGAGATATTAAGATTGGGGTGAGAGTATTTTTTTAAATTTCCTGTTTATTTTATGTAATAATTAGTAATCCTATCTATTAATTAAAAAATATAGTGTTTTATTTAAAAAAAAAACTTTTGTATCGTAACAATTATAAATTTTAGATACGAATCTCATTTATAAAAACAAAATATTCGAACAATGCAATCTGTTATCGCTCTTTTTCACCCAGGAACGATGACATAAAAGATTACAGGAACAAGACAAAATATTTCTGGAATCAAATCTTATAATCAATTCGTCTGGTTGACTTTAATAACCTCCTCTTACTAGTATAAATCCGTATATAGTAGATGAGATACTAAAGGGTTAGATATTTGTGAAGAAAGAGGCTTTCGACATTCGGTTATCTCTGTCTACCTCGCAAAGGATTTAGTATAAGGATAAAATAAGTTCATACGATCGCTGTAACAAGCACTTACATTTATTTACAGTGCAGTAAAATGTAATTGACATAATGGCAGGTATCTAAGAAGTACATGGGGTCAGTAGACGGTATGTGTGGCGCGTTCGATGGTTCTCGTCACAACGAGCGGCGGCTGCCGGACGGGCGGCTGGCGACCAGCCTGGACGAGTTCGGCCGCGGCTGGGCCAAGCCCGGCCTGCCGCGCGATGCCTGCCGCACCGCGGTCATCGCGCAGGAGAAGCAGAAGCGCGCCTGGGACCTTTGTCACGTCATCACGTCAGTATACCGTCTCCAAGCTCTATCAATGCAAAATGACATGTGTGACAGAACGTTTACAATGTGCATGCTAACTGACGATCAGGTGTACGAGTTCGGATGGATATAACATAGTCGGAACTATCGCAAAACGCCTGTCACGTGGCGTTCATTGTGCAGGAAAAACAGAAGTTTAGCTTTTTTTTTTTTTTTATACAACTCAGAATGGCAAACAAGCTGACGACCCACCTGATGGAAAGTAGTAACCGTCGCCTATAGACAGGAGTAGTACCATGGACATAACAGAGTATACTGTTTCACCCATGATACCCCCAATGCGTTGACATTCCTGAGGACTCAGATGTTATTCCTCTGTACCCTGTAAATTCACGCCATATCCCACCCTTCAAATCGAAACACAGCCATGCAAACACAACTGCTTCACGGTAGAAACACGAATGGGACAGAGGTACCCAAGCAAACGACTTTTGTACAATGTCTCCCTCTGGAACTTTTACTACATTAATATACCACCTTCGCGTTTTTCAATATTTTAGAGATGACGCGTAGCATTACAAACGAATATCACCTACCGAACAGACAGCTAGTGACCAGCCTGAACCAGAACCGTAGCTAAACTCATGTTTAAGGTAGGGCAAAAGAACTTTTTTGTAGGGCAGAAGCCACTAAGTGATTTTGAAAAAGCGAATCTGTCTTTATTTTTGGGGCCTTTCATTTTAAGCAAGACATTGGGTCTTTTAAGGTAGGGCATTTTCCCTTAATCTTCCCCCCCCCCCCCTCCTAGTTACGGCCATGGGCTGGAAAAGTTCTGGTGAGCTAGTCCATCTCAGATAAGTCCGGCATGCTTGCCACCCGGCATTCGTCGCACAATATACATTATAATTTTATTTAAAATACTTCAAATCTACCGTAGGAAAGAACCCCTGTCCAAATGCGGCAAAGTGCTCAATCTGGACAAATGGCGAAGCATCTGCTTGGAGAAGATATGCGAATGCGCAGACCTCGTAGTGAACGGTACTAAGAGAACGGAAGAGGAGTGCCGCTGCCTGCTGGTCGAGCAAATGGTAGCCGAGTGCCTCGCTGCTGACAAAAATCTAGATGTTGCTGAGTGGAGGATGCAGATGGATTGCCGTAATTATATTTTCTTACTATTTAATGAAAATGTATATCCATAATGAAATGTGCAAGGAAAGTGAAGTCTTCACAATCTTTAGTTCAAGTTCAATATATAAAATAGAATAGAGTAAAGTCTGATAAGCTTAATGATCCACTTGATAAAAAGTGATAACCGTCAACTAAAACCAAAAAGACCACCACAGCCATCAAAGAATACACTGTTACCGTGATATACATCATATGATGCTATTTCTAAGAGGAAACGTATGATGTAATATATGTTCTTAGCCTGTAACTTCATTGCCATAGACGACCCTACAATCGCATCTTATACCAACAGCGGCGGACTGTCCCCCGCCTCTCGTACACAACGACTGCTACCGCAAGCGATGCGAGCCAACATGCTCGACAGTGGGTGGTGGGAGTCGCTCTTGTCCCGTGGAGGATGGACAGTGCTTCCCAGGCTGCTACTGTCCAGAAGGGAAGCTGCGCAAAGGAGACCAATGTGTGCTGCCAACTGATTGTCTCGACTGTAAGTATCAACTATTAAAGAATTTAATTAATAAAAATTTTAAAAAGTCTGGCGTCTCACAAAATCTATTCTCGTCGACATGCTTCTAAGTTACATGTCTTTGCTTACAGAATGGATTGATAATACCCTAGATAGACAAGTAATATCATTTTAAATACTCTTAATTTATACCAAAATGTGAAAATGAATTTATTAATTAAATCTTGGCGCCCTAATGGCCTAAGCAATCGTCATAAATTTGGTACACAAACAGGGCCGTGCCTGGGTATATGGCCGCCTGCGTGCCAGTCTGTATGGCCGCCCCCAGGATAACATTAAAAAAAACTACTTTAATTTTTAATGTTTATTATTATACACAGGGCATCAAACTTCGTATCTTAATGAAAACAAACCGATTGTATTTTTGCCCAGTAAACAACTTGTAACGATTTGGCCGCCTCTTAATTTCGGCCGCCTGCGTGCGGTGCACGCAATGAACGCCCGTCAGGCACGGCCCTGTACACAAAAAGGAATTGGCATGGAGTAGTACATAGGCTACATTTACGATTACGCGAAAGAACACCCGAGCATAGGTAGTTTTTACCTTATATAACACAAATTTCTTGTGGCAGGTACTTGCAAGGGCACGGGCACGCCGGCCAGCTACACGACGTTCGAAGGCGATGAGTTCCCATTCCTAGGCAATTGCACATACCTTGCCTCCAGAGACAGGAACGAGACCGGCCAATACAAATATCAGGTACTGCTAATAATTACTAACGAAATATCCCTGTATCCGATATATCAATCTATATGGAGTGTAGATTCGAAAGTGTCTTCTTACTTTTATCTCAATTTTATTGGAATGTCGATCCAAAATTATCCCAAAAAACGGTCAGCCAGCTGTGGACGTATCGTTTTTATAATAAATGTTCTAAATTAGATATTAAAGAATTCATATTGCACTATTTAAAAAAAAAAAAGCTATGTTGTACGTCCGAAAATTTGAATATTGAGATTAGTAAAGTCTGTTCTCAGCCCTAATTTCTTTCGGTCTTTTATTAAGACATTTACAGTAGGAAGTGTGTATAACAGCAGTCTTTGTTTATATAGATAGTATAAATTGTAGATAGGCTTGAACTTTACCATGAATCTTATAAATTGTGATCATCAGGTGTATGCAACAAATGCACCATGCGAAGGCAAAGCGGACGTAACGTGCACTAAAGCTGTCCACGTACTGTACGCAAACCACGTCGTGCATATCACCAAAGATAACGACACGAACAAGGTAAACCACTGGCCTTAGCCAATTCAATATATAGCCCATAATATACTTGCTTACTCGAACATAACCACACCAGATATTGATGAAAATGTGTAGAGCAATGGCTGCTCGGTCCAGGAATCTTAAGATCGAATCCCAGTCTAAATTTCATAATTTATTTTTGAATAATGACAAAATTATTGTCACTTGTTTCTTTTATCCACATTCCCTGACAAATGGTATGATAAAGGACACCAAGGGATTTTAGTACGTACAAGTCCAGCAGTAGGGGAAAACCTACATACCTCGGGTAAAACATCTGGGTCTTTATTGTGGATCTCTCCTCTTAAAAAATATTAGACGGGCAATACATAACAATAAATCAGTTAGGTTGTAGCTTATAAGGTACCTCCTATTATAAATGCGAAATATTTTGGAGATAATTATAAACGACTGAATAAAACTGAATTAAATATAGTCCACAATTCACCACATGGGTTGTGACACTCTTTAATTTAACATAAGTTACATTTTCTAGTTGCAACTGACAGTCGACAAGACCCCGCAGTTCAAGTTTCCATTGAAAAAGGACTGGGTGACCGCGACCCTGGTCAACGGGCAAGACATCACGTTGCTATTGACTGAAGCACATGTTGAGGTATGTCATAAAAGAGTTAAGTGTTACATGTGCTTAAACTTAATTGTGATTTATAATAAACGGCATATGATAGGGCGAATCAAAACGCATTTTGTAATTACATCTTCATCTACAGTAAAGATAATTAAAATTGTTTTATAATAAAAGTATTTTTGTGAAATACAACTTTGGACTATGTCAGCTGCGTGCGAATTCCGATCATCCAGTGGGAGACTTTGTACAAAAGTCGTTTGCTTGGGCACCTTTGTACTATTCGTATTTCTACTATGAAGCAGTTGTGTTTGCATGGCTGTGTTTCGGTTTAAATGGTAGGATATGGCAGTGAATTTACAGGGTACAGAGGAATAACACCTGAGTCCTCAGGAATGACAACGCATAGGAGGTATCATGGACGAAACAGTATACTCTATTATGTCCATGGTACTGCTCATGTCTATAGGCGACGGTTACCACTTTTTATCAGGTGAACTGTCACCTTGTTTGCCATTCTAAGTTGCATAAATAATCCTTTTCAATTTTGGGAGTCATTATTTAACTTTAGTTTATATTTAATACCATCTTGAAAATATAGCGTTCATATCTCTCTCCGTATCGCATGTCCAGTCACGATTATAAATCTGTTACAGTAAATTTAAATTAATAAGCAATGAATGAATGGAGATGTCGGTAGGGGCCGCCCTAGACGGACGTATGTTGACCAAATAGGCGACGTGCTGAAGAAGGGCCAAATTAAAAGTACCCGTAGCCGGCGAGCGTGTATGAAAAGATTTATGAATGTGGAAAAAGCGAAAGAGGTTTGTTTGAATCGAAGCATTTGGCGTTCCATTGTTTCTGCCTACCCTAATGAGAGACAGGCGTGACAGATATGTATGTATGTAAATTTGATACAAAAACCTGCAAACAAATTGAAGTGGAGTATTGAGATCTAGTGTTATACATACATCTAAACTGGTCAACTGTGTTACTAGGTTAGCGTGCTACTATCGAAGATGGAGTTCACAGTGAATGTGCCATCGTACATATACAGCAACCGCACCGAGGGCCTGTGCGGCGTCTGCGGCGGCCAGGAGGTCACGCTGGTCACCAGCAACGGTACCGTCACAGAGGACTTTGATGAGGTACCTACCGTAATTCATGATCTTCATTTCAGTTGTCAATGACCACTGCTGAATACATATATAAAAATAATGCTCACGACTATAATTCCTAATGGATTTTTTTGGAAGACAATGGAATGGTAACCCCGCCTGCGCTAATGGTATACGCCAGCGAGGCACCAGTGAAGGATAATAGGTGACGATGAAAGCAGGTCAGTTAGTCCACCGTGAAGAATACGCCAGGAATTCAGCACGATGGTTTCCAGGAGGAACCACGTGGAGGTCGACCTGTTAGGGTACATTGCTAGCGGTGGGACTGATAGTCCGCATTATTAACAATCCTTCCTCCCAATTCCTAATGGATTAGTCAAAGGCATTCGTCTACATTCCCCTGGATTAATTTCAAGAATCTTTTCAGTATTAGCAATATCTTTACTATTTGAAGGCCAGACATTTGTTGTTATTGAGATGCAATATAGACACGCCACTTAATCAGCGTGACAATGCTAATTTACTTCTTTTACTGATCGAAGGATACTACGAGAGTATAAGCTCCAGTACAGGGACTGTAATATGTTGCCGATGATCGTGACCTACTCAGTTTATCATAATATAGTGAGCAACATATATTTTAGCCGTTAACTGTCCACTACTGGACATAAACCTTCCCCATAAAGGTAGTTTTGCCAGTAGTTGCCACGCTTGACAGGCGGGTTGGCAACCGCAGGTAGGCTTTTAGAGATGTCTCAAGAGGGACGCTGCTGCCCATCCCTTGCCCTGTTTTTTTTAAATCCGCTACCATTAGTATGTGTATGACTGCCAACGTTCAAAGATGAATCACTGCTATTACCATATCCATAATCAAATAACCAGTGATATGGGCTTCCTTAAGATAAAATCTAGTTTAGTAAGACATTTATTCCCCACATCCTTCACGACTCTGGAACGCGCTTCCTGATGCCATTAAGAGACTACCGACTAAACCGTCTTTTAAAAAAAACGTTCACGTTTACTTTTTTACTTTATCCGAGCAGTAAGTGCTTTATATTATTCTCAATTTCGTATATAATACAGTATATATCATATATGTGTAAGTATATTTGTTATTTATACATATTTATTCGTTTATATATGTAATTTTAGTATTTATGTATATCAATAATTAGCAGTACCGCATTCGAGTATTCTGACACTTCCCTATGGTTGACTGGGAGAGAATGCTTTTAGCATTAAGTCCGCCATGTACACATATTTGTACTAATGAATAAATAAATAAATAATATAGTGAGAACTGTTTTGTCCAGTACGGCAAGAGCTGGCAGGCGAAGCCCGAGGCACTGGAGGCGCTGGACATCCCGGCGCAGGAAGCGTGCGGCGCGCCGCCGCCGCCGCCCGCCTGCGTGCCGCCGCCGCCCGACAACAATCCCTGCTACAGCCTCTACAATGCTGCCTTGTTCGGAGAGGTGAGAATGCCATCCAACTGCTATAAATCTATCTCTACTACTCTATTCATCAGCCGCATCAGCGTAAACCAATAGCGCAAACGGAGCTACCATTCCAATTTTATCCAATAAAAAACTTAATAAATAATATAAAAAGAAGCGAAAGAGGTTTGTTTGAATCGAAGCATTTGGCGTTCCATTATTTCTGCCTACCCTAATGGGAGTCAGACGTGACAGATCTGTATGTATGTATGTAAATAATATAAATGTTTTCAGTGCCACGCGCTAGTGGATCCGCAGACATACGTGGAGTCGTGTGAAGAGGAACAGTGCGCGCTGAACTCGAGCGACGCGTGTGCGACACTGGAGCGGTACGCGGCCGCCTGCCGCCGCCAGGGCGTCTGCCTGCACTGGCGGGACACGCTCTGCCCGTACAACTGGTGAGGACACGCTCCACCTACCACACATCCCATCCCCATATCCCATGTGAGAGCACTAGCAGCAAATATATTAAACGCCATGCCACCCGTATCAAATCGCAAAGACATGACTCTATTTATCAGAACCTTAAACTTATAAAAAAATAAGCTGATAGCCCACTTGATGGAACATTGTAACCGTCGTCTATAGTTTAGGAATAGCTCGATATCTTACTTAAAAAAAACTTTATTGACCAAAATAAAATAAGGTACAAAACGCGGAGTTAATGCTAGTAGCAATCTTTACTAGTCAATCTTGGGATAGGTAAAGAAAGAAACACCTAATAATGTGTACTTATACAAAATAAATAATACATACATAAATAACATAAAATGATGATCATAATCACCGTCATCATCAGTACCATCAGACGTTAACAGTCCACTGCTGAACATAAGCCTCCTCCTTGGGGGGTTTTGCCAGTAGTTGCCATGCTTGGTAGGCAGATTGGCAACCGCAGTTAGGCTTTTAGAGGTGTTTTAAGAGGGACGCTGCTGCCCATCCTTCGCCCTCCCTTAGTCGACTCTTACGACACCCACGGGAATAATGATTATAATATACATAAATATAAAGTAATATACATATATACATAATGTGAATAAATATTTTGCAGTTCCAAACCTCTAGTGTACCGGCCGTGTGTGGACTGCGAACGAACTTGTGAAAACAATGACGAGCTAAGTAAAGACCCGAAGAAATGCAAGGCACAACCCGTCGAGGGCTGCTTCTGTCCAGAGGGACTGGTCAGTAAAACGATTTATTCAATGAAATTATGATACTCATACATTAGACATATAAATACGAACTATCTATAACCAAGTTGTTGATAGAACTGTACTTTATAATTTTATTTTAAAAAAGTTATTGGATGATTTAAAATGAGTGAATAATTTAGCCGAATGCGCTCTATTTACAATGCAGATCTTGGATCTTATTTTTTTTTTTTTATCAAAGCACAAGTTGAGGTTTTAAAACCTCTATTGTCCAGCTAGTGGCAATAATTGCCAGTATTATATGTTTGTTTGTTCCCCAGGTACGAGTGAACAACACATGTATAGAACCAAATAAGTGCTTCCCGTGTGATGCGAAGAAGGAGCACTATGCTGGTGACGAATGGCAGGTGAGTGAATAATTCACTACACTTTTTCACGTAAAATTAATTATTTATTTATTTTACACTTTATTACACCAAGAAAAAAAAAATAAATGCAGTAAATCTATCTATCTAAATTTTAATGACAAGTGACACAAAAGGCGACCTTATCGCTAAGCAATCTCTCAAACGACACCCATGGGAAAATAAGGAGTGGTCCATTCTATGCAGAGACCACACAGCAATGTTATAGCCAGAACTAAAAGCATATCTAGATTGTAAGCAACAAACCCCTATTAACACATTTTTCTACTCGTATTCAGGAGAACGCGTGCAAGAAGTGCACGTGCAGCAAAGTGGAGGGCAGCAACGAGGCGCACGTGTCGTGCCAGACGCAGACCTGCAGCACGCCCGTCTGCGGCGACAGGGAGGATCTCATCGCACAGCCCACTAAGCCTGGAGCTTGCTGCAAGCAGTACGTCTGCGGTAAGCACAAGCAACTATGTACATGTCCTTATAAATATTTCTAGAAGATGAGTGAAAGAAATGGAAATAAGAATAAATATGGTGAATGAAAGAGATTGACAGATGAAGAAATAGATGTGATTGATCAAGGAATGATAAAGAAAAAATGGTGATAAGACTTGATTTTATTAAAGGTATTTGGAAATAATATAGTTTTAAGTTAAATAGTTTATAATTTTCTGCTCACGACCTCTCATACTACCTCCATACTGACATCTAATGCTAGGGGAAAGGAATTGTTAGTGCTGAGAATTACCAGCTCCATCGCTAGCAAATATATCAAAAACTTATTATAAGAAACATGCATAGGAATTAAAGAGATTTCTATGGTGATTATATTATGAAATTAAATATAATTTCAGTACCTAAACCAATAGAAACGACGTGCGAAGAACCAAAGAAAATGGAGTGTGGATTTGGGCAAATATTAAAACAGAAGACTACGCCGAAGGGATGCAAAGAATTCGCTTGCGGTAAGTAAATTAGTTCCTGAATCATTACTTAGTTTGGGACTAAATTTATTTAATATCCTCAAAGTTTCCCTCTGGTCATAAAGAATAAGCTTGTCGGCGAACGTGTGAACCGATCCCAAGCGAGAACTGTACTACCATATCACTCTTCAAATAAGAATACAGCATTCAAGCAACTCGTTTAGCGACAGAAGAGTAACTCCTTAAACAAGTTATACACGATCTCCCTCTTATCGGGTTTCGGCCTCATAACTAAAAGCTACTCTATTTTGTCTATGCTTTTAGAGCCAATTTTCAGGGCAATTCCATTTAATCTATAAACTGGTAAACTTTTAAGCGCTCATAATAAGCCCTCTGGTCTTATGACAGAATGTAAGCCAGCCAGCGAGTGCGAGCCAATCCCGAGCGATAACGAAGTGGACATCATCGAGCCGGGCATGGAGCGGCTGGTGGACTCGTCGGGCTGCTGCCCCCGCGTGCAGTTCACGTGCCGCCCGGAGACCTGTCCCCAGAAACCCGACTGTCCGCAGTTCCACAACCTTACCACCACCAACGTGCCAGGCAAATGCTGCCCCGAGTACAAGTGTGGTTGGTACCTTTTAAAATATGCCAAGATATACGACTGGTATACTTATATGGCTTAGGTTCTTGCCAAATGATGAGAAGTTTTTAACCTGCTAATAGATCAAGTATAGATACAATGTATGCAGTAATGCTTTTGATTTTCAATAGGTCCTTAAGATGTAACTACAGGAATACAGCAAAATACACCTTCGCAGAAGAAGGAAAAGTCAGAATATAAATCTTATATCAAACCCAACTTAGCGTGTTGATGATAAACTATGTACTTATGGGAGAAACCCCAAGCTCAATAGTGAAATGTTAATGGGTTGTTAAAATAAAGTAAAGGAAAATATCTCGTTTAAATCTCACATTACAAAATCCAATATTCTAATGAATTTTTTTAAATAAATAATAAAAATACATCTAGGTAGGATTGATTACAATATATAAAACTAAATGTATATATTTTTTTTTTATTTCAGAGCTACCTACCGATAAATGCGTAGTAAGTTTAGAGTGGGAGGCTGCTGCCAAAGGTGGCGAGAAACCACGTAAAACGCCTGAAGTTATTTTGAAAGACGTAAGTTTTTTCATAATCAATCTGTTTATAAATTTATTGCATGTCTTTTATTTAATTATCCTTAGTAGTTGTTAAAAAAATATTTACTTATAAAAGTATTTATTAATAAATATAATAGAAGGTTATTACATGTTTTGGGGGAGAGAGTTGTTAGTAATAAGGGCCTAGCAGATGGGGACACGTATTGCAATATTATAGATATGGTACTTCTGGAAACCATAATGAAGAGTTTCTGAGAAATTCATGACGATGATAGACTGACATGACTTCATCCTCACCTTCTAGTATAGTAGATACAATAGCACGAGCAGATATAACCATTGTATTTTCAGCAATTTAAAATAATATGTAATTGCAGGTGGACGCGGTGTGGCTGGACGGTCCGTGCCGCTCGTGCCGTTGCGCGGCAAGCGGCGAGAGTGTGAGCGGCGGCGGTGGCGGCGGGGAGGGCAGGCCCCAGGCGACGTGCTCGGAGCTGTCGTGCGCGGCGCTGCCGGCGGACGCGCAGCTGGTGTGGGAGGCGCAGGCGGTGCCGTTCGCCTGCTGCCCGCGCGCCGCGCCCGTCGCCTGCCGCCACGGGGACGACATCTACAGGGTATGCTCTTTTCTTTTTTAAACTTGGAGCTACATTTGTTCAGGCGTCCCGTCCTCGCTGTTAGATACGGGTAAATACGGCGGGATGCCAACTGTATTGGACACATTGAGTATATAATTTTTTTTTTCATACAATTTAGAATGGCAAACAAGCTGACAGCCCACCTGATGGAAGGTGGTAACCGTCACTTATAGTATGTAACTTTTATAACGTTGCTAATTAACCATTATACTACCTTTACATGGCAGGTTGGCGAAAACTGGACGTCTCCGTACAACCCGTGCGAGTCGTACGCGTGCGTAGAGGTGGAGGACGGCAAGCTGGACAAGGTGACCACTGTGCAGCGCTGCGACACCGACTGCCAAGCTGTGAGTCTATCATTTTCTTATCATATACTTGTTAATCTTTTACTTTCTCCAACTAAAATTTTAGCCTCTCAATAATTGCCTAAAATAGTAGCCAAGGTTTTGGTAGTCCAAATTCAATTCAATGGCAACAGTCAGCTAGGTATGCTCGCCATTGTGCAGCGCTACGGTACCGATTGCCTGCGCTGACTGAATTTGCCGTCATCTCTCTCATATATTCTTTTCGATGGCTTATCTCTTTTTAATTCAAAATCTAACATAAATTGTAGTGAAGTACTTTGTACTACCATCATAATACAAAAAATCAATCGAAAGAAGTATTATTTCATTTCAGTAATTGGTTTTTATTTCTAATATCACCAGTATCTATTGACTCCCTAATATCTATTCGCTTCCTCAAACGTTACATCTTTATTACAGTATACCTTGTATTTGATATGGGTACTTTGAATTGAAAGAAAAATTCTCCTACACAATTTTACTGTTTTGTACATTTTTAAAAGAGTTTTAATGCAAACATGGCTTTTAATTTTCTTTCGTAATGTTAGGGCTGGAAGTACTTCCCAGCGGAGGAAGGCAGCGAAGAGTGCTGCGGGAAGTGCCGGCCGGTGGCTTGCGTGGTGGACGGCCGCGAGAGGGCCATCGGTGAAAAGTGGACCTCCAACGACTTCTGCACCAACTACACCTGTGTCGACGTTAATGGCACCGTACGTTACATCACAACTTTTTTATCATTTATTTTTCGTCAGCGTAAATATATACTTACTTTATAGTTCATCATATTATCATCATATAAACCTGTTTACTGCTGAACATAGCCTTCCCCCTTGGGAAATTTTACAGTAGTTACTACGCTTGGCAAGCGGGTTAGCAACCTCAGTTAAATTTTGATGATGTTTTAAGAGGGACGTTGCTGCCAATTTCTCAACTATTAAATTCTCTTAGTCGCCCCTTATGACATACACGGAAAAGAAAGGTGTAGCCCAATCTATGCCGGGGCTGCATTGATACTTACTCTTTCTTTATTCGTATCATCATTGTGCAAGTTTTCTTACCAAAAATCGAACCTATTCATCATACAAAAGGTGTGTAGTGGTCGGCATCATAAGTGAAACATTATGTTTTGGTCCAATCCTTCCATGTGATTACAGACATGATTCTGTCATGTATATCATTTATAATTCTATTTACAGCTCCAAGTGCAATGCACAAATGAGACGTGTTCGGAGGTCTCAGAAACGATGAAGAAACTGTACGTGCTACAGGAACAGAGAGAGCCCGGCAAGTGTTGCCCTAAGTACGAGCCCGTCGCCTGTAAAGTAGGCGACAAAGTCTACAAGGTCTGTACCTACCCTATATTCATATATTGACAGCGAAATGAACGTCGTTAGCACTGGTCTGCAATCCATCTAGGAGAAGGAACACTACGAAGTCAAAATCCGGAACGAATCTGCAGTTACCTCCCGCACCGTATACGAAGTCTAGCTCGGTGGTAACAGCAGTCCATGCTGATAAGCCACGGACACTGGTAGATCTGGCGAGATAGCAAGGCAATATTGATGGCCAAGGGTGACAGTTGAGGTCAAGGTGACTGCCGATCATGTACTGCATTCTAACCCTCTTCCAATCGTAGTGGATATTTGTTTCATTTGATTACGGGGGAAAGAACGAGAGAGGGGATCTGTAGCTGCGTGTCTGCTTATTCCCTAATATATATACATTTGTATTTCTCTTTCAAAGTCCGGTAGAGAATGTAGTTTGTCTTCTATCATTTTCTGAATCTTATTACGGCTGATCCGGATCTTACGTATCAAAATTTACATCATCTGCTCATTATTATAAGTCCTTCATTTTTATGAATGCGCCCGCAATGATTCACAGCGAATCCGCTCTTTTTAAGATCCTACTGCAAACTCTATTCTTAAGTTAGTACTCTTATAATGAACTTTTAGGAGAACGAGACATGGCCAACGTCGGACCCGTGCAAGAATGTTACATGCTCGCGTGACGAGGAGGGCAAGCTGGTGCAAGCGGGCAGCGTGCAGCACTGCTCCCGCGAGTGCCAGCGCGGCCGCACGTACCAGCCGCCCGCCGCCGGCAGCGCTGTCTGCTGCGGACAATGCGTTGCCACCGCCTGCATCGACGGTGACCGTCTACGGAAACCCGGTCAGTGTGGATGCGCCCTCAACTGTATAAGCTTTAATACTCGCTTTATCCGCTGTGAGGTTCCACTCGGACACCATGTAATTTGGGAGTGGGTGGATTTCCAATTACATTTGTGAAGTTTTAAAAAATATCCTGCTATAAACTTGCTCTTGCAGTGATTTATAATCAAGAATAGAAAATTTAATAAGAAAATGACACAAACCTGTAAAATCGATGTATTGTAGTTTGAATAAGCTTTTATGTTTGCGTTATAAATTCAAACTATTTCTACCCGCTCGTGAACAGTAACAGTTAAAAGTGCCCTCTTTTTATGCACGACCAGATATTAAAAAAACGACTTGTGCAATATGTTTATATTTAAAATGCTGTTAAATGGAAAGTAGAATAAAGACACGATTTACTTGTATCCAGACAATTTGTGTGGCTAATAAAAATTTGTGCATTTACACACGTACCATGTACTAGCAACTTCGTTCTCTGCTACGTATCTCTGTATCATACCGCGATAACACCAAGATGACACACGTATTACAGGTGAGAGCTGGCAGTCGGAGGACAAGTGCACGACGTACTCATGCGACCAATCCGGCGACGAGCTGTCGGTAACCGTGGCGCGCGAAGCCTGCCCCGACGTGTCGGCCTGCGCCCCCGAGGACCTGGTCAACTCTACCTGCTGCCAGATCTGCGTTGAGAAGCCGCACGCACTCAGTATGACATATGTATATCCTAGATAGCACGGTAACATCTGTGACTCCAAAGTCTTTATGGCAAAGTGTAACTCCGTTTGTTCTATCGGTATACGCTGGCGATATACCAATGAGAGACTGATAGGTGAGAATGTAGTCAATTCTCTTTTCATAATGAATTCACAAGGATTTTATCACTATGGTTTCCAGGTCAACCGTTTGGAACTCGACCTGACAAAGGTATATTGTATTGCTATGGACTAATAGGATTGCTAAACTCTATTCATTACTAACAATTTTCATCCCCTCTTGCAGTCACTTTAGAGTTGTGACTCTTACAGAAACTTGTTTTAGAATCGCAAATTTCGCTATACTATTTACTTTCCCCCCTTTGTGATAAGCAAAAATCATAAACAATAGGTAAAATACCAAAATGATTCATTAAAAATGTGAAATACCAAATTAATCGCCACTAAGTCTAGCTTCAAAATTAATTTAAAAATAAATTGTTAATTGAGAGGCAAAACTTAGATATTCCAGCAAGTTATCTTTCTGTTCCATTTGTCTGCTAGATAAACTGTCATATTGCTATTTACTGTATAGATAATCTGGTAGTATTATTTTATTGTTACCTTATTCTTTTGGCCACAACAGAATAGCAGTGTTTTGCTCTTTTAAGGGCGAAGCAATAAACTGAGTTGTGACCATTTTGTATATATTATTATGGCATACGCACAAAATAAAAAAAAAATTACTTGACTTTTATATATTTTTATTTTATTTATTTCTCTTATCTCGCTTTTTATTTATGTATATTTGTGTCTGTTGTAATTTGTGTGCTGTAAGTAATGCAAGTAAATTATATCTATTTGTAAAAAAAATCTGTTCACATTCCTGATACCTTCATCTTTTTACATCATTTTATTCCACTTGATCATCTTTGCTATATGTTTGAACCAACACAGCAAGCCCTATATTATTGGATATCACTTATACTTCTAAAAAAATACTAGATGTATTGATTAATAACATGTGGTCCAGGTAAATGTGTGCCGGAACCAATCCCCGCGAAGGAATCTGTGGGCCTGATCCGGCTGCACGGCCCGCACGGCCTGTGCATCAACAAGCACCCGCTGTCCGGCTTCAAGGAGTGCCGCGGGACATGCGACTCGGGCACCATCTTCAACAATAGTCAGTTCATATATATATATATATATATATATATATATACATACCTGTCACGCCTGTTTCCCATTAGGGTAGGCAGAAAAAATGGAACGCCAAATGCTTCGATTCAAACAAACCTCTTTCGTTTCTTCCACATTCATCAATCTTTTCATACACGCTCGCCGGCTACGATATTATTATTCATTTTTATTTATTTAGTGACAAACATGCTTAAAACCCGTCTGACGGTAAACGGTCACTGTAGCGTATAGATTGCCTGCAATACCTTTTTTTAATGAATGTAATGGTATTCCCGCCTGCGCTATCGATATACCAGGGAAACATGATAGGTGAGGATGAAAACAGGTCATTTAGACCAACAATTCAATGGATGATAATGGAATGGTACTTCCGCCTGCGCTATCGGTATACGCTGGCGTGATACCAGGGAAACATGATAGATGAGGACGAAAACAGGTCAGTTAGCCCATCGTGAAGAATTCCGTAAGAATTAACCACGAGGGTTTCCAGGGGAACCGCGTGGATGTCCGACCTGATAGGTGTATTGCTAGTTATGAGGCTGTTAGACTCCATTACTAACAATCCCTTTTTCCTCGCCTGCAATACTAGGCGTGCCACGCGCTCGTCGCAGACTTTGAAAAAAACTTAATATGCTCTTTTTGAAGAACCCCATACTGGAGTCTTTAGGGAAAACCTCGGCAGAGAGCTTATTTCACAGCCTGAGTTATCATTTACTACCTATTAACCGCTATTTCATCCGCATGACCGGGATATGTACACTGACCGGCATAAAAAATAGTCTATATTCTTCTTCATCTCATACATTATCTGTAGGTATAAAAAATATCAGTTAAGTTAGTTCGTGAAATTCTTCAATAATAATAAAATGTTTAATATAATAAAGGCTTTTAGAGATGTTTTAAGAGGGACGCTGCTGCCTATTCCTCTCCCTCCCTTAATTGTCTTTTACGACTCGCGGTTGCTAACCCGCCTGCCAAGCGTGGCGACTACTGGCAAAACTCCCCTTATGGGGGAAGGCTTATGTCCAGCAGTGGACAGTTAACGGTTGAAACAATAATAAATACTGAAGATGTGCATTTGTACATATGTATATATTTAGTATACCATATATTTATATTTTTTTAAGGGAAGTTTACAGCTAAAGTAACTTATTAATTATATATGACAACAATAAGCTGATAAAAAGCTACCACATCATATAGTTAACGAAAATTGAATTACTTACAGTCTAGATAATTAATAAGTGTACTAAACGTCGTCAGTGAATGAATAGTTTGCGATGGTATTTGTCAACGAGCCGTGTTCGGTGTACAGAGACGGGCAGCCACGACTCGGCGTGCGAGTGCTGCCAGGTGGCGGCGTACTCGCGGCTCGTGGTGCAGCTGGCGTGCGAGGACGGCGTGCAGCTGCAGCACTCCGTCGCCTCGCCTGACCGCTGCGCCTGCCGCCGCTGCGGCGCGCAGATCGCGCAGTGGCCCGCCACCACCACTGCAGGTAACTACACTACACTACACTACACTACACTACTGATACACTACTGAGACTTTGTACAAAAGTCGATTGCTTGGGTACCTCTGTCCCATTCGTGTTTCAACCGTAAAGCAGTTGTGTTTGCATGGCTGTGTTTCGGTTTGAAGAGTGGGATATGGCGTGAATTTACTGGGTACAGAGGAATAACACCTGAGTCCTCAGGAATGGCAACGCATGGGGAGTATCATGGGCGAAACAGTATACTCTGTTATGTCCATGGTACTGCTCATGTCTATAGGCGACGGTTGCCACTTTACATCAGGTGGGCCGTCAGCTTGTTTGCCATTCTAAGTTGTATAAAAAAAAACATAGATAGATAGATAGATATTTGAGCCATTTATGATACACGTAAATTAACAAATGAACATACAATTAAATTATTAACACTTTTTAAAATATACAACAAAAGATAAAATACGAAAATATGTTTTCACCGTGTGTGTCGCAGCGACCCAAATAGGCTACAGCTCAGTGATAGTTTTGCTTAAAAACAAAGCACTGATTTTCAGCTGCAGCCTGAAGTTAGGCCACACGGACGGGTGCAACGAACCTAGAGTGTACAAAGGGTGTACCATGAAGTGTTTTCCGAAATTTCGAAGCCAAACGAAACACAAATTTGATCTTAAAATTACATAATACATACCGTTTAGAAATATTAAAAGTGTTAAAATATTATTCCTTTGGACTTTTATGATAGGATGTACGATGAACGAAATGTTAAACTCCATTTATTGGTCCGATTTTGGTATAAACAAAAACACGAAATTGAGTGCGGAATTTCATTTCATGGTAGACTCGCTGAACTGAAACTGATCATCCAGGACTAATTAATAACGCCGGGGGGGGGGATTGTTAATAAGGTGTAATAGCCCCATTGCTAGCAATATACCCTCTCAGGTCTACCTCCACACGGTTTCCCCCTGAAAACCATCATGGTTAATTCTTGTCGAATTCATCATGGTAGGCCAACATTCTGCATTCATCCTCACCTATCATCCTTCCCTGGTGCTCCGCCAGCGTATCCCGATAGCGCAGGATATCAGTGACGAATTAAACAAGAATTGTTCACGATGGTTTCCAGGGGGAACCACGTGGAGGTCAACCTGATAGGGTATATTGCTAGTAATGGGGCTGTCAAACTCCATTGCTAACAATCCCTTTCCCCCAACCTTCCATATTAGATATATATTTTATTTTCTTTTGTATCCCTTATCAAAATCAACATTTATATCTAAAAACCATAATCGACCATTTGTTAATTGAATATGTAATATCTTTCATAAGTTAGTCTTACATTCGTCATCAAAATCATCGGTTACACTTATTAGATTCCTCGTCTTATGTGCTAGATTCATGGTCTAATATAGAATCTAAGAACAGGGAATAACAAAATCTTTGTATAAAATTAATTCCCTTGTCATTCAATTAATGACTGTCACCCATCGAAAAAAGAATAAATTGACATTTATCTTGTATACAAAAACAGTTTAATAATTATTAAGCATAATCTTAGATTATATAGATACAGCCTCGAGTCTTAAAAACGGATCGACTTTTTGTCAACTAATTGTCTAATTAGCTTTTTTTTTATAAGTGTTCTATATATTTACACATAAAATGTATCTTGACGTATTATTTAATAAATAAAATGAGTGTTTACGTATTAAAAATACGCATAAATAAAAGACAAAATACATATAGAAGTTATAAAAAGAATCACTCAACTATTTATCACGCAAAATTGTATGAAAATATTGGCCCACTTTTCTCGAAACATTTTTTTTTTATACAACTTAGAATGGCAAACAAGCTGACGGCCCACCTAATGGAAAGTGGTAACCGTCGCCTATAGACACAAGCAGTACCATAGACATAACAGAGTATATTGTTTCGCCCATGATACCTCCCATGCGTTGCTATTCCTGAGGACTCAGACGTTATTCCTCTGTACCCTGTAAACTCACGCCATATCCCACCCTTCATATCGAAACACAGCCATGCAAACACAACTGCTTCACGGTAGAAACACGAATGGGACAGAGGTACCCAAGCAATCGACTTTTGTACAAAGTCTCCCTCTGGTAATCCATCTGGTAAAATGGTAAACATTTATATTGAGACACTATCTATATTAATCTAAGAGCATAATTTTTACAATAACTTTATTCGTATAAAATAGTAAATCGTTTTTCGTGCATAAATGTATTTTATGCACGAAAAATTATTAATTCACTCTTGCGCCACCTGCCCACTTCTATCTGTTCTCCTTTAACCAAAGGTTGTCTGTAAGAGATCGCCCTAGTGATAAGACCGCCTTTTGTACCTTTATATGTATATTTCAATCTGTATTTATGTTACTGTATTTCACTTTAATTATTCACTTGTCATTGTATATTTTTATTCATGGTGCAATAAAGAGTAGAGTAGAGGTACCCAAGCAATCGACTTTGTACAAAAGTCGATTGCTTGGGTACCTCTGTCCTATTCGTGTTTCAACCGTGAAGCAGTTGTGTTTGCATTCTGTGTTTCGGTTTGAAGAGTGGGATATATCAATGAATTTACAGAGCACAAAGGAATAACACCTGAGTTTTCAGGAATGGCAGCGCATGGGGGTGTCATGGGCGAAACAGTATACTCTGTTTTGTCCATGATACTACTCATGTCTATAGGCGACGGTTACCACTTTCCATCAGGTGGGCCGTCAGCTTGTTTGCCATTCTAAGTTGTATAAAAAAAATATACATGTTAACAGATCACGTATTAAGACCCTCTATAAAATATATGTTAATCGTTGCAGGGTATGCCGGCATCAAGAACGGACTATACAACTCCAGACCGGAGTCGTACGACGAGATACCGGAGATATTCCAAAGGTTCGGTACAGAGAAGCCGAGCCGCAAATAAATGTCATATAACTATAGCTTTTAAGTAAATGACAATAAAACATATTTTATTTTAACGTGAAATGTTTTATATTTCATTTATCACAATCCGGTTTTATTGTATAGTTACAATACTTAAGAAAAAAAAATACGAAATAGAGTAAAATAAATAACAACTCTTCTGCCACCCAATATCAACAACCATACAATTAATTGAATCAATATCCAGAATATAGACTTTCTTTATATCATGAATTCGTATCAACGGATTTCCTGTCTTCAATAACTTATTACAAAGTTTAAATATTTCCCTTTAAATATTAACATCATTTATCGAGGTCCTTTATTTTCAACATAAGCATAAAACAATTCTGAAGCATCAGAAATCCTTGCAGCGATGTAACATGTTGGATTCATTACTTCAAGGCGGCTACACCATCCAAATTGTTATGATGACAGATCCTCGCCATTTTCTATGGTATCAGTGTGATTTGTGGCCTCGTCTTCCTTCTGTTCCTCTTCTTCTTTCTGCTTCTGTTTTTTCACCATTTCTGACAAATATTTACACCTCTGCATACATTCCTCCTGGAATGAAAGAAAAAAAAACAAATGTAAACAAACGAGACTGAAACTTTAACTTTATAATAATTTAATCTTTTTGTCTCCACAACTGTTAAACTTAACAATACAAAAACATAAAAAATATTCATTTTAATTCATTTATATATATGAACATGGATACAAAATAAGATAATTATAATAAATGTTCCAAACATTTATTACACATCCTGCCGTTTCCGGTGCATAAATTCATAAATCTTTTTTTTTATACAATTTAGAATGGCAGACAAGCTGACGGCCCACCCGATGGAAAGTGGTAACCGTCGCCTATAGACATGAGCAGTACCATGGACATAACAGAGTATACTGTTTCGCCCATGATACCCCTCATTCATTATATCATTCATATATATCATTATTAAATAAATAAAATACTGTATTAAAAAAGGGTATATTAAGATTTCTTCAGGGTCGGCAATGTGCACGTAACACACCTAGTTTTGCAGGCGTCCATATCCTACAGTGACCATTTACAATCAAATGGTCTGAATGCTTATTTGCCACCTCAGTGGTATAAAAGAAATTGGCAATTAAAAAAAAAAAGAAAACATTTCATTATTTAAAATAAGTTTATGAGAGATTCGATTTGATTTCGATTGATTTTGTGAACTGTTACTATGGAGTTATTTATGCCAGTGACTCGTAAAACTAGTTCTGTATCTTCAAAATCAAGGACAAACCAGCGAGTGAAAAATATATGTAAATATAATTAACATTTAAAATACCAATTCTGAGCACATTTACGTAACTAAAAAGACAAAAAAACTATTGGACGGAATTGATCCGATCACAATTTCCATTTCATGCGAAACTAATTCCGTTATGTAATTGTGGCCTGCTTATAAGAGTGGCAAATGTTAAGCAATCGTTAATTTTCCGAATGACTTCACTTAGTGGCTGCGAAATCATGATTTGGAATAATAAATTTCGTCAGGAAACGTAACTGTCGCTCATATAGATAATAATTTAGGATTGTGTTTCATAAAAGACTTTATTGTTTGAAACAAATCCTGTTATTTTGATTTAAAAATTAAACTCTTGACCCGATTTCGATAAAATTATAATGCGATTAATCTGAAAGTGTATCCTTTCTAATAGAAAAAGTATTTTACAAATCGGTTTACAATTCACGGAGTGGGGGAGGAAAGGGATTGTTAGTAATGGAGACTGAAAATCCTATTGCTAGCATTATACCCAACCATGTCGACCTCCTCGCGGTTCCCCCTGGAAACTATCATGCTTAATTCCTGATGAATTCATCATGATGGGCTAACTGGCCTGTTTTCATTCTCATCTATCACCCTTCACTGGTGCTCCGCCGACGTATCCCGTTAGCGCAGGCGGGGTTACCATACCATTTTCACCCATCAAAAAAAATTTACCAAATTTAAATGACAGAGTAATTAGATAACAAACAAAGAAAATACAACTGAAATAAAAACATTTTCCATTTTTAAAGTTGGTTAAAACAATCATACGAATCAAATAATTTTTCTATTGCAAATCGCTTGAAAATCATTAAGCTTTGTGTGTTCAAATCCACTACCAGGCGACAGTAATACATGGAAACAAAGCATTGGTATGATGGAGTCACAAACTTTAACAATGAGGGAACAATTGAAAAGAAGTTACAGAATCAAAGTCAACTTACTTTGGTCTTCCCTGGCACTGAATTGGCTATCTTCTGCCACCTGTCTCCGGCACCGCCCTTGGGGTGCTTTGCGAGCGCACTCTCTAACGCCTTCTGCTGGCTCTGCGACCAGTTGCCGCCGCTGGTCTCTTCTGTTTTGCGAGTTTTCACCTGAAATTAAACCTTCCATATTTATAACAGGTCTAGATTTAAATTATACTTTTCTCTCCAATTTAATACAGCAAATATTAAAAAGAAAGAGCATAATTTTATTTCGTAACTTGGACATGTTGATTGTCCAGAATAAAAAACAACAGTATACTCTGTTATGTCCATGGTACTGCTCATGTCTATAGGCGACGGTTACCACTTTCCATCAGGTGGGCCGTCAGCTTGTTTTATAAAAAATAATAATTATAATATAAAAAATAATAATTATAATATAAAAAATAATTGTATGACCTACTCCATCTCAAATCTACGTATAAGCAAATTCCATAATTGATAGAGCAGTAAGTCTCTGCTGTAAGGCTGTAAACTCACTATTACATTGTACTAAAAATTAGAACAAACCATCTGTCAAGAAAACTTTTAAATAATAATACTTATTCTTTATTACATTAAATGATAGTGAAAATATCAATTAGAAACAATATAAGTAAAATGAACTTATCTCTAAAAGAGATCTCTTCCAGTCCACCTAACATAGTGGCATAGGAAGTAGTGAGTGGGCAGCAATAGTGCAAAATAAAAACCTAAATATAATAAGCATATACAAACATCTAAAGTGCATCAACCTTATCATGTGGGGGGAAAGGGATTGTTAGTAATGGAGACTGAGAATCCCATTGCTAGCAATATACCCAACCAGGTCGACCTCCTCGCGGTTCCCTCTGAAAACTATCATGGTTAATTCCAGATGAATTCATCATGATGGGCTAACTGGCCTGTTTTCATCCTCATCGATCACCATTTACTGGTGCCCCGCCAGCGTATCCCGTTAGCGCAGGCGGGGTTACCATTCCATTTTCATCCAATAAAAAAAAATCTTATCATGTTCATAAAAAAATTACCTTCTTAACCGGTTCCACCACGGTAGGTTCCATACTCTCCTGGCCGGGTATCTTGTAACAGTTGTCTTTGAGCTTGGCGGCCATATGCGTCACTTCGGGCACGCTGCGGCACATGGCCTCCGCGATCCGCTCCCAACGGTCCGCGGTGCCGCCCGGGTACTTCTTCACGAGCCGCACCAGCTCCGCTAAGTCGTCGTCCGTCCACAGGCCGCCGGTGATAACTGGCTGCGTCTATAAACGGGCAATCAACACGCGAAAAAAAATTAATACATCGCAGTACAGACACACACTCATATGAGATATATTCATAGACAAAGTCTTAAACTAATTTTTATATATTTTATTATGCAATTTAGAATGGCAAACAGGCTGGCGATCCTATATACATGTTCTATAGACATGAACAGTACCGTCGACACAATGTTGGGGGGAAAAGGGATTGTTAGTAATGGAGACTAAGAATCCCATTGCTAGCAATATATCCAACCAGGTCGACCTCCTCGCGGTTCCCCCTGGAAACTATCATGATTAATTCCTGATGAATTCATCATGATGGGCTAACAGGCCTGTTTTCATCCTCATCGATCACCCTTCACTGGTGCCCCGCCAGCGTGTCCCATTAGCGAAGGCGGGGTTACCATACCATTTTCACCCATCAAAAAAAAAGTACCATCGACATAACAGAGTATACTGTGACGCCCACGATACCCCAAATACTGGATTTTACCTGCGAATTAGTTCCTATGACCTTTATTTATTTATATGCTTTTGTACATTCACTTATAATATAAATATTAGGTTGTAACAAAAATTTACACAGGCGGACTTATCCCTTAAAGGGATTTCTACCAAAGGAGAAAGTCTATCTCTGTACTATTTTAGATATAAATAATATACAAACTTTTACATTTATAATATTAAAAGGATTTTATATAATATTTTGCAATAAATGCTATTCATTTTCATATGACTAAATTGTGGAACACAATGCTATTGATTTAGTCACTTAATCATATGAAAAAAAAAACCAATTTCAATTGTAGCAAAACAGTTATTTTGATTTAAAAACAAAAAAAAAAAAATACTCAACCGATTTTGATAATAACTCTACGAGACCAATCTGAAAGTATGTCCTTTCAGATAAAAACAAATCTTAAATCGATTTACAACCGACAGAGTTTTGAGGTAACAAACAAAATCAAAATACAACCGAACCGAAAAAATTCGTCTTTTTCAAAGTCGGTTGGAAACAAAAGTAGTAACAATGACTGATTTGTTATTCCGATATAAATACACGAGTGTGAGTACATTAGATATAATCTTTGGATATTATGTTTTATCAAGCTGATTATTATGATCACACCGTAATTATTTTTGTACTTTATTATAATATTTATAAAACAAATTTAGTAAATTTTCGTATATATAATTCTAATATATAAAATTTTCGTGTCGCGGTGTTTGTTACCAAACACCTCCGAAACGGCTTTACCGATTTGTATGAAATTTTGTGTACATATTGGGTAGGTCTGAGAATCGGCCAACATCTATTTTTTATACCCCTCAATGATAAGGGTGACCCACTCCTAAATATATTTTTTTGACATTTTTTTTGTTTTTAGTTTATTATGATTTAGCACTGAAGAATACATATAAATTCAAATTTTCACGCTTTTACGTTTAACCCCTGTTGTTTAATCGCAATTTTTATATGCCGCAATATGGTTGCAAGATGACAATCGAATATAATAATTGCAGTACGATATATTTTCATGTATACTTCTAGAAATAATGTATATGATAAAACAACGTTTGCCGACTCAGCTAGTATTTTATATAAGTGTCATATAATCATACAAATCGCCTGTTTCTCAAACTAGGATAACCTGTGTTATGAGACAGGACCAGGCAACGAACATCTGGGAGCACAATCAGATCACATCCAGAACTTGGCCAAAATAAAAAAATTGTGTCTTAATTTGACCCAACCGGGACTCGAGCTCGGACCCCATTTGCGCAGAGTAACGTCTTCCCCGCTGCGCACAGAGGTCGTTTAATAATACAGGGATATGATACTGTGTAATTTTTTTTTATGCGTGAAAATGGTATGGTAATCCCGCACGCGCTAACGGGATACGCTGGCGGAGCACCAGTGAAGGGTGATAGGTGAGAATGAAAACAGGCCAGTTAGCCCATCATGATGAATTCATCAGGAATTTACCATGATAGTTTCCAGGGGAACCGCGAGGAGGTCAATTTGGTTGGATATATTGTTAACAATGGGATTCTCAGTCTCCATTACTAACAATCCCTTTCCCCACTATACTGTGTAATTGTATTCATTAAAGAGTAGTAATTTTCTATTATAATTTCATGATTGTGGACATTTGATAAAAACAGTCATAATACAAATTGATTAACAAAAATATTTAGAGTAATTGTTATTTTATGATTGCAGACGTAAGCGAGAGCTATTACGTGACGCTATTATATAAAGTTATTATTACTTATTATATTATAAAACTGAACAGCAGTTTAAAAATTTATAATACTACATATTGAGAGATATATCAGTATTATTTTAAAAACATTTCTTTTCTGGTCTCTGCGAGCTGTGACACAAATCGCCTTACGCCTCCTAAAAGACTTCCTGATGAAGTGAAACAATTGTTGAAAATGGCATATTGAGTTTGAATAAAATAAAAAAATAAGTAAATAAAATTCCCATTTTGCACATAAGAACTTGGATATATCAGTAATTTTACTGACACATACCACTTTTAAATGTAAACACGATGACGAGACTCCAGCTGTTCGGTGGCAGAAACGCGACTGAAACAGATGTCACGAAGACGACTTTATACCAATTCACTATTAACACATACGGATCAAAGCTATAGCGGACTCACATGTCTGACGGGCACGGCGACCGGTCCCTGCGCGGGCTCGTCAGCCGCGTCCAGCAGGCAGCCGCCCTCCAGCGCGGGCGGCGCCCAGCGGCGGCGCCGCGGCCCGCCCGCCGCCCGCGCCGCGCGCGCCGCCGCCGCCGCCGCCGCCTCGCGCTCCGCCCGCTGCTGCTCCTCCTCCTCTCTACGCATCCAAGTAGCAAATTATAAACGTTAAATTACAAATAACAAAAAACTAAAAATACGATGCCACTAAAAAAAATTTAAAGTAAGAAAAAATAGTTTTATATTCAATTCCATATCCAAGAATTTATATCTCAAAATATCTAATAATTATTATTTATAACAGGCTGTTTATTTATTTATTTATTTATATGCTATTCTACATTCCCTTATAGATATTGGGTTACAACAAAAATATACACAGGCAACACTAATCCCTTAAAGAGATTTCTTAAAGTCAACCTTGAAAACCCGAAATGAAGAAAAATGTATTAACTACATACTTAACATAAGTATTAAGTAGATATTTGTATAATTAATTTAATTATATTATTTGAACACCTGCAAATAAAACCAACTGATTCAACACAATACTTTCAACAATATAGATGTAACATAAAATGAAACTGGCAATTCAAGAGTTGCAACAACAAGTATCAAAAACTATTGTTAAACTACCTTTTCTTTTGTCGCCTTGCCTCTTCAGCCATCTCTTTCCTTCTTCTCTTTAACTCTACAATGCCACGGGGAATGGCTGTAATGGACCACCAAATAAACCTTGGTATTTGAAATGGCAGTGTATCTTTAATGCTAGGCTTAGGAAGCTGTTCCAATATCTCCGCTAGTCCTGTGTCAAAACCTGACTTTTTTGTGTGTTTCTTTCCTCTGCTGTTTAGTATTTGTTCCTAGTGAATAAAAAACAATATTTATTCATTATAATTTAATAACTTCATTGACCGCTTATTATAATATTTGAGTTCTTATAAGAAAATAACATCATCATTTCAGCCATTATCAGTCCACTGCTGGGCATAGGCTTCCCCCAATAAGAAACTTATATAAAATCATAATTATTTTATCAATTCATTATTCACTGTTTAACATTGGTTTACTACACACATATATCTAAATAGTATTAAATACATAATAAAAAAAAATTAATAAATAGTAATTTTTTTTAGTTATTATATTTTATAACTAGAATTTCTATTATATAATATTAATTGGCTCCATGCCAAATTTAATTTCATTTATTTGATCAAATAAAGTGTCAAGAGACTACAAACATACTTTCATTCATCAATAATACTAGTAAGAACTAAAAAAAAATTAAATATATATGTAAGAATGTTGTCATATTAAAATTACTTACAGCAGTAAACCTTTTCTCCAAGTAAGCGGCCCAACCGACAGCGTACTGCCCAAATGTGATGATAATAAAAAGAATAATGGAGCCCTCTGCCAGTCCCATTTTTCTAACATGCCTGTAGTAGTACACTGCAGAGCGCCAATTTGGAAGACCATTCTTGAGTACTTCATTATACCTAGGAACATTACAATTAAATATGTTTGCCATATATGACTTTATAACATTCATAAATTGATAATTTAATTTACAATTTTTAATAATCTAATTACTAATTTAATGGAAATAAGTTTCAAAGTGATTTATTAGCTCTATAACAGGCTACTTGTAGTCTAGCAAAATTTAAAAAAATTGTACTTCTTAAAAGACAGAATTCTGGTTGACTTATGTAAAAAAATCTTTAGTTTCTGTAAAACTGAAGAATAAAATAAATATAAAATTGGATATTTGTCCATAATACAAAAAATACTTAATGTTTCTCCACAATGCATCTAACTTGTTATATATCTATAGGAAAACAATAATAACTTCTCTCTTTTCCCTGGATCCTTCAATATATTATGCACAGACACCAAGTTCCTGAACTGGATATCTGCATCAGGTGCACTGTTTTTGTCTGGATGCAGCTTCAAAGTGAGTTTCTTGAATGCAGATTTTATTTCCGAAGATGAAGCTTCCTACAATACAGATTGTGTAGTTTATATGAACAAAAACCCTTACATAAAATTGTAAATATTACTATAATACTCTAGATTTCAAAATTTTTCATTTAAAAATTAAATCAACCTGTTAATATTAATCTGGATAAAAGATAATATTTTAATTACTTATGTCAGCAATGAGATTATATAAGAGTAAAAATAAATAAAAAAGCTCTCACCTGTGTAACACCCATTAATTCATAAAAATTTTGATTTACTTCTTCAACTACATCAAACACTTCCAAGTCGTCATCGTCCCAAGCGTATGCGGAACACGTCAACATAAATAATATAATTAATATGTAACGCATTTTGAAATTCAAATCGTTTCAGTGTAAAACTTTATTTAAATTTTAATATTAAATATAAGTGGTTTCATTCTTTACAATTTTTATTTTGACAACTCAGCACTGATTCAAGTCCGGCAACACATGGAAAAACGAAAATGCAGTCTTGAAAGATTGTGAATGTAGTGCAAATGACACTTGCTGACATTAAATGACATTACACTGATTATCCCGATTGACAGATTGCAGAATTTAGATTTACAACGATTATTTACAATAAGATTTATATTTTATTCAATATCGTAAAAAAATGTTTTCTTCTTTAATTTGAATTTAAAAATATTGCCAATATATAGAAAAACTATTAAGATGTGGATTCTTTTATGTATTTTTTTTTCAAGACTACAATAAAAGTAATACATATTAAAGATGATCTGTAAACAAAACATCCAAAGCCTACAGTTATTTAAAAAAAAAATCTTGTTTTTAGTTTCATTCTTCAAATTCTTTACACGTTTTTCAAAAATCATCATTTTATATATATTTTTCCTTCGTGTATTTTAAACTTTTATTAAAATATAGAAAGATTGTAATTTGGTGTTAATTGGAAAGTCAGTTCCTATTAATTGTAAACGATAAATGTATATATTTTTAGAATTATACTACTGCTAAACATTGCTAGTAAACGTAGTAGTACTACAACAATTACTGCTTTGGTTGTAATTTGTGACAATGTGATACATAATGGCTGAAGAAAGAAAGAAAGTATCGACAGAACAATTAAGGATACTGGTGGAGGAAATAGAGAAAGACTCCACTCTATTAATCGGCAGACCGGGCGGCCGAGCGCCAATCAAACGAGAGTACTCAGAAAAATGGGAAATCCTCGCCAAAAGATTAAACTGTGTTGAAAATGGAGCTGTCAAAAATGTTTCAAAGTGGCAGCAGGTACTTTATATTTTTTATTGAATTTTTGTTTTTTTTTTTCATATTATTTTTGGCCATATACATAGGTAACTACCTAATTATCGATTCATAAAAATACAATTTGCAATTGAAAAAACATAACTAAAATATCTTTTCTAAATCTTACAGTCACTGCGCGACTGGAAGTCCAATACTAAAAAGAAAGCTGCGAAAATAATGAAAGATAAAAGCTGTCAGAGTGATGTAAATCAAGAGTTGACTAGTTTGGAGCAGCGGCTGCTCAATCTTTATGATGAAGACCACTCTCCAGTGAAAACTAGTGGCATTGTAAGTTGTCAATGCTTCTATTTATAAATTTATAAGTTAGTAAAGATGTAATGATGTGTACTCAATCACACTTAATTAGCTGTAGCCAATGTACTAAATTTAAAATATTTTTCCTGTAAAATATCCTATAATATGTATACATCTAACAAAGCAAAGGAAATAATATTTAATGAAATTGTAATTTTCAATTATCAAAATATGTTTGTGTGTTATGGCTATGTTTAGAAATTATCCTTCTTTTTTTTAGGAAATGCAAATATTAAGTGTTCCCAAAAGATTACAGAATATAAATGTTACAAAATGTGTAAAAAAATTCTTAAGAGTATCTGAAAATTTAAAAAATAATTAGATAAAAATACACACGTGTTTATTGTCAGTACAACTAAGTTTCACGCAATACTTCAATATAAAACTATTATACTATTTACAAGGACTGTTATGACAGGCATCCTTACATTCTGTAAGCTACTCATAATTGGGTAAATTGTATTGTTTGCTCTTAATAGAAAAAAAAACTAGAAAGATATATAAGTTAATGCTTTTGACACTAACTTCCTTTTTTCCCTGCTAACATCAAGATGGATAGATAAAATTGGCATAAAATAATATTTAATTGCTTTTATTCTCATTAGGACATCAGTTATATAGCAGAAATAGACCCGCTGTCGTCAGATGACAGTATGGAAGAACATGTGTGGAATGAAATGGAGTCAATATGTGTACCTAATGAACTTAATATAACCAAGAGCAGTATAGCAACTGAGTGTGAAAGAGAAAAAGAGAAATTAGGAAATGGTGAAGGTAAGAATTTAAATTATATAAATTTTTACATGTTTTCATTATATAAACTATAGAAATGGACCAATTAAATTATGTTTACAAATAAAATAAATTCACTGTATAAAACAAATTCTGACTGTTTCTGTGCTTGCATCTTCTAAACCACACATCTAATTTTGATATGGATTTCACTGTAATTTTGATATTTTTTTAAGGAAGGTTTATGGTTATAATTTGCACCCATACTGAAGGGTCTCTGTTTTATTATTAAAACAACAAAAATAAGTTTATTTCCCAATAATTATGTAGTGGTTAATTGCTAATTCATTATTAGATGTTAAAATTTTTTTATGACCCAACTATGATTTTTTACTAACACCATAGACAACACATTTTAAACGTAGACTAAACAAAAATACGATTTGCTTTATCTTCTGTCCCTTTCCTGTAACTATAAATAAATAGAAATAGACAAAAGACAATAAATTTTCATGAACAGTTGCATCTTTGTAATATTAGTAACAACACATACACAATCACAAATGTTTTGAGTCCGTGTGAAGCCAGGGCAGGACATTATTTTGTAATAATAACAATAGGCATCTCATCTAAAACATACTTTTGTTTTGTACATAGATCAAAGAGACATACTGGCGCGACTATCAGCAATCGAAGCCTCTCAACAAGAGATGGAGAAATGTCACCACGAACATGTGAAGGCCATGATTGCAGCATTAAAAAGCCATACAGTAGTGGCGTTACGCCAGTCTAAAGCTATGGAGGCACAGACACAGGCTATATTGAAATTACTAGAAAGAAGAGGATAGCTGCCAATAATTTATCATTTATTATTTAAGGAAAAAAAAAAGAGAGAAATATTTATTTTTAATGCTTAATTTCACACAGTAACAAAAAACATTCAACAATAAACAGAAATGAAAAATCACTAAAATAGTGTCACTCAGCTATATGCCATGTTCTTTCGAACATGACGTTGATTTTCAGTGGCAACAATTTGTTAGAGAGAGAGAGTTGGTAATATAAAATAGAACTTTACTTTAGTAGGATCTGGGAGAAAGAAAGGTGTTGAATATCGCTGGAAGTGGCCTGTAAGCACGACATAAGTTATGAAAGTTGATGAAACAATAGATGTATATAAGTATTTTACTAGAGGGAGACTTTGTACAAAAGTCCAAAAAGTTATCTTTGTACGAAATGGGGGTACCTCTGTCCCATCCGTGTTTCTGCCGAGAAGCAACTGTCATTACATGGCTGTTTCACTTTGAAGATATGATATGATATGGCAGTGAATGCCGTAGTTCTCAAAAATATCAACTTGTGAGAAATACTAAGAGCATCACAGAGAAACCTGCAATGTCCATGGATCTATTTATGTCTATAGATAACGGTTACCACTTTACATCAAGTAAATCATCAAATTTAACTTTCAAATAGACTTGAAATATCAACTTGTTTACCATTCTAAGTATCATATGGAAGAACTAAGTTCTATCTACCTACCCCACAGGAAACATAGCGTGAAGAGAGATAAGATATATATAATAGTATAATATGAATCATAATTGGAATTGAGTCAAAGCTTTTAAGCTCGAGAACATTGTATGGTTGTATGTATTGATGACTGATTAATTAAGAAGAATTGAAAATAAATATTTAAATGTTACATAGACTTTAAAGCCCAATTTATAATGTAATAAGAATTTACGAGGAAATATAAATCTGTTTAAAATAAAAGAGTTTATTTTTTTTAAAACACCTAATTTTGATATTTTATAATGCTTCTCACGTCTTCTTAACATGCACACAACGATCTTTAGGAGTTTGGAAATTCTGTGTTTATCTTTACTTTATAAAATATTTATAAAAGTGGATAAACACAGATTTTACAAATTTTCCTTATAACAGTTAATGTGGGCAGCCTTTGTTCAACAGTGGGCAGTTAATGGCTGAAAAGAATGATTAAATAACCTACCCATACGGATACGCTGGCGGGACACCAGTGAAGGGTGATCGATGAGGATGAAAACAGGCCTGTTAGCCCATCATGATGAATTCATCAGGAATTAATCATGATAGTTTCCAGGGGGAAACGGGAGGAGGTCGACCTGGTTGGATATATTGCTAGCAATGGGATTCTTAGTCTCCGTTACTAACAATCCCTTTTCCCCCCTCTCAAAAAAGATTGTGTTCCACAAAAAAAAACGGATTTAATTTTGACCAGTTATGCAAATTTTAAAAGTAAACTACGGAACAGAATTCTATGGGACTAATCTGTAAGTATACTTTTTCAGATAAATAAAAAAAATCCAAATGGGTTTATTAACGGCGTTATGAGTTAAAAAACAACCGAATTGAATACCTCCTTTTTGAAGTCGCTTGTAAACAATTACATAATGATGCATCTGTCTTGCACCGAGAGGGCGCCCCCTTCCAACCATAATATTAAATATATAATGTTCAAACTATAATATTAAATCGATGCAGGTGAATACATCCCTGGATTCTTGGAGACGGCTATCTTTGTTGTACAAGTTTTGATTTCATTCTAAAAAAACTTGTGAATACCCTTAATGTTTGTTATATGTGTTATAATGCAATATGCTGTTGGTGTTCCTTTAAATAAATACATAAAACGATACACAGTTTTCTTACCTTTTTATGATTTTTCACCACTTCGTATTCGTGGACTTCAAAAGAAAAGTAATGAAAGAGATCCCTTTTAAGTGGTGTATCTAGATAAAATGCCGGATTTTTAAGTTTTACCTTCAGAGACACAATAGTGGAAATCGAATACAATGATGCAGTAATTTTTGCGTATTGCCGGAACAAACATACATTTTTTAAACATTCAAGTGTTGGCATTTATTGATCATATTAGGAGCCCTCATATAATTTTTTCTTAAATATCTCCCATGTACAGAATCCGCTAGTTGCAATTTTGTTATATTATAGTTAGATTTGTCAAATAGACATAATAATAGTTAATACTCATAGTGTTATAGTCATGACTCAAATAAAGTGTTTCGATGCGAAACATAGATGTAATTTTTTACATTAATATTGTAAAAAAAAATCTTACGGAAAAAAAAACGGAAGAGAAAGAACCGGATAATACTTGGCTTTTATTTTATAAAAATTCCAGCCTTAAAGTTATACACCCAAATACGAATTTTTTTTTATACAACTTATATAAATATAAGAAGAAAAATAATTAATCTGCAGATAAATAAATTTTCTTAAACAATCCAGCAGATTTTAGTCCTTCGATACAAAAATTAATTACCTATCCGCGACTTGACCAAAATAAAAATTAACCTTTCTATGTCTTTATTATAAAAACAAAAGTTTATTTGTTTCCCATAAAGGACTCCGTCTCCAGTTTATCCGTTTTTTACGTGTATATTACGCGATACCCCATAAATTATAACCGATTTTGAGTATTCTTTCTTCATTCGAAACCATATGTTTATCAACTTTTTTAATATCTTAAATTATGGCTATTATTATCGCGCGCTTCTGTTCAACCTTTGAATAGCTAAATCAATAATTACAATAATAATAATAGGTAAACCCAGATAAATAACTAGGTCACGGGCGTCCCTGGTATTCCTGCTCAGGGGTTTGTCCTTGTAATAGTATCAATCTGTTACCTATACCCGTGCAACGATAACTCGTTAACCCTGCATCGAGTTCATAATAAAAAATATTTCAAACACCTTGAAATTATCAATCTGGAACGCAACATAGCAGTTTTCGACGACTGCAAATGTACGTTTGCCTACAATTTTAGCCGCCCAGTACTGAGAGAGCCCCGGTCGGCTTCACAGGCTGCTATATTTGGCCGAAAGTAGGGCTGAAACGGGGCGGCAGGGCGGTCCCATGCACAGTGGTCGTGCCAACAGTACAGTACGGCGAGTCAGTGTCGCGCGACCCTGCGGTAGCGATAGATGGCGCGGGATGGCATGGCGTCAAAAAATAAATAGCGTTCATAACGCGAGTGGATTGCGGCGAGGTGCAATTGCACCTTGCAATTTGATTGCTCCGTGACAAATGTGAGGCACCTCTCCATGTCGAGCCACACGCCGCTGCTAATCACAATAATGGTTTTTGCATTCTTCGCTTTGTTCTTACTTGGTATTTTAATTACCAAGCCTGTACCAGTAAGTATTCTATACATATATATGAAAAAAAAAATAACAAAGGAAAACGTTTACAGCCTAATGCTCATTTTGTCGTAATTTGTTTTGTTTTATTTTATTAGTAATAAATATATAATATGAATAAACATTCAGAAAATTTATTTAAATTGTATAAATTATTAAATACACTCATTATTTATATATAAATATATAATTATTTCGTAATCATAATATATGTATATGTAAACTAATATGAATTTTAAATAAAATCTACTCAGAAGATATTTTTAGGCTACTTGTGACATTTTTAATATTGCTTTAACGTTTGCAGACTTAATGCAACATATTTCTTTATAGAATATTAAATCAAACAAGTATCGATTCATGCCACTTTCAAATGCATATGCGAATCTTGAAATTGTAGATCTTTCTCTGCTCATGATGAGGTTAAATAGATGCTACCTACATATGTAATATTTGTACCTAGTTTGAATAATATGCGTCCATAGAGCGAGAAAGCAAACAAAAAATAACCCTGTCTCTGTATGTACAGATCATGTCTATGTGTCTACACAATATATATGCGACATTTTATATCATTGCTCTATTTTGACATGTCACGTTTTCTTTTGACATATCTTGTAATAATTAAAAAAAAAACGACGGCCATCTTTCTGTCACCTCACTCAATTAAGTGGATTACTTGCAGTATTTCTCTTATAACCATATCTCGAAGCGTACTATCAAGTTGTCAGGATAAGATTTGTTTACCAGGAATGAACTCAGAACGATCGATCCCCAGGAAAACATGCGCTGTGTATCTGTCCCGCTCATACGTTTTCCCGCGAAAATAGGTACTACAGACTATAAAAACCATAAATATTTTGTATTTAGAAGTCTATATGAATTTAGAAGTACTTAATAACTGTATAGGTAATTATATATACTTTAATTTGTTTTTTTTTTATCATTAATATATATATATATATATATATATATATTAATGATAAAAAAAAACAAATAAAAAAAAATTGTAATGTAAAAATTGTGTGTAAAAATTATTCTCCATGATGATATTATTATAAAAGACACCTATAAATCCGTTAATAAATCTAAATAATATATAATTAAAAATATTAAAATCTGGCTGTAAGAATGCTACGAGGATCGTAGAAGTAGTGCTACGGAGCTACGGTCTCAATCTCGTAGGCACCATATCATAGTCGCATGTGTAAACGTGATTATGGGATTGACGTTGAAAATAACCACGAAATATTTTGGAAATTAACTCCCTTACACACTGTTTTGTGGCTTTCTTTCAAATTAGAAATTTAGCACAAAAGAAAGAAACAAAATAGCTATAATTGGTTTATGAGAGGTTTGACGTTTTTGAATGAATGAATGAATAAATTTTATTGAAAAAAATGTGGTACAATAAGGTCATATGGCAGTTTTATAATGGTTTCACACATAAGTTAATAATAAAATATTTTGTCATTACAAAATAATTTTGTAATGACAAAATATTTTTTAAATTATGAATAAGGGGGTATTTTAACTTATGTTTCTTTTTAACAATGTCTAGAATTTTGTGAACTTGCTTGGACTCGTCCGAATTATATATATATATATATATATATATATATATATATATATATATATATATATATATATATATATGTGCATAAACAATTTGATTTATTTGAAAACATAAACCATTTTTTTTCTACAATGAAACAGATTAAATTCACTTTTACAAATTTAATATATAATTTTGCATTACACGCTTGCTACTAGTGCTTGCTACTCGATCCCAGACCATTTCCTTGATCTTCCAATACAGCGTGACACCTAGTGTTTATGTTTGTATAAATTAGTATTTATATGATAAATATTAGACCGACCTAATGTATCCACTTGTCATTAAAATTTCCTGTATTTATTATTTGTATAAATGGTACAATAAAATGTAAATAAATTAATAAACATATTATGCCAAAACATATAGAAAATCGATACAAGTTTGTGATCGGGTAAAAATAAAAGAAATCCTATCGATTTGAAGAAAAAATATTTGACATTTAGGTAAAAACAAAAAATCTCATCTAACAACCTTGTTTATCAGGGGGGAAGGGATTGTTAATAATGGAATCTAACAGCCCCATTACTAACAATATATCCTATCAGGTCGACCTCCACGTGGTTCCCCCTGGAAACCATCGTGGTTAATTCTTGTGAAATTCGTCACGATGGGCTAACTGACCTGCTTTCATCCTCATCTGTCATCTATCACTGGTGCCCCGCCAGCGTATACCAATAGCGCAGGCGGGTAACCATTCCATTATCATCCATAATAAAAAAAAACCTTGTTTATCAACTTCGCCGTCAGTTGGCAAACATATCTGCGAAAGCAAACACGCCTTTGATATACTTGAATGGGGTCGCTTTATATATGTAAGTATGTTTAGATCAAACACACCCGGAATGAACTCCCTGTCGACGTTTTCCCAAGAGACTACCGCATAAGGTTCTTCAAGAAAGAGATAAAAAAAAATTCTTTAGAGTCGGCAACGCGCGCGTTATGCTCCTGGTTTTACATTACAAACGTGCATAGGCTACGGTAACTGCTTACCATCAGGCGGGCCGTGGTATTTTTTTTAAGTTTGTCACCCCGTAACTCCGTCAGTTGTGTCAACCGACTAGAAAAATTATTTTCTTACCTAAAGGGAGTTTAGTTTTTAAATTAAAATAACTGGGTTTGTCACAATTCAAGTTTATTTTTTTATGACTCACGCATCAGTCTCTATTTTACAATTCTGACACCCCTATTTTTTGTGTAACACATTCTTAATTATTAATAGATATAATAAGTGCTTGTTGCAAAAATATTTTCTCGTATCGAGCTGTCCAGTTATGGAACAAACTCCCGTCCCACATACAAGAGAATCCCTCTATTACCTCTTTCAAGAAAAGGTTGAAATCACATTTTCTTTCCCTTGAGTAATATTTTTTTTTGTATTTTTTCTAGTTGAACTGTCAAATCTTAAAATCATTAAACTAAATTTCTAATGTAAGTAGTATATTAATTTATTTTAACATTTATTATGTAAGTAGGTATGTATTATATGTATTTATAGTGTATGTATTTACGTAATATTATATATTTAAATATTTTATTTAACTGTATATTTGTTTATGTATTAATAGTTGTAGCACTTCAGCTGCCCGCTAACGAAATGCTTTCTTACTGTACTGGGTTGACTGGAAGAGATCTCTTTCAGAGATAAGTCCACTCTTGCTCGCAACATTTATAAATACATTATTTTATATGTAACTTACAAGTTCAATAAAGAATATATAATATATAATAAGATTTGTCTCATTTGCACAAAGCAACGTGACTACCACTACACCACATAATTCCTCAAATAATAAACCGCCTGTACGCATATGTGCAGTGCATCACGGAGACACAGTGCGCGGACGGCAAGGCGTGCCCAGCGCCGTGGGTGTGCTGCGACTCGGGCTGCTGCGCGCCCGTCAGCTCCCCATCGCGTCACGACCTTGACGACCCGCTCAAGGAACATGGATTCTCTTACCCTTGGTATGCTCAATGGTAAGTCTCATTCAGTACATACATGCTCCTTAATACTCATAAAAACAATCTATACCGGTGTTTTTCAACGTGGGGCCCACGGCCCATAAGGAGGCAATTTGATAGTTAAGAGGGGGGGGGGGGGTTGCAATAAAAAATGGACTAGCAGCTATTTTAACTCTCTTGCTCGAGGCCATTTAAATGCAATGCTACATGTAGAGATCGGTGCAAAATTTAACAAAAAGAGTAAATTAAAAAATGCTGTAAATATTTATTAGGTATAATTTCGTACATTTTAGAAATGTTTAAGTGGGACATGACACAAAAAAGGTTGGGAAACACTGATCTATACTTTACACTTTACTTTATCTATTGTTTACAGGAACGCCATTTGTTTTCTTTAATAATTATCTAACCTGGGCCCATAACCTGATGTAGTTTGGCGGGAGACTAAATAATTAATATATTTAACACTAATGGCACGCCGCAGCTTTGTATGGTTTCTTTTAATTAAATACAGCCTGTGTTATTTGCTCAGAATGTTTATGTCTATTGGTGAAAGATTTTTTTAAATTGGTTGAGTATCTATGTATAACATAAAAAAGCAACTCTTTCTTGTTTATAATATAAGTATAGATATAAATATCGCACAGTATAGAAGAAATTTTAACTCGTACATATTATACGATTTTTAAATTGTTAAATACGTATATTTTATATATTTTTTTGTGCTTTTACATGTATGTATATTAAAAGAGATGTGACTTTTATGAACATGCATTAGCCCGGTACCTAATGAGATCTTATGAATCTTTACACGCCACTATTCGCAGGCCTGTTCTATTCCTGCTCGGGACGTTGGGCGGGATCCTGATCTGCTGCGTGTGGTGCCTATTCTGCAAGCGGCCCAGCTCGCACGGCATCTACATGTGCTCGTTCGCGTGCTGCGTCCGCCGGCCCAACTCGAACCACGACTCCGCCGGCTCCATCTACCCGCCGCCGCGCTACAGCCGCTGCGGCTCCTTCCACCAGGCTCCACCACCGTATTCTGAAGTGATATTCTTATTGTGAACTTCAGTTTGAGGTTTATTTATTTTTGCCGATTCGTTTTTATGATATTCACTCTTCATTTGAAAGCCAACGACACTTCTAGGCTGTCATGTTATTGTTTGCATGTTTGTTCTGGCTGCTAAATATTACGAGGGTTAGGTGCTAAACGCTTATTATTTTAGCTATAAGATAGTTTTATGAAAGTGAGTTTGTTTGTTACCTCTTGGAGGCTTAAAATTTAATATACACTTATTGTATGAGATGGTGAAAAATTACTTTTTATTCTGGTCAGTGATCAATATATCACAGTCACGCGGACAAAGATGTTGGTAAAAGCTATTTGATAATATAAACATAAATGATGATGCATGTCGACAGCGACTCATTACTGGCGTCTCTCATATTTAATTCACTCCAATGACGGATTCGCGTGGCAAGAAGCCAAGAGGGTTTGCAGATTTTGAAATAACTTTGTATACTTAAAAAGTGATCAAAACGTAGCTCAAAAAGATATATCTCAAGGCTAAATATATATGATAAATACAGTTTATTGTATTCATACTGAAAAATAGATGATACTTTTTGAGAAAAATCGAGAGATTGTAGTGTGAAGACATTGGTCATAAAAAGTTATGTGGCCTAAGGCTATAGTGTGGTACTTTATTTATTACTAGCATTCGACTGGTTTTATTCTATAAAAGCTGATAAAGAAACTCTCTCAAAATTAACTTAATCTCAAAACTATCTCAAAATATAACTCAAATATTTTTATAAATTAGGTGGGGTGGTGATACCAAAACAGACCCCAAATATTGCACTATTCGAAATCTCAAAAACAAATCAAAATTACATACAGCTTACGCGAATAAGTCAGTGTTTATCCACAAGCTCTATCCAGATACCAAACAAGAATTACAATTAGGATCTGCATGTCTGCAGGTCACAACAGGGTCTCACTGTTTCAACGGTTCACGCCAATCGCGATATCGTAGTATCTCGTCTAAACGATACTATATCTTGTCGACTTTATTAATTTTACTAGAAATATTTATCAATTATCGTGTAAACCGTATTTATATTATGGTTCCATCGGGGTTCCAATCTAAGGACAAGAATTAAATCTTTGGGTCCGATGATTTTGCCAATGTCAAGGTCAGAAGAGACGCTACAACTTTATCGGCGATGCGATAAGATTTCCTAGTCTGTGATTGTCATAGATTTACAATAGGGCCAATTCAAAGATGATATTTTTCTAAACTTACCTCTTAACCTAATATTTTAATTTTGCGAAACTAAATAGACCATCATAAACTAAATTTATAATTATGTTAATTTAAATCTATTAGAAAATTAGTTCTTATTGGTCCTTATAATAAAGACTTCGGTATAAAATTAAACTAAAATTTTAATTTTAAGCGTGAATTTACTGGGTACAGAGGCAACGCATGGGGGGTATCATGGGCGAAAGAGTATATTCTGTTATGTCCATGGTACTGCTCATGTCTATAGGCGACGGTTATCACTTTCCATCAGGTGGACTGTCAGCTTGTTTGCCATTCTAAGTTATATAAAAAAAAAAAGGTTTAGAAAATTGGGATCTCATAATCGACCCTAATGTCTTTTATAAGTAAAAAAGTGACCTCGCTATGTACCTGTAGTTGTTTGGAGGAAATAAGTTCAACAACTAACTTTGTCTATTTACATATATTATATACAGAAGGTAAATATTATATACAAAGGAATATGTAGAAAATAATATATAAAAACGGAAGTTAGGAGTGTAAGAGGCGAGCGATCGAGATGGAGAGAGTGACAGCAGAAATGAATGTAGAAAGTAAAACGTCGCTGTCATGTCTGTACGACTAGTCCGAAGGAAAGAAAGAGGCGAAATATCTATGTACAATTTAATTAGCCTACTTGATGGAAAAGAAAGTAATGATGTTGATAAGTAGCTATGAGATGAATTACAATATTTATTTACAGACGCCACATACCTAGCCACATTTAGATGATATTGCATTTCTTGTGGTACAGTCTTAAAGGGAAATGTGATCTGCTTGCTACAGGTCACGTCGAAGCCGGACCTGTATCCTCTCGTCATTACTTGTGGTGGAGAAGGCGACGGCAAAACCGGTGGTAGCTACCTCATGGTACATTATTTCAGAAACTATGTAATTCGAGCACCTGGTAAGTTCTCCTGCTATAATATTTAATTTTATTATATCAACTGTTAATTATTCACTGCTGAACATAGCCTCTCCCGTAACAAAGATTTTGCAAGTAATTGCCATATTTGGCAGGCGCATTGGCAATCGCAATTTGGCTTTTGGTGCTGGCTCAAGAAGGACGCTGCTGCCTATCCCTCGACCATTGAGTACTCTTAGTCACTTCCTACAACACCCACGGGAAAGGAAGGGATAGCCTATTCTATGCGGGGACCTATACAACTCGTATATTTATGCAATTTTAATGGTTCTTTAAGCGTCTACAATATAAAGGAGGTTTCAATTCGTCTGATTTTTTTTTTTGTAGATAAATTGCGCGGTTAAGTCGCGTAATTTTAAAACTATTATCACAGTTTCACTATTATTTTTGAACGTATTAATTATTATGATTCAGTAATTATTCACTGCTTAGCATAAACCTCCCCCATAAAAATTGTTTTGCCAGTAATTTTGCCAGCAGACGGGTTGGCAACTGCGATTAGATTTTAGGTAATGCTTTAAAAGTTTTTAAATTTTGTTATTATCTGAAGTACGTATTGAAGTACCTAATCGGCTTTGCAGCTTATCATTGAAAACTTATATGTATAATTTAATTAAAATAAAACTCTTTTTAGTTTTCTTTTACGTTAGTATAGTCTATGTTGTGTAACGTGGATAGAGTGAAAACGTCTCAAACTATTGAACATGTTGGATCCATTTAAAAATATTTTGGAAAAACATAAAGGAGATCTGCAATTGGCAAAAGATAACGTAACTACGGTACGTTTATATCCACCCACATAATATATTTATTACTAAACTAATACCTCCCTAATTTAATGTGAAAACTTGAAAAAATACTTTTAGATTTTCACTATACATCTTGAGGCGAGTTTGTTAGTTTCATTACATTATCATTTCAGCCATTATCCGTCCACTGCTGGACATAGGCGTCCCCCATAGACCGCCATAAGGAACGGTCCTGAGCCACTTGCGTCCACTAGCACTAATTTATTTATTTTATCGCATCTAATTTCGTGCAGTATTTTTGCATGATACCGGATCAAACACATCGATCTAGAGACGAAATTTCTAAAACTTTTTGTTTAATCTTCTATTGGTCTTATATTAAAGAGCTCTCATATATTTTTTTCTTAAATTTCTCCTATGTATAGACATTGTCTAGTTAGAATTTTATTAGTAAGATAAAATAACCGAATGCTGCAGTGAATTGCAATGTTTTCAGGTTCTCTATCAGCGGCGAGTACTGCCGAATCTCTCAACTCCAGTTTCATATGCAACGCGACAAATGAGGTGAGTTTGCATACATTGTTAGAAAACTAGATATGTATGTTGGAAAATATCGTGAATAACCGCGTCAAGTTTTATTTATTAACTTATTTTGTTTTTTTTTTATTGGTAATAATAGAATAGCAATCCTGCCTACACTGCCGGTATACGCTGGCGGAGTACTAGTGAAAGATGATAGATGAGAATGAAAAGGTTGCCTTCATCCTCACCTATCACCCTTCACTGGTACCCCACCAGCGTATACCAACAGTGCAGGCGGGATTACCATTCCATCTTCACCTATTAAAGGAAATTATCGTGATGAATTCACCTGAAATTTAGCTTATGGTTTTAAACGAGGACCGTGCGAAGTTCGATCTGACAAAGTATATTTCTAACAATCTGGAAACTAGATCCTATTACTAAGAATCCCTTCCCCTGATTTAATGTATTATACCTTCATACCTCGCATTTTCCCAGTGATTTGAAACTAAAACTCAGCCATGCAAGCATAACCGCTTCTATGCCAGAAGCACGAGTAGGACAATGGTAATCAAGTAAACTACTCTAATGTTAAAAATTTGTAGTCACTTGGCGACAGAGTGCTCAGAACGATAATCTCCCGTCGTAAATTTGTGGGGACTTGTGTGTATTCTTAATGTCGATAAAGGTACAAATAATAATACCTATTTGTCCTTAGACAGGCACATTGCTGACAACGTCACGGTTTTGCCCGGAAACCATCATTTTTAATTCTCGTTGAAGTCATCACGATGAGCTAACGAACTCGCTTTCATTCTCACCTATCATCTCTCACTGGTTCCTCACCAACGTATATCGATAGCTCACGTGGGATTACCATACTATTTTTACTTTTAAAAACAAAAACTTGTCCTTAGGCAAATTCAATCATCCCGCCACCGTATTCGTGCGCGAGCAACTACGAGGAGTGCGGCGCGGTGGGCTGCGGGCGGTCGCTGCTGCGCTCGCTGTCGTCGCTGCCGGAGCCGCGGGCCGCGCCCCCCGCCGCCGCCGCCGCCGCCGCGCCCCGCGCACGCACCGCGCCCGACATCGCCCCCGCGCCCCCCGCGCACCCCGCGCACCGGCCCCGGGAACCAGCGGCCGCCTTCCGGGAGAACCTCATCACGTCGCCTGTACAACCTCTGGTAATCTCCATCTTCCGCCTCGCCTTTTACTCACTCAGTTTTCACAATCATTTGGCGCCATTTATTCCTGTTACATACAAGCATCCTCCTATTTTTTATACCAAGAAGGTAGCAAACAAGCATACAGCCCGTCTGATGGTAAACGGTTACAACTCCTCAAGGTACATTCTCTGGTAGTGTATGCTAGAAATTCTTAAGACAATATCGTCGGATTCGTTGTTTAAGGTAGATATAGTATAAGATAAGTATATCCTGGCCCTCTAGACAAGTGGCAAGCGATTTCGTCGATGGAATTGACATCGCTAGCGAGTCCGTGAGTTAGAATGAGACATGCGACGTTGCTATCTCATTCTATCTCACGGACTCGCTAGCGATGTCGGTTCCATCGACGAAATCGCTTGCAGCTTGTCTAGAGGGCCTGGACAGATCATACAAAAACGAAGTGAACATTTACCATCACGGAGTACTTCCAACTATTTTTACGTATCAACATGCCTTAATTCTTCTTACGTTTGTATTTATAAACAAGAGTATTTAGGTCACTAAGAGAAGGTGAAGTTAGCTTGAGGGTCCACTCTCAAGGGCAGGAATTAAAATTGCGATAAAATCTCATTCTTTATGAAACACTACGTAATACCCTAGTAATAGTAGTACCATACGCAGGCGTAGTATTGTGTGATAAGCTGATATACTCGATTCATAAGGTGACCTCTATTTTTATTTTTGGGAGATCCAAGTCATTTGCAGCCGTTGGTAATGTAATTACGATTATATATCTATATAGTATTTTATAAATCTCTATCTCTCTCTCTACATAAACGTAACACATACATTTTTTCCTTTTTCAGGATCCTTCCTTCGACTTGGAGTTAGAACTGATCGATTGTGAAATGTACTGCGATGGTGGTTGCAAGCCGCGGCTCGGTGCCTCACCGCCAGTGCACCGATCGCCTTCCAACGTGGATGACGAGGCCATCTATGACCACGAAGCGTACGGGTTACGGCATCTCTTCGCCTGCCCCTCGCCAGAAGGAGCCGGTGCCTGCGAGTCGCCTCCGCAACCAACCAGCCCCACTCAAACGTCCAGGGACTCTACGCTTCGAAGACCAAGTGACGAGAGGCGGCACCGGCGTCTAGATAATGCAAAGAAAGCACCCAGAGCAAGAAAATCGAGCTTATATATGCCCCTGTCCACGGCACATCCCGTGAGAAGTTCCCGGATATCACCCGGCGCTCGCACATCGTCCCGCTCTGCGCCAGCCACTCCTTGCAGTAACCTGGTCCCTAATCTTCTCAATTTCACACAAAGGGTCTCGGCGTCAAGACACGGCTCAAGGTCTTCAAGGTTCGAGGAGGAAAGCAATCCTCTGTTATCGGAAATTGAACATCCCCGTACTGACCACAAGTTTTAAATATAAAACAAGCCTATTTGTTGATTACTTTTCTCTCTCTCTCTCACTCTTTCAGATACCAATAAATGGTTACAGTATATTGATGTAATAGAATAGATCGATGTTTATTGATGTGAAACTCGAATTAACCGATTTATCGGCCTAATCTGTAAACCCCTGCCATTTACAGCCTTTATGGTGATGGAATCTATATGTTGTGACTGTTAACCTGTGCTCATTATAACGTAGAGCGAACACTACATAAATAAGTAGGTAGTTTAAATGTTAAACAAATATTTTATTGCATATAACTGTAAGGTACGAGCTTGTTGGACCATTGTTCACTTGCCTTCTATTAAGAAATGAATAATTCTCAAAATGCCAAACTTGCCTTTCATTTTCTGAACTTTTAGTGAGTAACATCAAATTAATATATCTTGTCAGGTACAGTTGGGTAATATATAGCAATATCTATATATTTTAATTACAGTAGCTATATACAAACTCAATAATGTTCTACTAACTCGAAAATGTAAAAAGTCTGTTATCCAAAAAATAATATTGGATAACAGGTTTTTTTATATATTCGAAAATAGATATTCGATCGATATTTTTTTATACAACTCAGAATGGCAAACAAGCTGACGGCCCACCTGATGGAAAGTGGTAACCGTCGCCTATAGACATGAGCAGTATCATGGACATACCAGAGTATGCTGTTTCGTCCATGATAAACCCCATGCGTTGCCATTCCTGAAGACTCAGGTGTTATTCCTTTGTGCTCTGTAAATTCATTGATATATCCCACCCTTCAAACCGAAACACAGACATGCAAACATAACTGCTTTACGATTGAAACACGAATAGGACAGGGGTGATCAAGCAAACGACTTTTGTACAGTCTCCCTCTGTTTGATATCGGAATGAGTGATAACCTTTTTCCCGCCATCAATGTCCACAAGAACTCATTGCATAGATATTGGATCAGTATCCACATTACTCATACCTACTGCCAGATCGACTTCAAGGCGGTTCTCTTTGTATATCATTATGGGTAATTCTTTGCGTATTTTTTACAATAGACGAACTGACATATTTTCTTGCAAAATAAAAAAGACTTTTACATCGACGATTCATAACTCTAGAGGAACTGTATTAAAAAGGTCTTAACTTACAATATTTTATTCATACTCAGTAGTTTCACTATAAATATGTACTTTCAACATTTAAACCACTTAGACAAACTAACAAACACACAACTACAGCCACAGAACAAATAATCGCTACCTACTTTAGCTCAGCATAAATACAAGTTGTTTGGCACCAGAAATAAGTTGAGGCTAATATAAAGATCGTAACGAAGAAGTTAATAAAAAAATAAATAAAATAATAAGAAAATTAGAATATATTAGTAATAATTTGAATTTTAATTGATAGAACTTTTAAGAAATATTTGAGTACAGAGTGAAAATGAATTTATGACGTTTAGCTACCTTTGATTTTATAGGCCTCAAATATAATAAATTAATAACTATAAATAAAAGTGTCATTTTCTAATTCCACTTGTCCGTTTGTTGTCGTTTTCGCAGATCATACTCTGTGAATGTTTGAAGAACGTCAAAGTCAAAATCAAATGATAGACCATTTGACATTATTTTACAGAGCAAGTGATCACTACGTTTGGTAATATAGAGTTGGCATTATATTCATATAAAATAAAATTGGAAAAAGATCTATGTGAACATCTAGAAATCTAGAAGTATCAATACAATGAAATATTAATAGTAGGCCAGGGTAATATGGATAAAGATTCGATATCGATATATTGGAATCCTTAATTAATGGCGGGAAAAAGGTCATCGTCCATATTAGTTGGGTATTTATTTTCGAATGTGTTAAAAACGATACTATTTTTTGAATAACAGAATTTAAAAATATTCCTTTAGTAGCCTCTTATTGAAATTGAATAAAAAATAATAAAAACTGCTAAAGAAAACAATCTTTCTATAGTCTGTTTTGATGAGCACAAACTTATGTTAAATTATATGAACGAAAGATATCGTGTGTTATTTTTTGCACAACGCATCCATTAATAAGATTGCTAATCATCATCTTTATCATATCACTCTTTAACTGTTCACTACTGAACATAAGCCTCCCCCTTGAAAGTTTTTGCCAGTAGTTATCACACTTGAAAGACGGATTATAAGAGTTTATGCTACTGCTCATCTCTCGCTCTCCCTTAATCGGCTCCTACGACGCCCAGGGGATAGGAAGGGGTGGCATATTCTATGCCGGGATCACATGGCCAAGATCGGTGAATGAAAGCTAAATGTATTAATGTTAAAATGTATTTTGAAGCCTGAGTATTTGAAATGCTAACTAGAAAATCCTAATACCTAAATACTACCTACATACCTATACTTGAATACCTTAAATACTTTAGCGTCAGGTATTTAAAATACGAATTACTAATTACATTGTTAAGAAATAATTGAAATACGAATTATCAAATATATATTCGTATTTCAATTTTGTATTTTGTTTAGAAATAATTCTAATACTGCCCAGCCTTGTTTATGGCTTAAATTTTTCAAATCAATTAATTGGTTACACAGAAATGGTAAATTTGTTTTAAGTGACGCGGGTTTGGTAACAAAATTTTGACAGCATCAATATTGAATGTATAGGTTAGTTTTATTTATTGTTGTATATTGTTTAACAACAGACTATTTTATATTCTTATCTCTTAGGAAAATATAGTATACTCTTTACCATTTTACATATTCTTTTTCAGTTTTTCATCACAACATTCAAGCTGTCGTCTAAAATCGATACAGATATGAGTTTACCAACAGACTTTGGGCCAGATTCTGGCGGCAGAATAAAGGTGCATCTAGATTTTTCTATTAAGTAAGTAGGTAATTAATAAAATTAGCGTTAAAATTGGAATATTTACTTTTGTATTTACTTTTAAGGGTTTGGTGATAGTAAAACCAATAGTGTATGGAAACGTCGCTAGATATTTTGGCAAAAAACGTGAAGAGGATGGTCACACACATCAATGGACTGTCTACGTAAAACCATATGCCAACGAAGACATGTCGGCGTATATAAAGAAAGTACACTTCAAGCTGCACGAGAGTTATGCGAATCCTAACAGAATAGTCACCAAACCCCCATATGAACTCACAGAGACTGGATGGGGAGAGTTCGAGATTGTCATCAAGATATATTTCCATGATCCAAATGAAAGACCGGTCAGTAAAACTTTATTATTATGAATTTTTTTTATACAACTTAGAATGGCAAACAAGCTGATGGCCCACCTGATGGAAAGTGGTAACTGTCACCTATAGACATGAGCAGTACCATGGACATAACAGAGAGAACTGTTTTGCCCATGATACCCCCCCATGTGTTGCCATTCCTGAGAACTCGGGTGTTATTCCTCTGTATCCTGTAAATTCACACAATATCCCACCCTTCAAACTGAAACACAGCCATGCAAACACAACTGCTTCATGGTAGAAACACGAATGGGACAAAGGTACCCAAATAATCGACTTTTGTATCCCTCTGGTATTATTATTATTTGTCATGTGATTTCAGCAGAGAATAGTTTTCCCTTTCCTTTCCCATAAGTGTCATAAGAGGTGATTAAGGCAACTTAGTTGTAAAATAGTTGAGGCATGGGCAGTAGTGTCCCTTTTAAAAATCACTAAAAGCTTAGCTTATGTTGCCATCCCGCCCGCCAAGCATTGCAACTACTGGCAAAACTCTGCTTATGTGGAAGGGACAGTTCACAGTTGTGTTCAGCAAGGGACAGTTAACAGCTGGTATGATGCAGTTTTGAATAATGAACAGCCGACTTGATTGGAGGTGGCAATTGTTGTCTATATTTGTTTTTAATATTAAAATTGATTTATAGCCATATTTAAACCTGCATCGAAGAATTGTTTGTGCCCACCCCAGGATTTTTTTTGTTAGGTGAAAATGGTATGGTAACCCCACCTGTGCTAACAGGATACGATGGCAGAGCACCAGTGAAGGGTGATAAATGAGAATGAAATCAGGCCAATTAGCCCATCATGATGAATTCATCAGGAATTAACTATGATAGTTTCCAGGGAGAACTGCGAGGAGGTCGACCTGGTTAGGTATATTGCTAGCAATGGGATTCTCAGTCTTCATTACTAACAACCCCTTCCCTCCCCCACCCAGGATTAGAAATGCAATTTTCAGCTATGGGTAAATGCATGTCTGAGAATACAGTTATGCCCCTTTTTTAAAGGGTCAGACCCCTATGGAAAATAATCTTAAATATGCAAATGCCTAGATTTATTCTTTTAAATTTTTAAATTTAGAAAATTAATCCAGGTGTTTCATTATCATAAGTTCTTGATAAATTTGTTCTAAGGCAACTAATATAACTAACTTATAAGGAATTTTAAGTTTAACCTTTAACCTCACTGAACCTCGATATTCTGACTATATGAATAGTAAGAAAAAAATATTGGACCAAAAAATGGCAAATTTTTACATCAAAATACATATGCATTTACAAATTTCAGGTGACATTATACCACATCCTCAAACTATTCCAGTCACCAGTTACGGAGGGGGCTCCGCCAACTGTTGGCAGGGCACTCGTAAGCGAGTCATACGAAGAGATAGTGTTCCAAGAGCCCACACAATTAATGCAACATTTATTGAACAGCGTAAAACCTATTACCAATGGGCCATGGACACATGATACAGATTGTAAGCACTTACAATTATTTTATTTATTACAGTGACATCTATGTTTCTTTTAATACAATTTAGAATGGCAAACAAGCTAACAGCCCACCTGATGGAAAGTGGTAAACGTTACCTATAGACATGAGCAGTACCATGGACATAATAGAGTATACTGTTACGCCCATGATACCCCCCATGCATTGCCATTCCTGAGGACTCAGATGTTATTCCTCTGTACCCTGTAAATTCACTATCCCACCCTTCAATTCATGCAAACACAACAGCTGGTAAAAACACGAATGGGACAGAGGTACCCAAGCAATCGACTTTTGTACAAAGTCTCCCTCTGGTGAGTCTCAAAGTCTCTCTCCTCTCCCTCCCACATCTATATGGATGATGTTCTTGATTCATCTTTTTTTTTATTTATGTAATATGATACCCAAATGTATATAATATACAGTATGTTCATTACTTTAACCCATTCCCATGTAGAAAAAATGTAGATTCATTAAAAGATATCAAAAAAACAATTGCCTAGAAAAAAAAAATATATTATTCCATTTGTGCCAAGAATTATCTATTTTAGTTTTTGGTAATCTTTTCTAGGAAGAAAAACTCTGTTTATATTCATAAATTATTAAATTCATTAGTAACTAACACTAGTGGGTAATATATAGTATATATATAAATAGGAATCTATCTGTAAGAATTTATATATTTATATTTTTTAGGGAGGGGAGGTTATTTTTTTTTATTATCTATAAAAATACAAGTTACAGAAATTATGTTACATTAGCATTCAGAAACCACGTAATACTGTAAACTGTGTCTTGTCTTTCAGTTGAAGAGAAGAAAGAGAAAACATTAGAAAAAATATTATCAGCTCAAACAAAAGTGAGAAGTGAAATAACAGTGTTAAAAGAAAAACTACATCTAGCCAAGGAGACAATAACAAAATTCAAAGAAGAAATAGCCAAATTACAAAATAACCCAAATGCTAATATATTAACTGCTATGTGATTTGTTATAAATATTGTTATTTTATATGGAGTTTTTATTGTTAAAAGCGATGTAAGCATATCACTACATATAAAACAAAGCTCCCCGCTGTGTCTGTCTGTATGTTCACGATGATCTGTAAAAACCAATGGTTAGATGGCATATCAAAATAATAATACATAGACCAATTTTCAGGCAAGATCTTTAGAAATACAGATGTATTCCTGAAGAATTGTTCGGATTGATACCTGCTACTGATTTTCACCATCGTACAACCCGCCACAAACTAAAATTTCATCCCAACCATCTGGACGAGTGGCGGTCCTCCACCGTGCGTTTTTCAAGGCACTTTCTCCCATGCCCAACCACTCTTTGGAATCAACTTCCAGCAGCAGTTTTTTCGAACCGATACGACAACATAACCTTCAAGAAAAGAGCATATTCCTTTTTAAAAGGCCGGCAGCACACCTGCAATGCTGTTGGTGTTGCGGGTGACCATGGGCGGCGGTAGTCACCATCAGGTGAGCCGCATGCTCGTTTGCCCCCTGTGTTGTAAAAAAAAAAAGGAAAACCGGATTCAATTTGTTGTAGTTATCGCTTGATACCAGAACAAACATATAGATATACATACAAAATTTCTAAAAAAATGTATTTTTACGTCTTTATGTCTTATTAAGACCTCCTATATTAATTTTTCTTAAATATCTCCCATGTACTTAGAATGTCTAGTAACAATTTTATTATATTAATTATTGTAATCGGTCTTAATTATATAGTTTTTTATACTACTATGTTAGAAAAATAAGCATTTTTTTATACAACTTAGAATGGCAAACAAGCTGACGGCCCACCTGATGGAAAGTTGTAACCGTCGCCTATAGACATGAACAGTACCATGGACATAACAGAGTATACTGTTTCGCCCATGATACGCCCCATGCGTCGCCATTCCTGAGGACTCAGGTGTTAATCCTCTGTACTCAGTAAATTCACGCTATATCCCACCCTTCAAACCGAAACACAGCCATGCAAACATAATGAACAGTTATCTCCACTACACAGAAGTACTCTTGATGAATTTAATAATAAACTGAAACATTAAATCGATCGATTTATTATTTGTACTAACTACTATTAGACATCAGCGAACTGTTTCATGGTCGGATCAATTATTCGTTTATTAATTTTATTAAGTTACATTGAAACAGACCATTTATATTTCGTCATAGTTGTAGAATACTGACGGATCTGACAAAGATTACATATAAAGATCCGTCAGTATTCTACGACTATGACGATTGAATATATCTATATTATTATTCATGTACTTTTATTATTTACATATGTAGGTATATAGAGCTGTTTTTATTGTATTATACATTAAATTTTTTACTAAGTATTATTTAGTTTATCTTTAATTGTACGGTTATTACCCTTATACATTCTACAGTTTTCCTTCAGCTTCTCAAAAGTTGACTGTAAGAGATCCCTTTGTGGGATAAGTCCGCCATTGTATGTTAAATCATTTATCAGTGTTCAATGTGAATTATGTACAATAAAGATTTTACAATACAATACAATAAGTTAATTAAATATTTCAATATCAATAAAACATTGAAGAAAATATGCTCGTGTCAATCATGTAAATAAAAATCCCGTTCACACACACTCAGGCACATGTCCACGCGTTCACCCACGTATACACGCGCACACACACACACACACACAAACAAGTACGCTCGCATACACTATTATTAGTAACGCGGACTACCAGTCCCATTGCTAGCAATATACCCTGTCAGCTCTACCTCCACGTGGTCCTCCAGGAAATTATCATGCTGAATCAGTATATAGTATATATAGAAATCAATAATAAATTTTGTGGTTATGCAAAAATATTTATTTATTTACACTTTATTGCACCATTTATAAAATAGTAAACACATTAAACTGTAATACGAAATGATACAAAAGGCGGCCTTATCGCTAAGCAATCTTTTCCAGACAACCTTTGGGTAGAGGACATTGAGAAAAGAAAAAAAAACAATAGGTAGGTGGCGCACTATTATATATAGACAAATATATATAAAGATACATACATATATATGCATACACATACACAAATACATACACAAACTTGAAACCACACATACAACAGGAGAGAGTGACACTGGAAGATGCAGATAGAACATGGGGAAGTTACTTATTTAAAGGGAGAGATAATGGGCTTTAACAGAGGTTTTGAAGCTAGCGAGAGATTGAGCGCACCGAATAGATAAATACATTTTTACCTTTTTTTTAAATGAACTATCAATTCAACGAAATTTTATAATGAAATAAGAAGGTAGTACTTATTCAATTGCTAAGGAATAATTTTTTAGCCCTAACTGTCCAATGCTGAACATAAATCTTTGGGAGGTTTTACCAATAATTACGATACTTAGCAGGCTGGGTAGCAACCGCAATTAGGCTTTGGTGATGTTAAAAAAAGCTCTGCTGTCTATCCCTGAACCATTAAGTTACGTATTGTATTGTAAAATATTTATTGTACTTATTTTACATTGGACACATTAAAAGATTTAATATACAAAAACTTATCCCATAGAGGGATCTCTACGGGATAAGTCAAACTTTGAGAAGCTGAAAAAAAATCTATAGAATGGTCAAGGGCAAAAACCGTACAGCTAAAGATAAACTCAATAATACCTAGTTAAAATTGAACATATAATACAATAAAAAATAACTGTATACGCCTACATATGTCAATAATAATATATAATACCAGAGGGAGACTTTGTATAAAAGTCGATTGCTTGGGTACCACTGTCCCATTCGTGTTTCAACCGTGAAGTAGTTGTGTTTGCATGGCTGTGTTTCGGTTTGAAGGGTGGGATATGGCGTGAATTTAATTTACTGGGTACAGAGAAATAACACCTGAGTCCTCGGGAATGGCAACGCATGGTGGGTATAATGGGCGAAACAGTATACTCTGTTATGTTCATGGTACCGCTCATGTCTATAGGCGACGGTTACCACTTTCCATCAGATGAGCCGTCACCTTGCTTGCCATTCTAAGTTGTATAAAAAAAAATACGTAAATAAATTTTAAATTAATAAATTTCCAATAAAACTCGTCATAGTCAACTATTTTTAGCTTCAATTTCACTCGCACACATTGTAATATCGATCTGCGGTTATTAACGGAAACTGCTAGGCATCTATCATCGTCCGTCATCGATAATATAATAATTCATAATATTTCAATAGACTTAAAGTGGTTTTGCTTAATAAACATAAAATTTTAATATTAATAATTAAATTTTGGGGGAAAGGGATTGTTAGTAATGGAGACTGAGAATCCCATTGCTAGCAATATACCCAACCAGGTCGACCTCCTCGCGGTTCCCCCTGGAAACTATCATGGTTAATTCTTAATGAATTCATCATGATGGGTTAACTGGCCTGTTTTCATTCTCATCTATCACCCTTCACTGGTGCTCCGCCAGCGTATCCCGTTAGCGCAGGCAGGGTTACCATACCATTTTCACCCATCAAAAAAAAAAAAAAATTTTTATATTAATAACTGTACAATGTACTCATGTTGTATATTTCTTATGTTTAATTAACAAATAAATAAAAATAAAAAATCATTAAAAATAAATATTAAAAAAAAAACTTTAAATGAAGAGTGATTTGTTTAGCGAGGATTTTATTTCGCATAACTATTGTTTTATTTTATTGACTAGCTTTATGCTCTTTTTATTTCGTACGCGTGGATTTTAGAAGTAGGAAAAGTAATGAAAGAGACAACTTCTAGATTGCGTATCAAGGTGAAATGTTATACCAGATTGTAATTTAGACTTTCAGGAATTCAACTGTGAAAATCGCATCCAATTTGGTGTAGTCATTTTTATATGAATGCGGAACAATCATACAGATACAGACATAAAAAATTCTGAAAATTATTGTTTTGAGTTCTATTAGTACTCTTATTTGTTGTTGTTCTATTAGTACTCTGGTTGTAGGCAAGATAGAGGGAAAAAGACCACGCGGACGATCGCCTAATCGATGGTCGGACCAAGTGACCGCCGTTACGGGACTGTCGATTGCAGCTGCCCTGCGAGAAGCCGAAGACCGTGTAAAATGGAATAACATCATAAGAGAGGCAACAGACACCTTTCAAGGACACGACCTTCAGTAATGAAGAGGACGAAGAGAGAGAGAGTACTCTTATTAATACGCCTCATATTGTTTTTCCTTAAATATTTCATGTTTCATAAATATCATCATTACTATCTCATGTACATTAGACGATACAATTTACATATAATTAGATATAGATAGTTATAGTGCCCCCAACTTGCTGGAGTTTCGTCGAGTGACCACATAGTATTTGTGTTCAGACGTTTTTTGTTTCAGTTAAATCTTTTTATATTACTTTTTGTTTAATATTTTTGTGTAATATTCCTTTTTGTATTTATTTAATTAATAAATCTTGTAGAAAAAAATCATGTGATAAAAATTAGCAATAAAACTGAAATTTTTATGCTAAAGAAATTTAATAAAAATTAAGCCTGCCAAACTAAATTGTTTATAATTACTCCTCTCCATCCAAAGATTACCTGGAAGAGATCGCTCTTAGCGATAAGGCCGCCCATTGTTTTCTCATTGTGATTATTTCTTGTAATTATTTATATTTGTAATAAGTTTACTATTGTAATCTTTTGGAGGAAACAATAAAGAGTATCTATCTATCTATCTAAACGTCCGACTGTCAAATTAGTATGTGAGGCTTATTTTTTTGTCGTTTATCGACCTTCTGATTATTTGATGTGTAAACTCTGTCGGCAAACAGGCGTATTCGTAACCATTAATCATAACTGTAAGTCGTCGTTGGAGTCATCGAAATTCTTTGTCATTATTGTAATGATGATGGTGTAATGAGTTGGGACACAGGAATCCAATTCATAGGGGGGAAAGGGATTGTTAGTAATGGGGTCAAATAGCACCATTACTAGCAATATTCCCTGTCAGGTCGACCTCCA